AAGGGCATCTGGCTCTCCTAAGCCTTTTTCGTTTAATCGTCTCATTATTTGAACACTAAAGGCCAGCATGGGAAATATATGTTAAAGTTAGTTTTAAGAACATTTAACATTCAAATAAAAAAAAAAACAATTTATAAATCTATTATTAAAATCCGCATTGGAACAAAACGTAAAATTGTTGAATTTGAAAGATATTCTAAAAAGGGAAAGGACTTCGGTTGAGAGCCTATTGGACTGAATATTCAGTTCAATGACAATTATTAATATTACTATTCTTAAATATTTTGTTGTTTAATTTACTTGTAAATTTATGTGTAAATATATTTATAAATTACACTGGTCAACAGTGATTTTGTGGACGGGGGTTTAAGAGCGTTTTTGGACGATCGTTTTACCGATTTCAAAACGCTTCTCCAGCCTATAAATCTTCAATTGTTTTAAAAAGAATAAAATTAAGTAGTTCTGTCTAAAACTAAAATAAATTTGCTATCTCGATTATTTCCAAACTTTTCCTTAACGCCTTAGTTGTAAGTTTCATATTACATTTTTTTTAATATGCTATTTCTGTGGAATCATTAATTTTCACTTGCGTTATTGTTCTTCTAAAAAAGCGAAATGTGACTCACGTTTTGTTTGATTGGCTTTAATTTTTGAGATAGTCAACCAGTCGAAATATAAAAAATTCAAAAAATAATAAGACATTAATTTATTTATTTAATCAGTTTTGTCTGAGCTAACTAAAAGGCTTTATTCTATAAACAATGAAAAATAGTGATTGTTTTGAACTACTTAAAACATTTTCACTCGAACGGCGTGCATGATTCAATTTAAAAATACTTTCCAGAATAAAACCACTTGTTACAGTTTTGATTTCATTTATTACTAAACAGCCAAGTCATATACAAAAACGTTAATCCAAAATCTAAATTAAAAGTAATAACAAATTGCCTATCTACTAGGGTGGGTAACCAAACGTATAAACAGAATGGGCGGATTTTGTTCATACTTAACATTACACTCGGACACTGACACTTAACCTGGATTAAATATAACTATAAATACAAATATTTACAAACAAATATACTTTTCCAAACAGTGATAAATTATATATAAAAAAAATGTTTTTTATAAGATTTTCTTATGTTCAAAGTTAGGACTTTATAATTATTGTGTCGTTTGTATAATTCTGTACTAAATAAGAGCACTGATTTTGGAAATAAATTTTAACCATTTTGGCAAGTTGTTGAACCTTGTAACATTGCATAATGAAATATAAAGACTAACTGAATATGTCTGCCACAGATAGACCACTTGTAGGTCTATCGATTTCGTCTTGAGCTATTCCTAAAGAGCGGAGCTATTGAAAACTTCCTTTCAAGGTGATTTATTTCAACACTCAGAGCCAGCCGAGAGAAAATTTTTTCTTATATTCATGATCAACAGCCAAGATACATTTGGAAGTCGCTAATATATCCCTGTGACTATTTTTGTTTTAATTTATTTTCCAGTGTTGATTGATTTTTCCCTGATTAGTGATTTTCTTGTTCCTTAACTCAATATCTTTCAAATTGTTGATAGCTTTGATGATATTTTGTAGCAAATCTTGTTCAAATTTTGAAAACTATAAAAATATTCAGCTATTTTTATGGTTATAAACTTTTCCAACACTTAGTCCAATTAGAGATACTTAGATTACATGTAACATTTTCAGAAGCTTATTCCTTTTTTTGTATTCTACTTGGAACTTTTCAATTTATTTAAAACATTGGACATTGTTATCAGTTGTTATTAGGTATTCTTTGTTATTGTTTATATATTGAGACATAACCGCACATAACCAAAATATTGACCAAAGTCCTTAACCACTTTTTATCACCTTAATCCAAAAATTGTATTTGTACGGTTTTGTCAACTAGAATAAATTTTCATTATTATGTTTAATTTTTCATGTCTTTTATCATGAATTGTTATTTTTAAATAAATAAAGATGTTTTTAACTATAATAGGTAGGTGATAGAGGCCATGTGCCTGAACGAAAAGAAGACGTAGATGGCGTATCTGCATAGCATTAAAAATTGACTACTTCATTAAATCGTCACTAGATGCCGCTCGAGATTGCATCCAACACTTTTTACTGTTGAATTATCCTACTATATTATCTTCATACAACGTACATATATTTATCTGATTTTGTCCACTTTTAAATACTGATGATATGTCATATCTAGTTTTGAACATACACAGTATAGGGAATCCGTATGCACCGTACACGTTTAATCCAGATTAAGGGTTTAATCGCGTTTAGTACCATTTTTAGCGACGCACCGTAATAAAAATCATTCTTAATCCGATTTTATTTTAATCCGTCGACATCGGTGGATCAAATTATCTAATCGAGATTTTCTTACGTCAAAAAGATGTCAATGTTTTGTCAGTATATTTGGAACTTTCTATTTGTGTTTCTTTTATTTGAATTTTAATAAAAATCGGAAATAGAATACCAGCTTTTCTTGGAAGATGATAAAGATTCTTGACAAAATTACTAGAGAAGTGAATATTTTTATACGATGGGCAACTTTGTCATTTTTAAGAGGTTTTTTTATATTCTAATGTTACAGCATAATTCTGTAGTTAGATGGCAAATCCAGATACATTGAAAAATATAAAAAAAAGTAAGCAATAGGTACATATATATTTATCTGATTTTGTCCACTTTTAAATACTGATAATATGTCATATCTAGTTTTGAACATGCACAGTATAGGGAATAAAATATTCACATAGGTATATTGTTTTGCATAAAAAAGCTTGAAATACAGCAGCTATTATGTATATATCTTAAAATTATCAAAAATTAACATAATGGTAATCGCCATCTTACTATAGAATTATTTTTATAATTTTTTTTTTTCACCCTGCGCAGAATTCGGTATGCGTTTTACGGTGTGTTTACGGTTTTGGTACATTTAAAAAATAGGGCTTCTATTTTAAACGGCCTCTTATCCTCTGACAAACATTTTTCCTACTCAAATCTGACGTTTTCTTCTTCTCTTTTTTGTGAAATTTATAAAATTCCAGTGTTGTCAGATTGCTAAACTCGATTATCTAATCCGTAGCCGGTGCATAGAAAATATTCACTAGCCATTTAAACGAGATTTGCAAATCTGGATTAGATTTTAAAACGGTGCATATGGGCGTAAGTATTCACATAGGTATATCGTTTTGCATAAAAAAGCTTGAAATACAGCAGCTTGTATGTGTATATGTTAAAATTACCAATAATTAACATAATGGTAATCGCCATCTTACTATAGAAATATTTTTATAAAATCATTTGACATTTTTTTTCACCCTGCGTGGAATTCGGTATGCGTTTTACGGTGTGTTTACGGTTTTGGTACATTTAAAAAATAAGGCTTCTATTTTCATCGGCCTCTTATCCTCTGACAAACATTTTTCCTACTCAAATCTGACGTTTTCTTCTTCTCTTTTTTGTGAAATTTATAAAATTCCAGTGTTGTCAGATTACTAAACCGTAGCCGGTGCATAGAAAATATTCACTAGCCATTTAAACGAGATTTGCAAATCTGGATTAGATTTTAAAACGGTGCATATGGGCGTAACGTACCAAACAGTATACCTGGATCAGTGGTACTTTTGCTTCTCAGAAATTTCCATTTAAGTATCCGAAATTGTTACACAGTTTAGTTTACTGTACCAAATAAAAAAATTAAATATTACAGGTCATTTTCTAACTGTTCCAGGTAAACTATTTAGCAGAAGGGGCTATTTTCTTAGTGAGGCTGTGGGCTACCTCTACTTTCAGGTGTATAGATGAGCCAGAGGTAGTAAACCTGAAATAAATAAAAACAATTATTATAATATAAATGTTCCAAAAAGTAAACAATATTACTTACATGTTTATTATTTATATTATGTTTGATTTTAATACTGCTCCTAACTATTGAAGTAAATGCTTTAATTTTCTTGGTATTTGCCTTCTACAAAGAATTGTTTCATGATTCATCACATACCTTTTTACATAAAAGCAATAAGCATTTTCCTCAAAATGCTAAGAACAGACATAACAGAGTTTAGCTAAAAATAATTTCTAAACAATTTGATTAATGGTTTGTAAACAAGTTTAATTCCTAGGAGACCTGAAAAATAAAAAACATTTAGAATACAATAGGAACATAATTATAGTTAGTAGTTACTGTTACTTACAAATGGAAAGGTTTAACATAAAATCACCAAGTAAACAAGGTTTTTAAGATATTCATCATTTGTTAATGATTTTGTAAAGTGTAGGTTCGTAAATAATATCTTTGGGAACTGACTTTGGGTAAATATTATAACATAACCAATAAAACTATTGCGCCAAGATGTAGGCAACACGTAATACGTGTTCAAAATGGCGAAGTTTTCTCTCATTTTAAAAGGCCCTCAGAAAGCTGCGCAGTGCGACAATTCTCCGTATAGTAAGAGAAAATCCAAAAGTTTAAATTGGATTATTAAAAAAAATTGACTGTTATAGCCGCTTGTTATTCTCGGGTAATAGTTTATTTAAATAGAACGAGTACACTTACTTATTTCTGTTTTTCTTTGATCCAGACTCCCTCAAACCGCCTAGATACACACTTTAGCGCTGTTGCGATTATTGCTGCGTTTGAGAATCCACATCGGATGCATTTTTTACATCTCGAGCGTTTTTTTTATCCACATCGGACACATCTGTCCCATTACATTTACGTATACTGAATCACGTGATCAAAGATTTTTTACATCTCAGATGCATCCGATGTGGATTCTCAAACGCAGCATTTATAGCAGATAAAGATTTTACAAATAAAATTACAAAATTTTACAGATAAAAATTTACTAAATGTAACTATTTTGTTTGATGCATAATACATAAAAGAATTTCAAATGTTGACCTTTGTTCTTAGTTTATTGCTATATAAACTTTTAATATTATCTAATGTATTAGTATTGATTCGTATTTTGTGATAAGATAACCAACACAATGGAAGAAGCATTGCCTAGTGAAATTTCTGAATTTTTGGGAAACTGTTTAAGTGATAATATTCAAAATTACAAAGTGATCTTACATGCTGGTAATAAAAAAGGAGAAGGATTCCTAGGTGAACTACTATTTGTTACTTTAAAAAATAAAATTAATAATAAGGAGCACAATTTAGTAATCAAGCAAGTATTACCATGTGAGAATGAAACTACAATAGCATTTATGTCTTTGCTTTACATAAACGAAATTATTTTTTACACAAGAATTGTACCGGATTTACTAAAATTTCAAGAGTCGTTCCCAGAAGCAAAACCATTTAACAACATAGCAAAATGTTTTGGCACTAATTCCGTAAAGGGTAAAGAAAAAATTGTTTTGCAAAACTTAAAATTTGAAAATTATAATGTACCTGTAAAATCTGAATTCGTTACCGACGAAATGTACGAAGCATTATTTAAATTGTATGGAGAATATCATGCTCTTAATTTCGCATTTAAAGAAATACAATCTGAAAAATTTTCTGAATTAAAAACTATCTTAAACAATAATTGGACTTCTTTTATTCAAACGCCATTATTTTCTTCATCTCTGAAGAATGGTGCCCAACATATTCAAGAAGTGTTAAAAATACGTAATGAAGAGGAAATTGCAAAACAACTTCAAAAATATGTGGATGCAGCTGATGATATTTTTAAAGATGTAATAGATTATAAAGACTCGAATGGTATTTTTTTGCATGGGGATTGTTGGAGCAACAATGTTATGTTTAAATTTGACGTAAGTATTTGTTTCTGGTTTATGATGTCGGGTCAATGGTAAGGTTATTTTTGCAACTACCTAAGTCCATTTGTTATATAATCATCTCGTTTTTATGTACGATGTATGTAGGTAATTTAAGATTCAGTTGAGTTTCAAATGAGGGACATGCGAAGGGAGGAGCAAGTCAAAATAAACCTACTGGTTTATGATTGGAATAAATGTAAAATTAGTGGTATTTTATATATTTTATGCATATCAATTACGTATTAAAAATTTAAAATTATTATTCAAGAAATTTTTTTTCCAATTTTTCAACAAAAGTCAAATTTAATTAAATAGAAATTTTGCTTATTTATTTAAAAACGTTACCTGATATTTTTAGAAAATAAAAATCACAATTTTTACAGGTGTTTTTTATATCCACTTACCGGTGATATTTCTAAAGATTTCTTCTTACCTATAGAATATATGCTAAAAAAATAAGTATTGCACAATGCGTCATTATTTTATTTATTAAATTTTTAGTCTATTTATAGTTTTTAAAGAGAAATAATTAAATACAATGTATTGAGACATTCGCATACAATATTCCAAGAGGCTGCGGTTCGAATTCCAGCATTGGCGGGGATATTTTTAATTAATTAATTTATTTATTTAAAAGTAATTTTGATGCCTAGATAGGATTCCCCACTCCGACATTTGACATTTGGGTTTTAATTAACTGTGCTGTTCCTAAAGTGGCGCTGGGAGACAGCAACGAATCCTAAACCCTAGAGTATTAGGTACTATCACTCCTACACTATGGAATATTAAAGTACTATAAATTTATAACAAATACAGAACACGAAGCTAATGGTCTAAGTTGTCGAAGACGTACTAATGAAAAATGTCAAAATTGCATACCAATATTGCGAAAGTGCTATTACTTATCACTTACCACCTCACTAGTCCAGAAAAATCTCAATTATGTTTATTGTTAATTTATGTATAGCGACCTCTGTAAATATCTCTTTATAAAACCGTATTGCTGATGGAACTTTGTATCTAGCTAAAAAATTGTAGATTCGTGTTAATAGCCTGTCGATAATTTTGGGATTATGTTAATTACTCTCAGATTTCTGGTTTAAGTTTGTTTCAACCTTTGAAGATAGGTTTAATATGAATAATATATTATTTGTAAAATGAGGTTTTGCGATCTTGTTTACTATAACTTTTAATGTTTCTAAACAAATATTGTTCAATCCAGGTGACCTTTTGGATTTCATATTTTTAAATATATTAGTCACTTCAACCGAGTTGTTCTATTATTTCATGTGTGGCTGTTTTTATCCATTCAATACCAAGATAATCTCACATGTAGATAGAATACGTCGTGAAAAATAGATTAGTTTAAATTTAGTGACATTCTGGTTTGGTTTATTTCAAAATGATGTAATATATAAATATTTAAAACACTCCGTAAGGGGTCTCGATGAAGGTCGCTGTTTCTGATGTACCAAGGGGCATCGACAATGTTCTACAACACTTAAATCTTAAATCTCTGGATTATTAGAACAATACTGTTGCTAGTACAACCCCAGAGCTGAATGCCATAGATCCAAATTGGTAGGAGGACCTGTTTATATAAAATATTTTTTTTATAAGTAGATAGCCTAAAATGCCTACCAAGTAACCAATACATTTTCTTCAATTTGATATCTAACTCTTGTCTTTTCTTTTAACCATGGACCTTCTAGCGAAGTCTTGCATCTAATGTAATACCTAGATATTTTGCTGAGTTAGTATAGGGTGTCTCAGAAATATTTTCATTTTATAATCAGTTCGCTGGCGCAATAAGCACATTCCCGAGAAAGAAGGCTGTTGGCAAACGATGGTCAACAGTGTTAAGTTTTAGTTGCAATGGAGCAATTTATGAGGCTGTAACATGCTTTTTGTATTGGTGTGTTTTATAAAAACAATGATCTTATATTTGTGTACGTCGTTTGTACATAAATCATTATAACATAACAAGAATGAAAGATATTCCAAGTGCAAATTTAATTTCCAGTACTCTCAAACTTTCTTAACCAATATTTAATTAAATTGGCAGTTGGTACATCATTCATTTTTGCTATGTTATAATGATTTCTGTACAAACGAAGCACAAGTACATAAGAATCATTATTTTTATAAAACGCACGAATACAAAAACACGATGTAGCCCCATAAATCGCTCCATTGCAACTAGAACAACACTGTTGACTGTTGACCACCGTTTGCCAACCGCGTCTTTTCTCAGGAATGTGCCTATTGCGCCAGCGGACGTATTGATAAACGAAAATATTTCTGAGACTCCCAAGGGATTTGGACATTATTTATGTTAATTGGTACTCGATGATCATTTTTGTTAGTAAAATTAATATTCACAGGTTTAATTTCGTTTGATTTAATACGCTATCGTTTGGTCCAGTTATTTATTTGTAGTTTATTTAATGATCTTAACCTTTTGCTAGAATGGCAGTATCATCTCTCAATGTAGTTATTGTGTATTTGTCTAGTTGGGGTATGTCACAAGTGTATAACAGATACTAAGTGGGTCCTAGGACGCTTCCATGTAGTACTCCTACTTTAATTTTTTTTTGATTTAGAGTATGCTTCATCTTGTTTTACTCTAACGAATCTATCTGAAATGTATGAATCCAGTAGCTCTCAGTATGGCTGTAGAAGTTGCACATTTAGTTTGTTTTAAGCCATCATGCCATACTTTAGACTTCTTTGTTTCCTAATTCTTTTTCAATCGTATTTGAGATTCTATGAACCTGATCTAAAGTTAAATGGTTTTCTCTAAAGCCAAACTAATAATCTAGAATTATATTCTTTTATTTAATGATGGATTTCAGTATTATTAACCGACTTCAAAAAAGGAGGAGGTTCTCAATTCGTCGGAATATATTTTTTATGTATGTTCAGCGATAATTCTTTACTACGTTATCCAATTTCTATCCTTTTTACAACTGGTCAGGATCGGATAATTTTTAAGAGCATCCTCACGATTTTGGAGTCGGTTTTTTAAAATTACCTTTATTTCAAATAGTTTCGATAATATTGGCAATAAAGATATTTGTCTATATGATGTAATAAACAGGTGTGTAAGTTTAATCATGGCTTTCCATGGAAGTTATTTTATTATTTCTCCTATAATTAAATCAAAGCCAGGAGCTTTCTTATGATTAATATTTGTTTTTATATCTTTTGCAATTTCCTTTGGAGAGGTTGGTCTGATGATTGAGTAGAGAGAGAAAGTTCGGTAATTCTCCTTCATTGGGTTGGAAGGTATTTTGTAAGTGCTTTGCAAATCTATTAACTTTTTGTATGTTATTTCTAGCCCAGTTGCCATTTATATTCCTGATTGAAGCATTATGCTTTGTGGCTTTCCATAGAGAATAATCAGTGGCTTTATCGTTTGTTCACTAATAAATTTATTTTAGATTCGTTTTATATCTCTATTAAACTACTGGGTGACGTTTATAAGTTTGGTTTTATCTGATGGAACTCTGGTATGATGCCATTACCTCGTTAGTTTTCTTTTTGCAGAGATTAGATCCCTTATTTCGTTAGGATATTTATTTTTCCTACGACCACTTAGGAAAGTGACATATATCACACTATATAGTCCTATGGAAAGTGTCCTATATCACACGCGTATGAATAAGAATTTACTTTCCACCCGTGTACGAATATGCTACTTTCCGCAGCAGCTGTCATAAAATGTCAAATGCATCATTTCTATTTTGATCTTTGTAATGTCCATATTAATACTAAAATCGATATGATTGTTAAATTATTGAAATTGTTGTAAATTAGATTCTAGATTTTTATCTTTAACAATCATTATTAAAATAATTTTAAAATAACTAATAATATGTTTGCTCTTTATTCTGGTTAAACACATAGCCGATTAGATTATTAAATTGACGCATGGCCTATTAGCTTAGGTGGTTAGAGCGTTTAACTTATCAACTTTTCCATTTGAGACCTGGCGAGCGACCGCGTTCAAATCCTGGCGGGGCCAGAATTTTTTTTTATTTTTTTTTGTTTTTTTTTTTTTTGTTTAGAAAATATGAAAATTGAATAAATACGATTATTGTTGATTATTTTTTTAAATACATTTTAATTATTATAATAACAACCTGGTTTTTACATTTTTTGATGAAATTATTTTGTGGTCGTAGGAAAAATATTGTACATCACTTGTGTAAAAAGCGATTTTCCACACTCGTGTGATAGTCGCACTCGGCTTGTGCCTCGTGCGACAATATTTCCCACTAGTGTGAAAAATGTCACTTTCCACACTCGTAATGTAATATACTATTATGTTGTACGCTGAGAAATAGGTAGAGTATTATCCCATGATGCTTGCTTTATGTTGGACACAAGTAGTTCTACTTCTTTATCTAACTGTGCTAATGTTCTTAACGGAACTGTAAGATTTATTTTCTTCTTAATGTCCAGTCTGAAGCTTTGCCAGTCTGTTGTCCTGTTTAAGAGTCCTTTTGGATAATAATGGCACTAAGAATGAGAAGAATGAGCGAATGATCTGAATTCATGTACCACGCCATCAGCTTGGATGTAGTTTGCTGAAATATTTCTTACAGCAAAAAAGTCTATTAAGTCGGGTATTTGATTTCTATCTGTAGGCCAATAAGTTGATTTGATTGTTGAATGCGACTTACAGTTTAGCTGTGTCATTGATTCTTTTCGGTATTCACCCTTAGTTGTTGTTAGTCTGGAGCCCAATGGGTGTATTTTGCATTGAAGTTGGCCAATAATAAATCTTGACTTGAGAAAGTCTAGGTATTGTTTTTTTTTTAACGTTACGTCTTGGAGAATAATATATACAAGTAACCATAACATCATAAGTTTTAGATTTTGTCATTACTGAAGTAGCCTGAAATTCTTCAGTCTCGTATCCCGCTTTTTAGTGAGTGATGCTTATTTGCTTTTCTAATTAGTACTGCGCTACCCCTTCTTGCTGCATTTTGGGGATGGATGGTATGATAAACACTATATCCCTTAAATTTAATAAAGGACTCATTGGTAAAATGAGTCTCTGAAATTAAGGATTGTTCCCAATTCTTGTTGGTGCTGCTACGGTCCATTCGCATTTCATTCCAATATTATTAGGCTATTACTATTATTATGTCGGTCATTTTTTTTTTTTTTTTTTTTTCGAAATAATAGTCGGCAGACCTGTTAGTTTAAATGTTTATTGTGTTCGACATAAAATGCGCAGATTTTTTAGGATAAACTATTTAAATTTAATCAATTATTTAAAATCACACATGTAGATAAAATACGTGTCCTTAGATTAGATTAGGTAAGGTTTGCTTACTCACGATTATTGTAAGAAAAGTGTCCCTCTTTTTCCAAAATATTCATGCGTTCGAGAAAATTTCCGAAAATAATTTAGGAATTTGATTTACTAGTGGTATTGTAAGTGAATATTTTTTTTAGGAATCAAAAAAACCAGAACACATTATTCTACTAGACTTTCAATTGACTTTTGTTGGTTCTCCTATATTCGATCTAAGTTACAGCTTTTATTCAGGAGCAAACAAAGAAACTCTACGAAAATTGGATAAATTTTTAAAAATATATTACGAAAGCTTAAGCGAACATTTACAACAGTACGGCCTTAAAGTGGATGAAATATATCCATTTGAAGTTATGAAGCAGGAATGGAAAAGATATTGTTCGTTTGGATTTATAATGGGTTACCAAATTTTAGGGGTCAGAAATATGAACGAAGATGAAATTCCCGATATAAGCAAACTTTTGAACAGTAAAGAGCCGTATATATATAAAAAACACCAAAAAAAAGGAAATACGTTTGAAGAATCTATATATAATTTAGCTAAACATATGTACGATAATGATTTTATATAACATCCATCACGTTAATTTTTCTAGTTTTTATTTTGACTACGTTTAGTTTAATTAATTAACGAAAAAGGGAATGCAACTTCCCAATTATTCATCTGTAATGAGATTGAAAATAAACTTAAAATCAATTCCACAATATTTTATAAATGGTTAAGAGAAAATCGAACACCTTAAAAATTTATAATTCCTTCTGACCCTTTATTTTTAGTCCCATTTATCCCATTTATGTGAAATTTTCAGGAAATACCAATAATAACAAAACTTACGCACAATTCTTTATTAAATCTTTGAAAATTTGCTGCTTTTTGTTTTAATAAATATCTAGTAGTTTTTCAATGAGATGATTTCTCAACTTTTTTTCTTAAACGTCTCTGTAAAGTAGTGCCTTATCGATTCACCAATTTAAATAATATTTAAATATTCTAGAGACCCAACATCGCGAAGTATTCCCAGTGGTACCGCATATAAATAAATATAATTTTAGGTATATTAGAAAATCCTTAAAACATTTTTGCTTCCATGACAGGTCCAGTTTTCTCTTAAGGTGAGCGGTTTCGGCTCATTAGCCATAATCAAGTATAAAATAATTTTATAAAATAAACAATGACTACGTAATTTAAAATTTTACAAACATGTAAGAATGCATGAAATTGACACGTTAAAAAGTTAAAATGAGTTGACAAATAAATAGCCCTTAGGGTTACCACCTTTTTGAAAAGTGAAAAAAGGACTTCGATGCTGATAGGGGCTCAAAAAGTCCCCATTCTACTGAACTTCTAAAGTCTAATAAGTCTAATTAACAAACGAATATAAAACAAGTATAACACGAACACTACCAAGTTAAATTTCAAAAGAATTAGGCATTCCTACAAAACGTCTGCCCGTGGGTAATGACTTGTGGTCCTGGTGATTTGACATACTTAATGATGTAGATAGTTATATAGATTGATCTTCATGTTTTTCAAAATAAACATAAGCTTATTTTTTAAAGTAGAAATGTAGGTAATTAATTCTTTTACTATATTGAAAGACTGAAAATTGATTTTAAGACATATTTTTGCTAAACCGATTCTGAGTAATGGGCACTTGCGAGGCAATATTTCCGCTTCCAAAATAACCCACTTTAAGCAATCTATATAACTATATATGTATCAAATAATTTAAAAATTCGAAAACAAATAACAAAATCAAAAATCCATCTGCGAATTATTAAGACCATCCCTGAACCCCAAAGGTGAAAATAAATACTTAAAGATTTAAAAAAAGGCTGTCGCAGCCGTAAACCGAATCCATACAAACTTGTATGCTAGACAAGTGCCCTTTCTTCTAGATCATCACGACATTGATTGTCGAGATTCCTAGACAGAAATTTGATGTGCTAATTTGGGCCAGACGGCGTTCAAGCTCGTTCTTAAATCTTCAAATACCTCAGTGCAGCATTGGTGTATCATAGAGAACAGGCTCACAGTTTTGCCATATGATATCCAGTCGTTACCCACAAGCAGCATTTTGACAGGTCGTTGGAATTCCTAATATAAATAAAAAGAGAATAAAATAACAGAAGCATAAAATGGCTATCAGATGTCAAAGTGAAATGCCCGTGCTGTACTGGCATACCAAACTTGTTTTCTTCTAGTGTTAATGACCTACTAGCATTCAGTAGTTAGCTACTCAAAACTATTTATTGTTGGTCGTTGTACACAATCCTGCGATATATTTTTTAAAACATATTTTCTTATATATTTAAAAAGTCATAAAAGAGTTGTAATCCCAATACAAGTAATAATTATGTATAAATAATAATATGGGGTTCGGGTATTGTCTTAATAATTCGTAGGGGGAGTATTGAGATTTGTTTCAAAATTGTCACTTATTTTTATATAACAAGTGATTTTTCGATTTGTGATTTCTTGATATTAAATTAGAATTTTCAATAACATTATTGTTTAAAAGTCAAAAAACAAATTTAGATAAAAGGTTATAACGGTAACACTGCTAGGACATTACCAGTTTAACATTATATGAAGTGCACAGGTAAGAAGAACTATCTCTATTTACCAAAATTGTCCCTCAACATTTATGAAATTATAATACCGTTACTGTACCAAAGTGTCCTTATTTCGACGTGTCAATGAAAATGCCTCTATCACTGTGTAAGTGACGTCATGCGCGTGGCAGATGAAAACTGAACACAAGAGCATCTGGCCCTGGACGGAAGGCAGGCAGCGGTAATTTAAGAAAAAACTTCGCTGACCTCCTACAACTTTTCTCAGAGCTCCTTCTTCTACTAACACGCGAACATGCGCTATCGACACAAGCTTGGAAGGCGAAAGTACATCTAGCACACAGTTTCGTTACGAGTGCCAATTTAACCAATCCGTAAGCACAGAAGTGACAGCGTTAAGGGGCGGAGCTTAATGATGCGAAAAATAGTGATGATGGAAACAAGTTTTCTAACTTCAACTTTAGATATATATGTGTTTTGTTTTGAAGTATTATTCTTTTATTTTATGACAGTGATTAGCAGTAAATCGGATGTACGCGCTTTATTTGTACATCGGTATCCTTTTGACAGAGTAGGTGAGTTGTGTCCAGGCCGTTGCTGTTTATTCCCGTCGGCGTAGCCAGGTATAGATTGAAATTTTCTGGTGGCGGCGAAGCCGCCACCTTACGAGAAGGCGTTGCTTCGTCTTCTTGTTGTCACGGCAATATTATTATTTGTTCATGTATGTGAAATTTGCTTGTAAGGTTTATAAAATACTACAAAAAAATACTTAAGGAGGTCCTTTCGCCACCCCTTTCGCCACCAATGTTAAAAAAAATATTAGATTATGACTAAAATTTATTTTTTTTCTAATAGTTGAAGTCCTTATTTATCTAATGTTGAACTTTTAACTATACCTTATTGTGCAAATTTTTGAGAATTTTTTTTTTTTTTTAATGTGAGTATTTGTGCAGTGTCTTATGAGAAAATAAGACCTCAACAACAATTCTCGAATTATATTATTATTTATTGATTAGATGGAGTAGAAAAAAACTAAAAATAGGGTTTTTGAAATATTTAGGTTTTGTTTTTTACAATAAAATATATAGGTTACCTTGGAATTTATTGAGAAATTAATATTAAAAAAAAAATTTGAAGTAACCCAGTTGAAAATTTTTTGTGATTTTTTAATATTAATTTCTCAATAAATTCCACGGTAACCTATATATTTTATTGTAAAAAACAAAACCTAAATATTTCAAAAACCTTATTTTTAGTTTTTTTCTACTCCATCTAATCAATAAATAATAGTAAAATTAATTATAATTCGAAAATTGTTGTTGAAGTCTTACTTTCTCGTAAGACACTGTACAAACACACACATTTTTAAAAAAAAAATTTTCTCAAAAATTTGCACTGTAAGGTATAGTTAAAAGTTAACTATTAGATAAATAAGGACTTCTACTATTAGAAAAAAATTAATTTTAGTCATAATCTAATATTTTTTATTTAACATTGGTGGCGAAAGGACCTCCTTAAGTCTTCCACTCCATCATCTGAAATAAAGTTAGATTAGAATTATGATGTACAAATAATGGGGGATACATCCGATGTACAAATAATTCATGGTTAGTTTCAAAACGAGCGCGCTTTTATGCCCCGCCTATAATTTGGCGTTCGCGCGTTGTTATTGGCTCTTCTCCGCCTCATAGCGATACTGTGGGCTCGATGTACTCTTGCGCTTAGAGGAAGGATTCAAGTGGCGACCATAGATAAATTAATAAAGAAGATAGTCGGATCCCGTGTTAATTTTTGGAAACAAATAGTGCTGCAATTAATATGGATTGGATTTTTTTTAACTACACTGGTTGATTGACTTGCCAGTTAAAGGCTGAATAAAAAAGAAGAGCCAACCGCGGTTCATTCAAATAAAATTTATTATTTATTTACATTTTTTGGCATTCATTACTCTAAAAAAAGTTAATAATGTATTTAACATAAAAATTAGTTTTTTTTTTTATAATAAAACCCCAAAAAATATAAAAAAAAATATTTACATTAAAATCAAATATTTGAAACATATATTTTAATTATTTATTATACAGTAATACATACATAAGCTCAATATTAAATAACAATCGTAAGTAAAATGAATAGTAGGTAGTTTCCCCTATTCTTGGAAAAAATGGACCATACTTTGTTGGGGGTCCGGTGTTTCCTATAAAAACAAAACAAAACAAAAGTGTACATGTCTTATTGAACAATTTCTCTTATCGAATATTAATAAAATACAACTTTTTCTCTTTAGGACTTAAACTTCTGACTCTACTTTTATTTATTGTTTTTCTTCGATTCGAGGGTCGTTTATTACTAATTATTAAGTTTACGTTTGCAACTAATTTCTTGTTTTTCTTATTCTGCTACATTTGTGCTTCAGCTTCAACTTATTCTAAAATATAATTCTCAGGTCCTATATTTGAACTGGATTCACAAGATAGCGAATATTACTATCTAAAGTTAAATTTAAAGTCTTAAACCAGTTCTGGCAAATTTTAATATCGGAAGGAAAATGAAAAAAGGTTTAATATTTGAATATCCAACTTTTTGAATTTTAGAATAATAATAATAATAATTTAAACAATTAGGAGCTGAACAAAAATACTCTCGAGAATACTTAACTATACCCGGGACAGACATTTTTTGTTTCAAATATTAAAACCAGAGATAAGGGAGATAAAGATAGGAAACGCTCATAAGAAGCCAATGTTTAACAACGACCAGCTTTAACGCAGTTAACATATGATCCACTAAGTGGCGTTTTCAACGATATCAAACAACGCAGCAGGAAATTTAAAAACCTGGTAATAAAGGTTGTATAAACATCGACTGCACTTCCTTGTTCTTGTAAATGAATTTAAACAATGTAATTACGCTAAATTGTTTATTAAAAAGAATACTACACTTACAGTCTATTATCGATGAATTATTGTAAATCTATTCATAACAAATATTTTTTAATTTTTACATTTTTGTTCTTATTTTCCAAACGAATGGCCAATAATGTCTTATTTAAAAATGTTTAGTGCAATAATGGGAGTTCAGATATTTTTCTTCCTATATCAAATCTTGGAAAAATCCTCCGACGGTCGAACGGGCTATTTTTTTTTTAACGATTTCAGACCTTCTGAAAGACATTTCAAAATACTTTTTTTGCCCTGCAAACACTATAAAATATTTTTTTTTACCTTAAAACTATTAAAATGTGTCCTCCAATTTCGATGTTGAAAAAATTTGAACTACATCATTTTGATTAATTTCTTGTCATAGAAACTGCTAAATAATAACACTAGACCATCCATAATGCAATAAACCATCCAAATTTTTAGGTAAACAGTATTATTTTCTTAATTTACGACCAAGTTAAAGTTCGTCAAAATGATCAAATTTTCATAACCGCAATGACAATTAATATTGGCAGTGTGACATGTGTCTAAAAGAAATACAATATTGCCATATCAATTATGTATTACATAGCAATGGTAATTTTTACCTATGCCCTGCGTTGTACCAGGCCAACCAATTGACTTCAGTATTAGAAAAATTATATAAAACTAACAATTTAAAAAATACCCATATCAAGATCTTCTTCCTCACCCTCATCGGCAGAATACTCTTCGACGTCAATATTGATATTTTCTAAATTGCAAGGATTATACAATTTTCCCGCCAGTTTTAAAAACTCTTCAACTAACCGAACCTAACCACCCCTTATTAGCTTCTGGCCAGTAAACCTCGATCCCAACTTTTAACGAACGTGTCTTGTATCGTGGACATCTAATAATAAGAAAATATACAATAAGAAAATAAAGGAACGACTTCTTGTAAGGTGGCGGCTTCGCCGCCACCAGAAAATTTTTAAACCATACCTGGCTACGCCGTCCGGCATGAACTTTAACGGCCTGGACACAGCTCAAATTGAAAAACCTAACCAACCCTCATTAGCGTCTGACCAGTGAACCTCGATCCCAACTTTTAACGAACGTGTCTTGTAACGTGGACATAATAATAAGAAAATATACAATAAGAAAAGAAAGGCACGACTTCTTGTAAGGTGGCGGCTTCGCCGCCACCAGAAAATTTTTAAACCATACCTGGCTACGCCGACCGGCATAAAATCCAACGGCCTGGACACAGCTCAAATTGAAAAAAAAAACCTAACCTAACCAACCCTCATTAACTTCTGACCAATGAACCTCGATCCCAACTTTTAACGAACGTGTCTTGTATCGTGGGCATCTAATAATAAGAAAATATACAATAAGAAAATGAAGGAATGACTTCTGGTAATGTGGCGGCTTCGCCGCCACCAGAAAATTTTTAAACCATACCTGGCTACGCCGACTGGCTTAAACTCCAACGGCCTGGACCCAGCTCAAATTGAAAAAAATTTTTTTTTAAATATTAGATAAGTACCGACATGCCGTAATTAACGTACAATCATCATGAAATGAAATAAAAAGACGGTTGTCTATGATTACTACAAATGTTTTCACTTCGAGATCCAAATTTACCTGCTGGCCAGACACTATGTAATTTTTCAGCCAACTTTCACTAACCGAATTATTTCCTGACTTATATGTTTTCTTACTCGATTTGGCAACACCACAATTATAGAATCTAGACACATCAATTGTCATTAAAAATAATTTAATGTTTATTTATTTTTCTAACAAACTTAAAATGAAAAATAAGAAAATTTAATCGTTTATGAAAAAATTTGGTACGGTTTATTGCTCTATGAATGGTCTTATATAGATATTTAGCCGTTTCTACAACAAGAAATCAGTGAAAATGGTTTATTTGACATTTGTTTTATGATGGAGACCCGACAACAAATTTTAAGGATTTTCAGGATTTTAAGGTAAAAAAATTTTTTTAAATAAGTGTTAGCGGACCCAAAATTGTTATGCATAGTGTGTTTCCAAGTGTCTAGAAACTCTTTATAACATTTCAATAGTTATATCCGCCGTTCGAGTGTCGGCGTATAATACCCAAATCTTCTTTCTAACGTTTTGAAGCTATTTTCTTGTTCTAAAATAATTAATAATAAATAAATACCTGCTTTGTCACAAAAGTTGGTTACTGTTTGTGTTACTTACATGACTAGATCTTACTTTGGTTAATTGAAGAACGCCACATTGGGATTGTTAAATTTATTCATGTGGCATGTGTTACTAATGCAATACGTTCTCCGACTTATTGTAATATTACAAAATATAATTATTTTTCACATAAAAACAGATACAACCATTTCGCTTAGTTCCTGTAGAGGATAACATAATCATGAACTCAAAATTTAAAATTTTAATTCAGGATTCTTCGATATACATAAAACTGACATTTATATTTTTACAAACTGTCCACTGCTGTCCACGTTTACTGTCTGTCACCCGTCTATCTCAGTGTTGCCAGCCGTACCATCTAAATCGCATTTATAAGATTTTTTAACTCTGTACGATTGCATCAGTGAAATTGTACGTAAAAATATGATCTTCCCTTTTTTAGTAGGTTTATTTAAATAGGTATATGCAGCAACTTCAGAACATAAAACAATAGAAATCAAAAATTACTTACAAAGTGATAGTCATTGATTACTTTAAATGTGTTAAGTTAACGGTATTTTCTTTAGTTTTTTTTTTTAATTTTTTCATTCTATTTAAGTTATATTATGCTATACTTGTACCTCTATTGCACGATTTTTTTGTCGAAATACTAATTTTCTACTCGACTTGTACGATCTCTCAAAAAAAATATTTGGCAACACTGGTCTGTCTACAAACGACCTGAGACGCATAAATGACGCCATCGTTGCTGCGGTCGTTGTGTTTCCTATCTTTATGTCGCTTATCTCTGATTAAAACAGAATTAAAAATCCATGAAATATAAAATTATATAAGGTTAAAAAACAATAATAAACAAAGTGCTTAAATAAATCTACACACCTTTAATATTAAATTAAATTGCTAATACTTACTAATTACATCAAATCAAACTGTTTACCTTCTTAAAAATAACTTGCAGACCTTTAAAACTTTTAGTATAATTCATAAAATAGGTTTTATTTTATCATTTCATTATTATATTTGGCCTTCCGCTATCACGGTTTTTCATTTTTTACGAGGTTGTCAACTCCTTTTTTTTAAATCCCAGCAATAGTATGGACATTGTATGGATGGTATATACAATATATTTAGTTTGCAAACCACATAAAAATAGAAAAAAAGTTAATTAAAACCACAATTAGCTGTTTCAAGGATTCGTGCACACAATATGGCGGAAGTGAACCCGTCTTGGACCACGTGACAGCGTCTCTACCTTCTACCTCAATGAGTGGCGCCCATCTCACAGTCATCTTGAATATATTGCGAGAATATCCAAATTGACAGTAAAAGGGTCTCACGATTAAAACTGGCAATTAAATTACGATTTGTTCATACTAATTGGGTTTCTGCAACATTTTGGCAAACAAATGATATTCGCTACAAAATTCAAAAAATTAGTTGTATGAACAAATCTTAACTGATTATCATCCGTATATACCCACAAAACATTTTGACTAGCTTCCAATAAATCCCTAAAGATAGAAACGTTAATTTAAAGAAAAAGTAGATTTGGACAATGATATTTCCGTTTCAAACCAAGTGATACGCCCTATGGAGGTAAAAGGTATCTATGAGTAGGACTTTATTCAGTGATGCCAGAAGTAGTGGAATTTCGCTACGCGTCGTCGGATTTTGGCCTATAAAGAAGTGGAAAGACCTTTTTTAATTAGCAAAATTTGTGTAAATCAATATTTAATCATATTCTATATTTATTTAAGGACTTTTATAAAACCGATTTATTATTTTTAATTTTTTTTTTTAATTTCAGTTTAGCTATTTTGTTTTAAAATCAATTTTAATTCGAAATTTTTACTTGTGAGCTTTAAATTTGTTTATGTATTAAAATATGTAATAGTGTTTATATTAAAAATGAAATTTGCGAAAAAGTCCCCAGCAAATTGCAATGTGTATGGTGTTAATGTCAAAATCCAAACTGAGTGTTCATTATTTTCCAAGCGTAAGTCGTAAAATTTTGTTTCTTACATTAAATAGATAACTTCAAATTCACATTATTAAGATTTTGCAAAATTTTGTCTATAATCAAACTGCAATTTGCTTTGTGACAGTTTTATTTTCTATTACATGTATACAAAGTACTACATCATTCACTTCATGAAATAAAAATAAGGACAGTAATATTTTTAATTATATTAATTATATTATATTATGTATTAATATTTTAATTTATAGATAATAATAAACTTTAGACATCTAAATGTCCTTTAAACTACATAATTAAACATGTCCTTCGTTTAGCAAATGAATATTGTTAATGTTTTTGTAGCAACCAGATAGGTGAAAATTAGTAATAAAAATATGATAAATATTATATTTATGACGAAAACACGTAAACTAAACTTAAATTAACACTAAAAACAGTTAAAAAATCACAAATACAAAATCCCGTCCAAAATAACACGATGATTTAATTTAAATCGCGAATAGTTTTTCAATCACACTTTGAATCGTTATTGTAATTAGTAAAATTCAAGTAAATGAGGTTATGTTTCCTCAAATTATTAACAAATTAATTAATCGTTAATATTTTTATGAAAAACATTTAATGAATTTATCGAAAAACATGTACGAGTAAATAAGATTAAAATAATTCAATTTCAGTTTGTGACATAATATCGCCCAACCCTATTGAGTCGTACTGATTTTTAAAGTCTAGACTGTTAAGTTGATCTTGTTTACAATTGTTCATTAGCATCCTTATCGTAAATATATCATTGTTTTAAATCCCCTTAGTACCACAGACCATATGCTTAGTACTCTCCAAGCTCTCCTCGAACGTAGTCGAATAATTAAATTTTCATAAAAAAAGTTGCATAACACCATCCAAGTATAACAAACATATTAAAAAGGAATCTGGCCTTGTATCTACATAATACCTAATTATATAAATGACTACATACGTAATATCTAGTAATCAAAATATAGTAGTAAAATAGTGAATGTGTGTGCTGTGTTAGCGAATTAAAATGGTAGAAAATAAAATGCCAAGAGATATTTTTGAACTATTAGAAAAATCCGTTAATGAAAAGATTGAAAATTTTGAAGTGAAACAACACGAAGGCAATAAAAAAGGCGAAGGTTTTTTAGGCGATTTACTATTTATTTCTTTAAAGAACAAAACTTCCAAGGAGGACCATCATTTTGTCATAAAACAGGTTTTACCAAGTAACCATGAAACTAATAAAAATTGGATGTCAGCTTCTTACTTGAATGAAATTTATATGTACATGAAAATAATACCTACGTTTCAAGAATTTCAAAAGAATTGCCAAAACATTAAAATTTTCGATAACGTTCCAAAATGCTATGCCGCTCTTTCAGAAAAATGTAATGAAAAAATATTACTGGAGAATATCAAATTCAAAAATTATGTACTGCACCCAAAAAAACAGCTTATTAATAGTAAAATGTATGAAAAAATTTTTCAATTATATGGAAAATTTCACGCCATTTCCTTTGCTTTTAAACAACAACGTCCTGAATTATTTTCAGAGTTAGTTTCTAACTTAAAAAACAATTGGCCAGCTTTTACAACTCTCATCTTGTATAAATCTATTACGAATGCTGTTAATAGGATTAAAAGAATATTGGAAAGTCGTAATGAAGAAAAATTATTGAAGAGGTTTCTCAATTATATGGACAATGGTTTGGATATTTTTAAAAATTCAATCCAATATAAGGATTCATATGGTGTTATCATACATGGTGATTGTTGGAGTAACAATTTAATGTTTAAATATAATGTAAGTAATTTAATTTTTATAATCTCTACGCATATACTTCAGGTAAATAAATAAACTAGATACGTAACTGTCCCCTTTTGGCTTTATTTTGCCGAAAGACTAAGAAAATGAAGTATATTCAAGGTTTTTACAGAGAGGGAAACCACTAAGGTCAAAACGTATTTCGGAAATCACCTAAAAAATGTTATGTTATTTCGGTGATTTTGCTGAAAATCCACTTTAATTTTATACGATGACCTTTCAATCCAAAAGCTGCTGCATTTACGTTTTTGAGCGAGAAATTGATTTCGAAGTGATTTCAAAGTTTTTTCGGCAATTTTGACCTCGATTTTCGATAATAAATAATAATAATAATCTTTATTAACCAACAAACGGAAAAAATTCAATTTAATAAATAGGTTGGTTAAAAGGCGCCTATTCAGCAAAGCTGTTCTTCCATAAGGACCTATCGCAAAGTAAAACCTAAATTTGTAAGTGTATATTATAATACCCTAAATAAATTAAAAAAAAAAAATACTTATAAAATAACATATTATCTTACGACAACATAAGCTTTTCTCCTAGATTGTTTTTATAATAATATTTATTAATAATAACAATATTAATAATAATGATAAAAAAATGATGTAACAATAATATTATAAAACAGGTCATAAAAAAGCTTTCAAAGAATTTTTTTTAGGCTAATATCTACAGCTACATCTGCTTATGGCAACATAACCTCTTTTCGTAGATTGATTTTATTATAATAATAATGATAATATTAATAATAATAACAAAATCGTATTTATAAAACAAGATATAGGAAAGCTTTCAGAGAAGAATTTTTAACGGATATGAAGATAATATCTACATTGCTCATGAAAAATAGTTTTTTTAAGTAATATTTAAATGAATTTAGAGATTTTCTTCTTATATCAAGTGACAGTTCATTATACAAAGCGGCAATAGTGTATGAAAAAGATCTTGTAAATAAGGCTGTTTTGTGCTTCGGTATTGTTATTGTATGTTTGTAACGTATGTTAATGTTGTGAACGTCTTCTCTATAAGTAATTTTTCTTGTCAAGTAGGGTGGTTTTTTATCAGATATCATTTTGTGAAAAAACGTAAGAGAATGCAATCTACGTCTATGGGCCATATTTAACCAGTTTGCTGTTATAAGCTTATGACTAATTCGATCGTACTTCCTAATATCGTAGACTAATCTGAGGCAGGAGTTTTGTAATTTTTGGAGTTTGTTCTGATCAACGACTCGTAAACATGGTCCATAGACATAATCGCAATAGTTGGCATGCGAAAGTACCAATGACTCTGTCAGTAATAACTTAATTTCTTGTGACATATATATCCGACTGGCATACAGAAGCTTTAGATTGGAATATCCATTCTTTAAAATATTATTGACGTGATAAGAAAACCTAAGATTTTGATCAATAATAACCCCTAAATTTTTCGATTTCTCAATAGGTTTTAGAATATTATTTTTTATTTTAATTGTAATATTATCTTTTGTTAAACCAAATAATATAATATATGACTTGTTTGAATTTAAATGCAAATCGTGTTTACTAGACTGGTCAATAAGATTCTCCAAATCACTGTTAATTTCATTTTGCAACATTAACAAATTTGTTTTACTACCGAAACGGTACAATTGTGTATCATCTGCATACATGTGCATTTTTGAAAAATTTAAACAAGTACTAAAATTGCTAGTGTAAATGGTAAATAAAATGGGCCCAAGAATTGAACCTTGAGCTACCCCTCTTTTAATGTTACCTTCGTTTGAGGTGTGTCCTTTATATGTAATTACTTGACGTCTGCGATTGAAGTAATTTTTAAACAGTTTTATGGCTGACTCATGTACACCTATAAATTTTAATTGTGAAAAAAGCACAGTGTGACTAATTGTGTCAAAGACCTTGCTGTAGTCCAACAAGATCAGTGCTCCGACATTTCCCTTATCTAGTTCCCTAAAAATGTCATCAGTGATATTTAGCAATGCACTACCACAACTATATCCCGGCATAAATCCAGATTGTACCTCAGGGAGGATATTATAAGTATCTAAGTGGGTACAAAGTTGAGTTTCCATGACCCTTTCAATTATTTTAGAAAATGTTGGAAGAATAGTGATTGGTCGTATATCTTTTAAATTAGTGGGGTTTTGTATTTTTGGGATTGGAATTACCTTACCTACTTTCCACTGATCTGGGAACACAGAAAGGGTTAAGCAGTAGTTTATGATATTGCTTATATATGGCAGTATAAATGGACACGTGGATCTTATAAGTGTTATATCTATATCATCTGTTCCTCTAGCTTTAGTTTTTATGTTAATAATTATTTTGCCAATTTCATTTTCAGTAACAGGAGTGAATCTAAAAGTATTAGGGAAGTTTTGTTGACGATTGTTTTCATAATAACGAACAAGATCTTGAGAAATAGTATCAACAGTATCAAGATAATAGTGATACCTGGACCGGAAGCTACTGCCTCAAAACTTACGTCATAAGGTATAAAATTTTGAACTGTCAGATTTAATGTGAATTAAAAATAAAGTTTGATTTTGTTTTGCCTTATATCCTAAACCGGGGGCATTTCTCCACTAGAAACTGTTAAATTTTTAAAAAAGGACCAAAATTTACGACACAAAGTAAAACAATAAAAACCATCAGATTTTGTGCGAAAAGGCCACCTATTCTAAAACAGCGCCGCAAGACAAAATACAGACAGAAATTTACGTCATAAGGTATTAACACGATTTTTTTGCCAGATTGTTGTTTACTAAATGTACCACTCCTGTTTTTTCCTACTCCAAAGCCAAACTCGATGGTGTGGTTTTATAAACGAGGATTTCGTAATGTTACATGGAAATATTACTAAAACATCTCTGTCTCCCGTTCTTATTACAATGTTTTTGTGAAAATTATCCTCTGATTTTCTGGGAGGTGAGTCAGTCTTGCATATGTTTTCACAATGAAAAAAAGTCTTCAATTAGCCTCCTCATGTTCACAGGTTAACTCGTTTACTTCTTCTAAAAATCCATTTCTGTTTACAAAACATTTGGTTTGATATGTAATATACAATATTTTATTTTTTTTTAAGTATCATGTTGCCAGTCTTTAGCCAGGAATTCTGAAAATAACCTTTTAAAATTAATATTTCATAGAGCTTTATGAAAGTCACGAGGGTTTTTTTGATATAGCCCTTGTATAGAGAAATCTGGCAAATAATTTTCTGTTGTTCTTTTTTTGGACCTCTCCATAGCTTTTATGGAAGGAATATTGTACCTATCGAAGATAACATCTATTCGATTTGACTTAGTCGAACATAGTTTTTTCAAAATATACTTTGATAACTTCTATACGTTTCAGGTAGTGTATGTAACAGGAACATAGCATCAATCACATTATAGAGTTCTTGGGGCATTTCTTCTCTTTGAATAAATCTTTTGAGATGTCTTAGCAACTGAGACTTGTCAGTCTTAATCATGACTCCATCTATGTAAACTAAAAAAAGAGGCAAATGAATATTTTAGAACATCTTCTAAATGTAATTTCTTTTCTATAGCCAAACAACACATTCGACCAAATATTCCACAAGTGAGTCCAAGTTCTTTAACTTTATTGTCTTTGGTACGTATCTTAACTTCAACGCCCTCCGCTTCAAAATTATTTATTTTCTGTTTATGTATTGTCTGGTTAAACCTTTCATTTTCTTTTTTACATTCATCAATGAAGGCAGTTTTTAATTTGGTCATTGCAATTAGCAGATATTCCTTCCTGTTCATATTTGCATCTTTACCAGTCCCAATATTATAAAGCGTATCCTTCTCAAATGAAATGCTGAATGGGTTTGTCGATTCTTCTAATGTATTACAGATACTTTGTAGATCAACATTATCACGAATAATTCTAGACTTTTTCAGTTCTTTGGAAACATCGTCTTTGGAGATTAACCCTGCCATTTCTTTTAGGCCAGTTACTAATTATGATTTCACATTTCTGGTTAGTATCCATCGAACGTGCGCTGAAGCTTGGTTCGTCATTGCCGATATTCCTGTAAGTCTATTCGCCGAATATCTGTTAACGGTATGCTCAAGAGTTTGGTCAATTGGTGCACCAGCAAAAGAAATGTTTTATCGCTTAACGGATAAATCTCCTTTCTCAAGAAGCAGTTTCAAGCCAGGATATCTAGAATCGATATCACTTAGGTTTTCGTGATATCGGACCATCCATTTTGCATAATTTAGATGATTAGTTACGAAGAAAAGACTTGTCATAGCGTGAAAAGATCTACGTCATTCATCCTTACGGCTCTTGACATTTTTAAGTATAGATGTACATAATCGATATACATATAAACCAAAACTGAGCAATTGGCCCATGTTTTCCTGTACGCGTCAGATAAAAATGCTATAAGTTCTGATGGGCATTCGTTTTCTGAATAATAGTCCCTATCTAGATAGCTATTCATTAAGTAAAGTTCGAATCCGGGAGACAAATGTATATTTGAACTTAAGAAAAATTTTATGTGCTGAAGTTGTAAAGCTAGAGCAAGGAGAGGATGTAATCTTTTGCATCTATTAAAATGTCTTCTAGACATAAATCCTTTCATCGAATTATCTGCTAGTATTCCACTTTCACACAAAATATGAGCACATCCAGATTCGGACATGATTTTTCCTAGAGCTGCAAAATATGCCATAAATAAATGAAATGCGCCAAAATGTATAAACATTTTATCAAATGTTGGTGACTGTAATGACTGTATTTGCATTGCAGGTTTGGCCATAGCTAAGACGTAAGTGACAACAGCAAAATTTTGACCACATTCATTAGCGATGCTATCTGTAATTCTTAACGTCTCTAGTATCATCGATGGATTAGTAGAATCTTCATTATAATTCCGCAAAAATGTCACCTTGTGTACTTCATTGTCATGTTTTACTGTTTTAGAGTTATAACCAATCCACACTGGTATTGTTTCTTTATAAACAAAATGTGAAAATGCCCAAAAAAGATCTCTTCTCTCAGCATCTTTGAAATTTGCAGGTATTTCTAAAACAGTATCAGACCACTGTATCAGTTTAAGATTTTTTGAGTATTTGCAGAACATGTTATTTTGTTAAGTAAATTTAAAATAACCTGATTAACTGGATTAGTGAATCTGTTTCACAAAAAAATCATATTGGTTTTATTCTTAAACCTTGTGATCTAAATATTGGTTTCCAAAAACCCTTGTCTTAGACCAACTGATCCTCCAAATATTTAGTCTTAAGAATAGTTTCCGAGTGGTACATTTAGTAAGGAATAATCAAGTTAAAAACGCGTTCGAATACCTTTTAACGTAAATTTTCGAGTTTTTTAAAATTTTAAATGTCTTAAGGATAGAAATACCCCGAAAAGTTTGTCTTACGCTACTGTTCTAGATCAGAGATTCAGTTCCACACAATTATATTCGTTTTACTCTTATATCTTATGACGTAAATAAAGGCTCTTTTTTCAAAAACCCTTGTCTTAAAGCGACTAAGCCCCCATTATTTTGTCTTACGAATAGTTTCCGAGTAGTGCATTTAGTAAATAACAATCTGGCATAAAAATCGTTTTTATACCTTATGACGTAAATTTCTGTTTTTTTTTTAAATGGACAGAAAGTCCCAAAATATTTTGTCTTACGACACTGTTTTAGAATAGGTGGCCCTTTGCGAACAAAATCTAATGGTTTTTATTGTTATATTTTGTGACGTAAACTTTGGTCCTTTTTTAAAAATTTTACAGTTTCTAATGACCAAATGCCCCCCGGTTTGAGATATAAGACAAAACAAAATCAAACTGTGTTTTCAATCCACATTAAATCTGACAGTTAAAATTTGCGGAAGTGGTTTACTCATAGAAAAGGTTTACGCCTCGGTTTTTACATCACAAAGAGGTGTACATTATTTAACATTTACATTATTATATCATGTATCTAAACCGACGTATTACCTATTCTGTGGTCTCGCGCACAATACATGCGACTTTTTGCTCTCTTCCACTAACGCTGATTTGGTTTGTATGATCCGCGTTTTAATTTTCTAATCTGTATTACTCGTTAGTTGAATCCAAAGAGGTTAGAAAGGGTAGAGGTAACATAGGAAGCATTTGTCACTGCGCGAATTTTGCCAAAACCGAAAAACTGGGTGGAAGGAGTAGGGAGATGTTCTGGGCCGGACTTAAATATTTGTATTGTAGTACCTAATTTTGGTAGGTAACTAAAAGATGAAAAATTATAACACGTTTTTTTGACTTTATTTGTCAGCACGATTCATTTATGATGAGGGCAATAACACTTTATCAATATATAACTAGCTAAGGGGCGATTCCACCGTTGTGTCAAACGAAGTTTAAATTACTAAGTGAAGATTAAAATCACATTGTTAATGTAAAAATGTCATTTTAAAATCCATTTAGTAATTTAAACTTTATTTTTGTTAATATAAAAATGTCATTTTAATCTTCGTTTAGTATTTTAAACTTCGTTTAACAAAACCGTGAAATCGACCCTAAGTAGAAGTTTATAAAATTATTGTAACAAAATACCTGTTGAGATAAAAAGTTATCGAAACAGCCAAAGTACTTTTTGCCGAATTACATACAAGATTTTTTCTACGATCACACCAAAATAAAATAAATAATGAAATTTTATTAGAAATGGGTTACCTTTTCGTTCGTTATATTTTAAGTTTATTTGACATAAGCCTATTCTTCGAAGAAAAAAAAATGTTTTGGTACTTATATACCGGTAATTATTTATGATTTAATTATTTACGGAAAATACCGTTCAATGATTTAAAATATTAGGAAGTCAATTAATAGCTATGTATGTAACCAGTTACGAAATGCATTATTTTGTGTATCGAGTAAATATTGAACGAGTTACACAAAACGGCATTTGGTGACGTGTTTACATACAAGATTTTTTCTAATTTTGTCTTGATTATTTATAAAATTGTGTTGAAAAATAATTATTTACCAGCATTCTTTTGTAGGTACTTCCAATCAAATATTTCAGAAAATTGTTGTATTTGATTGCCCTACGACGGTTTTTTTTTTTTTCAATAATAATAAAAATAAGGAACATGTGCAGTGTTGTCGATCTGATTTTTGACATTACCCGCGAGAAATTTGAAAAAAAAACATTTTTACCCATTATCCTTAAAGGAGTACGTCAAAATTTTACCCCCAAAATTTCTGGGCAGATTTCAATAACGGTGTTCGACCTTTTTTTCGATATTTGGTTTTTTCGATTTTTGGTTTTTTGGATTTTTCGATTTTTTATTTTTCGATTTTTAGATTTTTCGATTACTCGATTTCTCGATTTTTCGACTTAAGAACCAAAAAAGAGGCAGTTTTATTTATTTTCATTTCGTAACTGGTGACATAATCAACTTTTCGTAATCAGTTGCATAATGTTCTACTTTATAAAATATATTACTTTATATGTCAAAATTAGAGAAAATAAAATGTAATTAAATGGATAGATCCCACATATTATTATAGAGCAGTGTTTCTCAAACTTTTTTGGGGACGGAACCTTTTTGAAAAGCGAAATATTTAATGGGGCCCTCAACAAATTAAACACATAATTTAAAAAATATTTTTCAAATTTTTTTCTTCAATTTGACTCTCATTTTGACTTTCAAGGTAAACGTGATAAAAAATCGGCTTCATATTATGCTCCGATTTTACATATTATTCAATTTTATAATTGTAATTTGACAATATTACTGCCCATCTACGTAGTCTGTTGGCTGAAAATTGGGGTATACCTTTAGCTGGGTTAAAAATAGTTACCAGAGGTAAGTAATCTGTAACTAGGATGAATAAATGTCTATATGAATATTCATTAAATTTATTTAAGCCAAAAATTATTGGAAGGCCCTCTCTTTCAATTTGGGAATATTTTTGTTCTGACTTTGATAAGGTGCGCGATGCAGAAGCTATAGATTTCTCAATATTTTTTTAAAAAACATGACATATGGCCCTTATTCCCACATTTGATGCATCTACGATTAAGTTAATTGGCAACTCAGGCTGAAAATGCATAAGAACATAATTTGTTGTTAATTTATTTTTGATTAATTCCAAAGATTCCTTGCAAGAATTATCCCAAATCCATTTCACCCATAAAAATAAAATAAAAGTCCTAAAGCAAAATCATATCCTCCTTCCTCTTAGTGACTTCTCAAAAAAAAGGTCCTCAAGCCAGGTCCCTCCATTTTGTGGCGATAGTACTGTTTTTTTTTTAATATGATTATTTTCTTCGCGGAGTCCTCACAAAGGCTTTGCGGAGCCCCAGGGCTCCACGGAGCACACTTTGAGTAACCCTGTTATAGAGAAATACTAAATAAATAGTTTTGAAAAAACTATTGAAACCAGTTGTGAAGTTTGAAACGAATAAATTGGCTCGAAATTGATATTTTTGTATTTGATTGTATGTTTCTCTTTCCACTTCCTGGAAACAGATTCACCATGAAACAAGAAATAGTAAACAGTTTATAAAAATAACCTTTATTTGCTACTTATAACATGTACCAATGACCAAGTCCGATTCTGTTTATTTTCAAATTAACAAATATGGACGTCGACAGAATCTTTAAAAATTAAATATCTCACCGAAATAAATATAAGTTTCTTTTATCTCCGTCACATTTCGCACTTTTATTATAAATAAAGCCTTTCTACAACACATCTTGGCATTTTAAACGTTAATTTCCAAAATTTAAGTCACTAAAATACCAAATTAATTCTCGTTGACACATTAAATTTGGATGGACAACGCTCTGACATGTGATGTTCTCAACTATGATTGGTGGGTGTGAATAATTTCGAAATGGGATTATGCGCAGTGTCTTATGTTCCATCTAAGGTTTGTATAATCTAAGGTTGAATCACATTTCAGATTTGGAATAATTCTTCCAAATATGCAACACGCATTAATTATTGTTAAATTAAAAGCACATATTGATATGATATAAAATAAATAATAATGATACTATATAATATTGAAATTATATGATTTTGGGTATTTTGGGACATTGTTTATAATGATTATTTTTGAGACAACCACAATAAAAGTTAATTTAAAAAAAAATTAATGAACATTAATTTAAAATTAGACATAACATTTTTTAAATTATTTATTAATAATATTCTAAATGTTAATAATTTAATTTAAAATAACACGGTCCAATTAAAATTAAGCAATAATATTAAATATGGATCAACAAATAAAAATCTATAAAATTATATTAATTTATATTTAATAATAGCAATGTCAATTTAATTTAAAATAACAAGGTTTAATTAAAATTAAGCATTAATATTGATTATGATCGAACAAATAAATACTTACCAGAAATATCTATAAAAGATTAGAATTTTGCCTTGCGCAAATTTTGTACGACTGCTGTTGCTAGGTGTAGCTAAAGGTTATAATTATTGATGATTAGAAAATTATTAATTGTGGCAGAGGGCCAACAAATTTTGATTTTAAAATATTAAGAAAATTATTAAAAATTTTGCATTCGTATAAATGACTTATTATTATTATTATTATTGGAAACAAGTTAGTGTCTGATAATTCACCATTACAACTAGAATATATTCTTCACGACAATATTGCGATCTAGAGCATTTAATTTTGAAACATATCCATTGCATTAAAAAAAGTTTCTGTAATTAATAAATAGCAATTTAAAACAATTAAACATAGATGGTAGTATATATTTAAATGTATTAAGTAAATTTAATTTTAAATTTTATTAATAGATAATTGTGAATTTGTTATAAAGAAATCGCAAATCGAGAGTGTAATTTAATAGATATTACAAAAAAGTTCTGATATAGAAATAAAAAAATATTCTTAGATACTATAATACAAGGTTTGTTTAAACAAAATAATCATTATGATATCTACAGTTAAATATTTGAACCACCATCAAGCATTTTAAGTTTATAAGTATACTGTAATATAGTAGATATTTTAAGATATTGGAGAGCCTGTGCCAATTAATTTAAGGTTTAACTATATATATTTTACTAGAGCTGAATATATAATATCAATATGTATAGCCTATAAACTACACAAAAAAAATAAATAAAAATTATTCATAAAAATCATACTACTAACCCTTTTGAAGAAACTGAGATATATGACATTCCTAAGCTTTTTGTAAATGTATGTTTACTTCTCAGACAATTACAAAATAAAGCTGAATCAAAACAAATTAAACATAAGTATATTATCGGTTAAAAATGAATAAAACTTATCTATCTATAAGACCCCATTTAATTTTCCAATAGTGTTTCTACGCCACTGGCATAATATTTACATATTTTAAAAATAAACAAAACAAAATTATAAACATAAATGATTATTACTACAAAAATAGATACCCAATCTACTTTCATATAATATTATTTACCATTACCGCATTTAATTTGCCAAAAGTTTCTATACGCCACTGGCGTAATTCATTTTGGCAATACACATGCATTTATGACTAGTTGGCACGTGATTCCGATAACTTCTGCAGTTTAAAGCGCGTGATTCTATTCATTATTCTCAGATATAGTATGATTGTTGTACGTGAACAGGAAGGAATCACCTTCTTCAGTATTTTGTCCGAGTACTAGAACAAAATATTGAAGAAGGTGCGCCTTAAAACTGCAAAAGGTATCGTTATGATATCAAAATGCACTCTTCCAGTGTCGCAGAAATACTATATTGGCAAATGAAATGGGTATTTGTGAATATTTCTAGATGAAAGTAGGTTGGTTATCTATTTTTGTTATAATAATTCATCTATGTTTATAATTGTATTTTGTTATTATAAAAATATGTAAATTAAGCTTGGTATCACTTAGTTGAATTCTAAATCTATGAAATTTCGTAATCCATTGATTCTGCAGAACTAACACTGGAATCGTCTTTATCGTCAGAACTTAAAGTTATGACTAAAGGTTCAACTACCGTTTCGGTCATACCGTCCAAGCGACACATATTATTTTCTTCCTTAATTACATGGGAAATAGCATTCTGCCAATCTTCAGGTTTTATACATTCTATACCGGTTTTTAGTAAACTTTGAACGTCGGCTATTTTAAAAGTTTTATTTTCTCGAGCTACAAACCCTTGCGCCCAAATTAGTTCAATAGGATTGAATTCGCAGTGATAAGGGGGAGTCTTAGTACCGTAATACCACGATCACGAGCCATTGTGTGGACAACATATTGAATATATTTATGGCGGTGTTCCCCTTTATTAGGTCCATTAATTCTACTTTAAGCATCTCCTCAGTAAATGTTGTTGCGTTATCCCACAGCCAGGTTTGCATATCCGCTTTCCTACTGGACATTATGGGAATGCGTTTAACTCATCGACTGTGATAAGAAGCGTTATCTAGTACAATAACTGAATTTCGTTCTACATGCTGTAATACTTCAGTAAACCATTTTTCAAAGCATTACGCATTTATGTCCTCGTGGTAGTCTCCTGTTTTTTTCGATATAAACACAAGAGCGCTATTTTCCAAAAATCCACTGTCACTTTCGTTATGGGTAACAATTAGGCGCTGTCCTTTACCTGATGGTGCTTTCAAACCTATATATAATCCCTCTATAAAAGCTTGGCGATGACTTGTTACAGAAGTATCTTGCCATATATTAGATACCGTGTGTTCAACATTCACCCACGTTTCATCGAGATAGTATATTTTTTTTAGCGGATCTAAACTCTTTAATATTTCGTTAATAACGCCGTCGCCAGGATACTATATCTGACCTCTCAATTAAAATTTATTTCCTACACCGTTTGACAAAACGAAATTTCTTTGTTTTCTCTTAATTTCGTAAGAACAACTTTAAGTGTTGGGGCTTTGTTTTCGAAAAAAAAAGGAATGTACAGTTCTTCGAATGATTTGTTTTTGGTTATCGTCTAAGGAGCTTTTTTTGTCTTTTCGCGTACAATACGTTCAATTGTTGAAATAGATACTCCAGTTAAAAAGAACTGCGGTTTACAGCTTCATTTGTAGGAAGTGTCTGTTTCAGCCCATCATACACTTTCCATATAATGTTCTTTTCATCCTTTGATAAGGGCTTTCGCCGACGTAATTGGGTTTCACTTGGACCCGCCCCTGAATCCAATACTATTGTAACAATATAATTTGTTAAATTGTTTTCATTAAATTTATAAAGACACCAATATTTTACTATTTAATAAACTTTTAAAGTACCTACCTAATATACTACACAATAAATATAACTCCTCAAATATGCACTAACACTACCAAATTGTAAGGCACAAACATGAACACCTACTCGTATATCAGAAAAGAGCACTTATACAAAAAAGTGTTAATAAAATATAAAATAATTATCGTAAATAGTTAAAGCGATACAAATCTAACTTCGTCGAAAGTTAGTTTTCAACTGTCTTTGTGCCTGTACTGACAATATTCAATCTGTAACCCGTCTGTCGTTTATTTACTTGAAACACATTTTAAAACCATTAAACACAGATAACGAAGTCATTAGGTAATAAATATATTCATTTCTGGAAAACTATCAAAAACGTATATTTAACGCATCATCTTTGTTTAAATAAAGATGTTGACAAACAAATTTAATAAAGTTTACTAACAAATACCTAATAAATAATAAATAATTATTTGATATTTGATACGCCGCCTATGCTAACTCTGTCGAAATTTTCATTCATAGACAACACTGTTGATCATGCATATGACTCACCTTCTCCAATAGTTTGTCCGAGTATAACATAAAAAATCAATTACTTAAGATAAAATTAATTCTTTTTAGTCAGCAAGAGAAATAGAAGACATCAAATTAATTGACTTTCAAATGTCTTTATTAGGATCCCCAGTACATGATCTAAGTTACACTTTTTATTCCGGAGCAAGCAAAGAAGCTTTGGATAATTTAGAAGAGCTTCTAAAAATATACCACACTACGCTCAGTGAACACTTAAAACACTACGGTTTAAACGCAGAAAAAGTCTATCCATTTGCAGTCATGAAAGAAGAATGGAGGAAATATTGCTCATTTGGGTTTATAATGGGTATGTTGATATGGGGTGCTAAGAACATTGAAGACGGACACGTTCCTGATTTAAATGAAGTTATTGACGATAAAAATAAATTTCAAAATTATAATATTAAAATTGATCATAAAAATTATGATGGACCTATTTGTAATTTAATTAAACATATGTGTGATAATAATTTTATTTGATCAATACTTAATTGCTTTCTGTTATCTAGGTAAATTTAACTTTGTTTCCTATAGTTTATATCAAAAGTGTTTTTAAATATTAGATACGGATATTGAACATATATTTATGAATTTGTGATAAACCGGTTTTTATTTTGATTTTGGTGCTGTATATAAAACTCCAGGGTATCTATTCTTGAATCTCGGGGATAGAAAAATTTGAGGAAAGAATAAGACAAAATTGTGAGTTGCAGATAAAGAGGAAATACCGGTTTTCTATTCCTTCGAATTCAAAAATAGCTACCCAGATGTTTTGTACAATTTTTTTATTGAATGTGTAGAAACACCTTTAAATAACAATTGCTATGTTCTATGCCAATAATGTGATATGTATGGAGAATATTTTTATTAATTTCCCTCGCAGGTCAACTTCGATCTTTTAAACAATAACTTCGCCATTTACGTTGTAGTGAAACTCACACAAAAGGTTGTGGGAATTCGCTGATTCAAAAAGCGGTATGGAGCTCAAAGTATTTTATTAAATTTACAGAGTTCAAATTCCAACTATAACATAATAATCTATCTCTATAAGAAATAAGACACGCCATTGACCTATATAAAAATGAATAAAAAAAGTTGATAGAAAGTAGTTATATAAGTGCAACAGAAACAATAATAATAATAACATTATAAATATAAGAATACAATAAATATAAAAAATAGATTTTACCTACCTAAATTATTGCAGGTACAAATTAATCATTCTAACCACGAACAACTTGTTGGATTTCTAGTCTAAATTAAACGGCCAAAACGTGCAGGAAATATTCTCTGACCTTTTTGAATAAGTACAACTTTTTGATAGGTCCCCCTCTGGCTAAACAGCGGTAAGGTCGCGCAGAACGGTATGGAAAATGTGTTTCCTACCTTAAGCTCCCAATAATATTTATTAATTATAATCCTACACCACGATGAAAGATAATAGGTGTTTCAACTTCTCTAAAATCCCATATAACAACAAAAGACGATATGGCACCAATCACAACGTAGTTCCAAAAAATTCACCAGAGGTCGTTAAAAGGTGAGGTACGCGTTAGACCATTATAAGAGCTAGGTAAAGTATATTTTAACATTAACATATTCCAACTTCAAAATCTGGCCATCAAATGATTGATCAATCATTTGACAGGTTAGTATTTTAATGTTCACGGAGCATGACATATATTATATTTACGAACAAATATAATTGTATTTTATTTATAACTCTAATAATTTTGCAGTATTATTTATTGTTGTTAGTTTAAAATAATGCTTCTTTAATCTTTGTTGAGGTCTAGTTATTGTCTAGTCTAGTTATTGTTGATCTTAGAAATTAATGATGTACTGATGTCAATATTGTCAATGTCAAATTTTAATTTAGATATCAAAAGTAGAAGTGGGGGATGTAGAAATAAAATAATAAAAATTAAAGACGATAGTAATTGCTGCTATAAGCTTTTATATTATTTTGTAGATAAAGAAACGAATAAAGGTATTTTCAATTTTTTAAATGTGTAGTATGTGTGTACATTTTATTTAGAATCAACAGTTCGGCTGTTAAGACATCATCCGTATATTTTAAATGTAAACAGAAATGGAATGATTGATAATATATTTTTTTTTTTTTCATTTTTAATGAAAGCTCTTGGCGAATACTAATAAAATTTCCACACTTGAGAAGACTTACCTTTCCTTCGTTTTTCTTTATCTATCTGTGTGTAGTTACACCTACAAACCTTTGGTTTATTTTGTAAATGATTAAAGTTGTATAAGATAATGAATCTATTGAAAACAATCCTCTGCGTTTATATTTAATTAAAAGTTTATTACAACACTTATTCATATAGGTAATTAAGGTTTACAGATCATTTTTGTGCCTACCCTTTTCATCAATTTGCCTTTTAAGAGCCACATTTTATTACAATTAGGAGATCCTACCATGTGAAATTATTTAGGACTGGTAACAAAATAAGCATGTATCTTTGGAATGTGTTTATTAATTATCTAAAATGTCGCAGTTATAATTTATTACCTACTCTTCTGTAAACATAACACTTATTTTTTCAAAATCCATTTCAACAATATTTACAATTTTGTAGGAAAGAATACACACTATTTTCCTTATTTAATTATTGTTGTCTTTTAAAATAAAAATGATGAAAAATAGTAATGTTTTCTCACTTTGTTTTAATGAAATATGTGTGGTTGTTATATAAGTATGTGGTATAGTAATTTTCTTCTCGTTTTCACTTTCCATTTCGTTTGTTTCATGGAGTATAATTAGTGGACATTAATAAATTACCATTGTTTAAAAAAATGGATACAGACGTATTTTTTACTCGATAAAGATAAAATTAATTGAATTTTTCTGACAGTTCGCAGTCATTATTTGTTTTCATTTAAGGTACTTCACCTTAGTAGATGATATTGGCCGGTTCTGGAAATGAAAAAGAGGTACAGAGAGAAGCAATTGGGTAATTAGTAATTATCCTAAGTACCCCCCACCCTTCGCGCAATTAGCAAGTACCTCCCAATTACATCATGTACTTTAATAAGTGCAATTGCACAGTAAGTACCACCCAATTACATCATGTACTGTAAATAAATGCAATTGCACAGTAAGTACCTCCCAATTACCATATACACGCCATACTGTAATGATTGTAATTGCATAATAAGTACCTCCCAATTACCCACAGGGTATGCATAGTGTAATGGGTGTAATTACTTCATACATATATAGATGTAAGTATTTACTATGTATATCGGGTAGCATGTAACGAGCATAGTAAGTACCTCTTAGATAGTAATTACTAGGTATAGGATATAGTGTAATGAGTTAAGTCTAAGTACATCTCAATGATTACTATTGTAGCATAGGGAAAATACGTCGGAGCATACCTAAACACATCCTTGACTCTCAACCGTCATAGCTATAGTGAAGCGCTAGTCTCCAGCAGACGCGCAAGACGTAAACATCGGTGGAAGGGATAGTTCCCCATTCTTCACAAAATTAGCGGGTACCTCTCAGGCTTGTATATTATGAATATGAGTTGCATAGTAAGTATTTTTCAGATACCCTATACACCATGTGTAATGTACCTCTCATCACCCCATACACATTGAAATGTAATGAGTGTAGCTACCTTGTATATATAGTAATTTCTATGCGTGTCATGAAGTGTAATGAGTAATTTAAGTAGCTCTTGGTTATTACTATTGTAGCATATATAGCATTTTGTATCCTAAGTACATTCTAAATAATAGACATAAATGGGGGATGAAGACCGCACATCCTTGACTCTCGATCACCATGATTAGAGTGAGGAACCGGCCGGGCGCAAGCATACACGGCATGAATATTGAGGCAGGAACTTGGAAAAAGTGGGGGATTTAGTTAACAAGTACTTCCCAATTCTGAAGTCTAATTGCATAGTAAGAAACTTTCAATGTATAATAAGCATCGCAAATACTTTTCAATCCTCCATTCACATATAGTTACCTTGTATGTATATCATGTGTAATAAGTTGTAGTAAGTACTCCCCATTACTTCAAACACAATGAAGTGGTATAAGTGTAAGTACATTATGTATAGTAATTGCTATGTATATCATGAAGTTTAATATAAGTACCTCTTTTTGAGAGGATATATAGTAGCGTACGTATCCAAAAAGTTTAAACATCGTGAGCTTCCGCAGTGTATGGTTTCAAAACGGCTAAAAATATCTTATTTTAATACAAAATACATACAAAAACGGAAAAAAAACAACATCAGAATAATTAAAATATCTTTCTCAGGTGAAAGACACCAAAAATTTAAAACAAAAAAATAAGTAAAATGCAGACACATTGACACACAACGTTTTCAACTAAACTATTATGTTTTGATTAGTGGAGATCTACGTATAATAATACGCAAACCTCGAACTCAGGTAAAAAGTGCCGGGTCCTTTAGGCATCTAGTTGGACTAAGTTTAGTAGAAATATGTGTTTTTTATGGTCGCCATCTATAACGAAGTTTAGGTAGTTCTTCTAGAGTAGGATGATGAGATATAGTAGAACCCTGTTTTTAATAGTTTTCGGATTATTTATTGTGGGTAGAAAACTACAATATTTTAAGAACATAATAGGTAAATATTTGGTGAAATATTAAGCTGTATATTATAATTACTAAAATATCGAATGTTTATTGAATTAGTAGTCATTTATATACATATGCTAGCCTTTTTTTTAAATTGAATTCACAAAAATATCTAGAATCCAGTCCTTTATAGGATAACAGGTGACAAATAAATCTTTAGATAGAGGTATATTATAATTACTAAAATATCGAATGCATATTAAATTAGTAGTCACATATATTACTTGAAGGTGAAGGACAATACAAATTTGCTGTTATACCTATTTTATTGGAAAATACAGATGAACTATGAACAATCCTTTTCAATTTAAACAAAAACATACACATACAAGTTCGCCATAAATAGAGGGTTTCAGAGATAGATACTTTAAGAAAAATAAATATTTTTATGGCACGAAGCATATGTGAATGGAGTATTGAAAAGTATTTGCGATTAAACATTTTACTATAAGCTGCCAAATGTTCACTTAATTTCATCCAGTGAAAGATAAGTTCTGTAAAAAATCGTAAACTTGTTTTGACCACGTATGATACACTGAAATGGCAGCCTTAAATGTTCGGCAAAAACTAGATTTATGTCTTTGATTATTGTATATGGCTGAAATTAAATTTTATGACTTACTAATAGGAAACCAGTTTTAATCATTCATTCTATGTTTTCTTTCGAACAAAAATGAAAATATAAATAACAATCCTTCTGTTCATACAAATTAACTTCATGCTATTATTTAACGGTATTTTTTATTTTGACAAAATAGATTAATTCTTCAACGACATTTTATTAGACTTCTCATACATATTCCGTAAATACTGTTGCCTGTCTATATTTTATTATTGGTTTTTATATTTATACAATGTTTTTATTGATTATACTTAGTTTTTTTTTTTATTTAAGCGATAAAAATATATAATAATAAATTAATGTTCCACTTGTTTTAAAATCCATACACTTTTAATAAAATTAACATATATACTTTTTAATTACGAATTCTTCTAATAAAAATTGTATTGTCAGTATAGGCATTAGGCCATTAGTACAAAATAGAATTGGCGCTGCTGTCACGCACGGAGCGAATAGGTGTTTTCAGAAACCTATTATGGATTAGAAATCCGGATTATTGGGCTTACCCGACGGATCACGTAGATCACTAAATGAGTTTAATTATTGTTCCTGTTTATCAACTTTTATCAATTTTTAATTTTATCCGCGTGACATTTAATATTTAAAACCCTTATTTGTTTAAGACCCATTTTATTTTAAATAACCTATTCCCTCTAGCAAGTATAAGTTTATAATAGTATTTTACTGATGAAGAAGTCATTATCCTCTTGATATAGATTACAAGTTTTAAGTTACTAAATTTATGTAAACGTTAAAAGAAAACTACTACTGTCAGACACCAAATACCAAACAGTTATTCCATCATTTCTCTATAAAATCTATTACTAATATACTCGCAGAGAGGATTACAAAATACTGGTCTCGATCATAAAACTAGATCAGTAATTTACCAGTTTCCAAAAACGGATAGTGTTAGTAACACTAGGTAAACGAACAATAGAATTTGTAATCTTTCTGATCCGAATAGGTTTCCGAAAACGCCTTATGTTGACAGCAACTCGCATACTTGAATATTATTCAAAATCAGTGTAAAGGAAAATCCAGTAAAGTATTATTTTTTAATATAAAAATACATAATAAAATTTAAATAATAAAATATATTCCCTGTAAACTGGAAATATTAGACATTTATACATAATTTTATTACTATTTAGTCCTACAATAAATAAATTAAATCTAATTATTATTATTTAGTTTCTTCTATTTCTTCTTTCATTTCTTCTTCAGATCCCACAGGCAAATCAGAATTCATTTCCATTTGCTAGTTATAGAAAAAATTACATTTAAACTTTGAAATAAAAAATTAAAAACTTCAAAAGTTCATATACGTATTGCATACTTTTATTACATTCTGGATAACTCTAGAAATTATGATTAAATTTTAAAATATTTAAAAATTCTAACTATTCTACGAATAAATAAAAAACTTACCATCAACAGTTCGTCATTCATTTTGTCTCTGTAGCGTCTGTCGAAAAAGTGACACTAAAAATTAAAAAATATGTTTAAAAAATAAAGTATTTAGATACAATTTCAACTGAAAACTTTATTAAAATTTCACAACAATTGGAAAGAATATTTTTGGATATGCAGGGTATTGCGATTTTACCTGGCAAATAAAAATGTATGTTTTTTAAATAAATATATTTAATTTTGTTTTTAGAATGGTTTGATACTGTATTTAACCCTTGAACGTTTTTAAAAATATAACTGTTGCCAAGCAATTAATTTTTTTTTAAATTAGAGAATGATGCAGACCCCAAATTAAATTATTATAATTTAGGTATATTTACATTGATTTTAAAACTATTTAATATGCAGACTTATAAGATACTAAGCTAATAAATAGTGGTAATAGAATTGGTTAGTTTTATTACAATATGGCTAATTTTAAGTTTATATTACTCAATTTTTTCAAATGCAACATCCTGTATATTACCTTAGCATAAAATTCCTTATAAATTTGCCTAAACAAGGATAACAACATGTTAGCCAATAACACTTATACAGGCTGTTTAAATGGAATAACCTGTATTAATTAATTGGTGATATAAAATATAGGGTTTTCCATTTAAAAAATTTAGAAAATCGTTATCCCGCATTTTGACACACCCTATATACAAGATAGTAAATAAATGAAGTTTATTTAAATTGTTAGACGACGTCGAATCAAGCAATATGTATAACTCCCTGCAGGGTGTTCTGCTTTAAAAATGTAGAAGTTTGGTCAGTCCCTCGTTTATGAACCACCCTGTATATTTAAGAATATTTATTAGACATAGTTATACAACTTTTATGTTATTATTTTTGGTATTGTAACGATTGTTTAATTTAAAAATAGTTTATTAATAAGAACAGTTTATTTTTAATTTAATTATAACGTACTAATTAATTTATTTAATACTCAGGCACTGTTATAACTCACAATTCTAATTTACTTATTACAAATTATCCTTTCTATACAGCATTTAAATTGAAACTTAACGTCTATCGAGAAACTTCGTGGTATTTATACAAAGCCAGCTTTGTACCAGTACATTCTCGACCGTCTAGAAAATTTCAATGTGTTCGTGAAGTACTTCCTCTACACGTCAGCTGCATAACTAGATAATTATGGAAATGTTATTGATCATGAGTCAGGTGCTAGACACATCGTTGCGCTAAAGATCGAAAAACCGAGTCGGCTCAGGCGTTCGTACAACAGTATGTCCATTAATAAAACAGCTATTAATTAATTACGTATTGATGAAACACAATGTATATGTGTCATTGGCTAACATGTTGCTATCATTGGATAGGTAATTTTATAAGGAATATAAAGGATGATGCAATTGAAAAAATGAGTAAATTGGACTTAAAATTAGCCATATTTAACACATGTTTTAAAACACTGTATAAAATAAACCAGTCCTATCACCACAATTCGTTAGCTTTGTATCTTATAAGTTGTGACAGACTTCTGGTTCACTTACAGTGGTAACATAGTTTGCTTTGCGACCCTGTAGTATACCTGTAGTACACCAATAGTACTCAAGATAAACTGAGTGGAGGTAAAAATACCTCCAGGCGGTCACTGCCAACGAGATAGTTACTAAATAAGAATTAAAGTCCCTTATCTCCCTTCGACCTCATACCTTACGGTACCCAGAAATAAAACCGTTAAGAACCGGTAATAAAAGAAACACAGGGATAGATAACAAAAAAAAAACACCTGTGCGCGGTATTCGCACCCTCTGTATACAAATAATAAATTTTCAATAAAATAAATTTAACTAAATACAACGCTTTAATAATACAGGAAAAATAATTAAAACGGAAATTTATGATCCTCCCTGTATAGAAAAAAATACATTTATTAATAAAATAACGGTGGAATAATACAGAAAAATAATCAATCCGAAAATTATGATCCTCCCTGTATACAGAAAATAAATTTTTCACGAAATAAAATTAATTTAATAAAACAATTATTCAATTCAATTATTTCAGCTTCATTATTATTCAATAATGAAGCTAAAAATAATCAAAACTAAATTTTTAGGGCCTTCTATCGGCAGAAAAATAAACTTTTCCACTAGTATATTAATAATACACGACGGTTGAATGATACATAAATTGAAAAAAAAAATAATACAGAAGTTTACGTCGCTCGGGTATTCGCTCAGTGCGAAGTCATGGTAGGGGAAGCAAATACGATATTAGCGCGAGCTGCGAATAATTCGTGCATTTTAGGGCGATATTTTATAATTTTGGCATATCAAATACACGTATACATTTTACTTTTTCAAAAGAGTAGGTAAAAACAATACAATAAGCAACCGGAGTTGCTGTGTTGAAAATTATAAAAATACTAGCAAAAAAAAACAGTGAAAATTATAAAAAATTTCAGTAGCAAAGTGGAAATTAAAGAAATAAATGGATAGACGTACAATAAAAAAAAAATACCTTTATTTTTGTAATAATAATAGTAATACTGGAAATAGTAGACATCGGAAACTTGAAAGGTTTTAAATAAACAATAAATTATCAGTTTACGATGTTCTTCAACGTCCCTTTATTCTTAAATGTTCAGCAAGGACTAGATTTGCCAGTGGCAAATGTAACAACCAGTTAGCCTAAAGGACCAACGCTCGTCACCAAATGTAACAACCAGCAAGCCTAAAGACCATTTGTAACTACTCATAGGTCTTTAGCTATTGTTGTTAATATATTATTAAGGGATTAGGGCAGCGTTGTCACCAGCCAAAGGGTCCTGGAGTCCTGAAGGAACATCCATTCGCCAGTTACAAAAGAAAATAATAAAGAAAAAATAATAAAATACAAAAAAAACATCCCTTAATAGCATATGTCGAGCGGTTCTTGGCAACTAGTTTTAGACTTTTTTAGTCCTAAGGGAATAGAAATGCCGAGGCATCTCAAATGCTCGGAGTATTTTGCTGGGTTGGGAAGGGAGAAGAGATTAATAATAAGTATTAAAACATTAACAAATGTATATTAACAATAAATATAAAACTTGACAAATAGTCTTCAGAAAAAAAATGAATACAATTCCATTTAGGGAATAACTAATAGAAATAAAGATATGCATAAAATATAATTCGGGACGAAAATGTAAAATTGGCATTTATATGTAAATCAATTAATCAATTATTATTAAACAAAATTACTGTAAAATTAAGTTAAAATATAAATATAAAAGGACTGTTATATACTGTTATATACTGTTATATACTGTAATATACTGTTATATACTGTTATATACTGTTATATACTGTTATATACTGTTATATACTGTTATATACTGTTATATACTGTTATATACTGTTATATACTGTTATATACTGTTATATACTGTTATATACTGTTATATACTGTTATATACTGTTATATACTGTTATATACTGTTATATACTGTTATATTTTGTTATATACTGTTATATACTGTTATATACTGTTATATACTGTTAAATACTGTTATATACTGTTATATACTGTTATATACTGTTATATACCGTTATATACTGTTATATACTGTTATATACTGTTATATACTGTTATATACTGTTATATACTGTTATATACTGTTATATACTGTTATATACTGTTATATACTGTTATATACTGTTATATACTGTTATATACTGTTATATACTGTTATACACTGTTATATACTGTTATATACTCTTATATATATACACCCCACAAAAATTATCGCATCACTAAAATGTTTGCAATGTATGTTTATAAAAACAGGCAGTGCAAAAAAACTGTATTTCTCCTCTAATAACAGAGAGAATAAAACAATCAAAAAAATAAATGTTTGCGAAAAATGAGGCTAAATTAGGCTATTAATTATAACATGCTATTATTGCTGGTACACTTCACAGGGTGTTACGAATTTTCCAACCAAAAACCTATTATTGTAACATCCGGTATACACTCTAAAATTAAATTTTATTTAAATAATCAAAGAGATTATTATTCCTGAAGAATCAACTTAACTTCCAAAAAAAGAATATCCAAATCAATCAAACGGTTCAAAAAAAAACTCCAAATTTTTGAAAACTATTAGTGATGCGATAATTTTTGTGGGGTGTATATATTATGAATTTCGCACAATAATTTGCTTTACTTACTTTGTAAAATAGAAAAATTAGTAGAGCCAGTAGCAGGATTCCCAATATTGACGAAACTATGTATACCCACAATGGAACATTTGCCGAGTGAGATGAAAAAAATAAAGTTGCTGAATGTCCGTGAATTCTGAAAAAGATGTTTTGGTAAAATGTAAAAAACAAAAAAATAAAATATGTAAAAATAAAAGTATATTTATGTATATAAAATTGTATTAGTGTCATTAAGAACTAATTACCGTGTTTCATTTCCATTCAAAAGGTAAGCTGTGGTTACATATGCTGCAATGTTCTTGGATTGTTCTTGTTTTTGGAAGAATTTAGCTAAAATGAAATATAAAGCCTTAAAATATCGCTATTTACACACATGATTAAACAGTTTATTACATTACAAGCGCGGAATAGTATATTACATTACGAGTGTGGAAAATCACTTTTCACACAAGTGATGTACAATATTTTTCCTACGACCACAAAATAATGTCATCAAAAAAATGTAAAACCAAGGTTATTATTACTATAATAATTAAAATGTATTTAAAAAAATAATCAACAATAATCGTATTTATTAAAAAAAAAATAAAAAAAAAAACAAAAAAAAAATTGTGCCCTGCCAGGATTCGAACGCGGTCGAAAAATGGCAAAGTTGATAAGATGTCCTAACCACCTGAGCTAATAGCCCTTTTGTGTCAATTGAATGATCTAATCGGTTATGTATTTAACCAGAATAAAGAGCAAACATTATTTTAAAATTATTTTAATAATAATTGTTAAAGATAAATATCTAGGATATAATTTACAACGATTTCAATAATTTAACAATCATATCGATTTTAGTATTAATATGGACATTACATAGATCAAAATAGAAATTAGGTGTTTGACATTTTGTGACAACTACTGCGGAAAGTAACATATTCTCACTCGGGTGGAAAGTAAATTCTTATTCATACGCGTGTGATATAGGGCACTTTCCATAGGACTATACATATAGTGTGATATGTATCACTTTCCTAAGTGGTCGTAGGAAAAATAACTTTTCATACTAGTGGAAAATATTGTCGTACGAGGCGTAAGCCGAGTGATGTTAATTCTTTTTCTATAAATTCAACATTGAATTTTTCAAACAAGTGTCTATCCCTCGCTATGGGTCGTGACCTCACTCCCTTTTATAAATTTGTTTTATGACAGATATAAAATGTAAAGTGACATATGTCAAATAAAGGAAAACATACCTTCTGTGTTGGCTTAGTCCTATCTACATAGCTGACAGTTCAACAGGATTTATATAAAATGTTGTTTCCTAAGACGTAAACTATTCTCGGTTGATCTAAACTAGTTTATATTAATCCCTCAAGAATGAGCGTATAAAAATTTATTTCTATTAACGTAAACTATTTTGTATTTGTTAATATGATTTTTAAAATGGATTCGGATAAAGACAAAATTTTAGAAAATTATTACGATATACAGGGTGAACCGTAAGTTGATCTTTTTTAACTGTGTCTTTCAATATAATCTTTATTTTCTAGAGAAATCGCATTAAATTCTGCAATTATTGTTTCACTTTTTATTTAGTTATTATTTTGAAACTTCCAAAACCGAAAAGTTTTTATTTATTTAACTATGCTAAAAATATGGGAATCAATAATGAAAAATATCACAAGTCGACAAAAAATTATTTTTCTTTTGGTTTTTGTTCTAATGCTTGAATTCTGATTCTAGACTTAAATTTCCAGTTTTAACTTTTAAAGTTTGCTTTTGTCTGATTTGCATCGATAAGTAAGTTTTAAACATTTTAATTTATTTTATGAGCAACAGATGGTAAGACTCTGATCAATCTTTGTGAATGGCACAGTAGTGAGTATTTATTTGTCTATCACAGCTGTAACAACCGCCCTTGTGTGTTACTAAGTTAAAAAATGGCATCAAGACAGTGTAAACGTCGGACCATAAATAAAACAAATAATGAGCAATGATGATTTCACAGAATTCCTCAATGCTCATGAAAAACAAGTTTTAAAGCAGAAGTTAATGGTTTTCTTGGTAACAACAGAGCTGACAATTTTAAAGAGTCGATTGGAATTATGTTTGAAATTTTTAAAATTATGGGCTGCAGAATGTTTCATAAACTTCATATTGTCATGACATTCCTAATGCCTACCCTATGTAAGCGCGACCGTCAGATGGCAACCGACTCGTGCTCGAGGCGACGGAACGTACAGGAATGTCGCTGAGGTACTAGAAACGGCTAGAACGGGCGGAGAGTACCGTTTAGTCATAAAGATGGAATTTTCGGGAGCCTCTGGAAGCTACGGGCACAAAATTGGCTTGGTATAAATAGCCGACTTATAGGCGCACAGTTTAGTTTAGTATAGAACATTGTAATGAAAAGTTAAATTTTAATAAATAAATTAGAATCATTAGTAAGTGTCTAAGTATTATATAAATTAAATAGTACGTCTGAAATAAATTGTAAATAGTGAATTTTAAATAAATGAACTATAAATAAATTAGACTATCGTCACAATATGCTACATTCTCTCCTGGATCAATTTAAAAACAATATGGATGCCTACTGAGAGAAGCAAGAAGAACGTTTTTACCAAGATGTGATGGACTTTAAACAACGTTACCAAGAGCAGTACAACGAGAATATGACGGAAGATTACATTTGGGGTTTAATACGAGAAAGCTCATACAAACAAGAGAACTTCTAAAAATAGTCATTTCTGAACTTGATTTTTTGTTATTTTACATTTATATGCTATTGTTTATCACAATTCTTGAATTAAAAAGACTTTGATGTTCAGCAAAAACTTTGTTAATCGTAATTAAAAATAAAATTATAAAAATCAGTCATTTTTCTTGAAAATTCGAAAAATTTTCTCTTGTAATAAATAAATGATTTTTGTAGTTTTATATGCCTAGATGTTAATTTAATTTAATTTTGTATCTGATAATTCTGATAACACAAAGTAATAATTTTCTTAATAGTTCCTTATTTGATAAATTGCAGTAGTCATTCGCTAATTATTTTAATAAAATTATATGAGCCATGAAATGTCAAACATATAATATATCATACATAAATCAAGTCCAAGTCCAATTATTCATCCGCAAATGTGACACTTTTAGGTGTGTTATTTGGGAAAAGTTAAATTTCATTACAAATATATCGTTCTTTCTCACCTTGTCTACACGTTCTAACGTGGAAATAGTTTGCTACGCAGCGATGGAGCCCTCGACGACGAAGTTTTAAAAAACACTATGTAGAAAATGCTGCCATAGTAGCGCAAACTTAAAACTTTCAGATATTACTTACATCAAAAGTTAGTAGAAAAAAATTTTTTTGAAATTCATCTGACAGTAGGTACCTTCTTGGTTGCTGACAGGACATTACATGGCTAGATCGAATGCAGTAAAGTATTTTCATCTTCTACAGGGTAAGAATTAACGATACATTTATAATTATTTAGCCTTCTGCAAATGTGTACTAAAAAAAGTTTCACTGGCTCCCTACTATACAGAATCGATGACAGTTGTTTAAAGTAACAATGACAAGGGGTAATCGTCGTAGCCAACCCAACAATTGTAAGGCGAGCACAAGAAAGAAATAGCAGAAAGTGTTTGAAAAATTACTAGACTCAAAGGTCCCGCGCTTTTCTCGCTCATGAGTAATGCCAAATTTTCGAATAATGGGAAAGGTCAATTGTAATGATGGCCATTTAACTTTTATAACTAAAAGGCCCGCATATGTAGGTCACTATGGTCGACAGTAGGGATAGGCAAGTTAAACAAAATATAGAGTGTCCCAGACTGAAAAATAAACAGGCATTTTTTCATTATTTATAAACCGTATATAATTTTTAAAAAGTGATTGATGAAGAACTACATTCTAAATGATTAATATATAAATGGGGTGGTATTTAAAAAGTTTAATAGAGTGAGTTATCAAGTGAAAAATATTTGGGGGATGATTTTTTCCATGCCATATTAAAATGTCTTTAGGGAAAATGGTATGGTTGACTAGTTTTGTCTCACTCAATTATCTTTATTTAGTTTTAAAATATGACCTGGAATAATTAGTCTGGAACATCCTGTGTACACAATAGTCATCATGAAATGTGATACATTGTCTAAAACAGCTGGTCAAGGAGATTATAAAAATGTAAAAATATATTTAGAATGAAGAAGTTTGAAGTCACTTCTGGTATAACCAAAATATTTTATATATAACCACATATTTAAGGGTCTATTCTGTAAAAATTTGGTTAAAATTAACCCTAGATTATGAAAAAAACCGGATGTTATGTTTAATTTTGTATTTTGTATTATTTGGTTATAATTATAACTTATGTCAGTAATTTTTAAAGCTGCATTGTTTTTAATTTTAATTCACTTTCAGTCGTTGCTATGTCTATTTTAACTACGATTGGCTATAAAATAGCTAATAACAAAATTCAATTGATGGAATATCGAATAGAGTTGGGTAAAATTTAAACGTCATAGTTAAAGATAACCTTTTAACCGGGGGGTTAAAATTAAGCAAAACGTTACAGAATAGACCTTAATCAAATATCCATTTGGTTATGAGATATAGTCTCGATGAATTGGTCTGGGACACCCTGTATGTATTCAATTCGTATGGATTGCTCATTTACCTGATGGCTAAACAAAATACCATTTTGTTATTACTTTCTATTAAAAGGAGAAGAAGAACTAAACATTTAATCAAATGAATGATTTTTTAATATTAAATAAAGAAGGTAGAAATATAGATTTTATCTTACCTAATCTTGTATTTTTAATTTTAAATTTTAAAGTATATTTGGCAGTTTCTGATGATTTATACAAGTAATCGCCTTTACAAATAAATTCCTCACATTTTGCATTCTCTTCAAAACAATCCAATACCACAGTTCGATTTATGGCTGATTTAACAACTGTTGAAATATCATACAATTTATCAAACTTTTTAGATTCATTTGAAGTGTAACATTGAATATAGGTATCTCGGAGATTGCCCTAAAATAATTATATAATAATTAATAATTTGATAATGATGTTAATAAAAATGATAACAAAGTAAATAATTACTGATACTCACCCTTGCTCCAACAAATTGAAATATATCATCGTTATCCATTTTTATAACCGGTAACATAAGGTAAATGTCTGATTTTACAGGAGAAGGTCCGAAATTTCCAATAGTAAATGTATGGTATACTTCAACTTCTGTTTCGTCCGCTACAGTTTCATCATTAATTTCATAATCTTCAGGTTCTGATTTCCTGAACAAATATATTGTAAAACAAAACATATAAGGCATAAGGGATTTAAAAAACTAAATAAGTTCATATTTTTTAAATTAAATCGTTACTAAAATAATATCCTGATGTTATTTAATCATGTTCAAGGTTAAATAATTAGGTATTATTAATCATAATTACATTAGTGTAATAAGATGACAACAAACTATGGAAAAGTTATAAAGGTATAAATTACATCGGGATCCGCACGTAGAATCTGGGGCCCGCCTAGCAGTTTGGCTGATATAATGCAATGCCTATTAAAGGGAAAGCTCACTTACGCGACATGTCGCGCGCGGCCTGCCGCATGCGATTTTTTAGGTGCGATTTTTTAACAGACGACAAGCAGCGACACAGACGTTCAGTAGCAAAATAGAGGTTCAATATTTCTAATTCAATAGAAACAATGGATAAATTGAAAAATCTTTCTTAATCTATATTCGCTCTTAAATAATTTTTAATTTCGAAAACAAGCATATACCAGTAGCCACTGAAATCGGGAGTATTAACCAAATTCGCGAATCTATTGAAATATTTGGAAAGGTACTTATAAGTGAGTTTTCAAACTTAAATTACAAAATAAATTGTTTGAATTAGGATAATTTCCTGACCGTAGCAGAATTATATATAAATAAAAATTTCCTTGGTTTATTCGAGCATTTTCATTTTCTAACGTTTAGGACAGCACTACATATGTTTCGGAAAATACAATTTTTCTATCTTTATAAAAAGTATGGGGATGAATACAGTTTAAAAAATTTTTAAATAATAGAACGCCATCTTTCTATTTCACATCGTGTGAAGGTGTATTCGAAATAAGGAATTTGGGAAATTTTTGGCCTCCCGTGTGCAATGCACACATCGCACATATGGTAGGCGGCTCCTGGGTAGAATTATCTGTGTAGAAGACTCTCCTGGTAGAATTCACAATAGCGACTATAGACCATCGAGGCTTTGGATCTCGATCGTGAAAGGTCGAATAGCGGTTTGGACTAATACTGGAGGACTAACACTGTAAGATATTGGATTTGATAAATGTGTAATATTTTTAGTGTTGAGACCATATTTCTGTATGTCGAGCTGCAACCTATTTTGCAGGATTGTTGCTTAATATATTTGTTTTATTAAAAATTTGTTTTTCAGTGTTTTTAGGGAGGTACAGTTAACAAAACCGAAATGTAAGTACCAAAATTGATTGGTGTGATTTAGATTTTTCATTGATACATTCAAATTTAACAGCCCTTAAATATTATTGTAAAGTACATTTCCAATTGTCTATTATAATAAATGAACGCTTTTTGTAGTTTTATATGCCTAGATGTTAATTATACTCTTCACACAGTAGTTAGTCTTTGAAGAGTAGTATGCATTCACTTTCGTCTGTCCGATGTCACGTTCTTTGTCCGCACGATAAGTCAAAAACGAACAACGATATCAATTTGAAAATTTTAGGAAAAATCAAGCTCTATCCTGAGAAGATAGGCACCTCCTAGCTCGTGAGACAGCCTTCAGATATAATGTAGTTGACAACGTCGTCAAGAGGTTCTTCTCTTATATCGGCCGGTGTTAGCCGATACTCGCCGAACACAAATTTTCCAATAAATGAGAGCGTCGAGCAATCGTAAAGGATATTCTCGATGGTCTCATCTTCTTGTTCGCACCCTCTGCAGAGTGCGGATTCTGACAGCCCCATGATATGGAGATGCCTGTGACTAGGCGCAGATTCTGTCTAGTCATATTCAAGTATTTTTTTGCTACCGTGTTGTCAGGATAACTTAAGAGCTCCCTGGCAACTCTGCAGTTTCTTATTTCATTTAATCTTTCCTTGAATTTCACAAGGGAATGTTCTTCGATTAGGTCTGTCACTGCCGATTTTATCAGGCCAGTAGAAGGGCCAGGTCCCAAAAGTATTTGGTTGGCTGCTTTCTTGGCTAGTGAATCAGCAAGACGGTTAACTTCCGATGTAGCGTGACCTTTAATCCATCTTAAGGTGAACACGTTGTTGATGGATACTTCGGCCAAAGCTTCGTAACATTCTAGTACTAACCCTGAATAAATTTGTGGTCTGTTCAGGGTGAGTAGTGCTTGTCTGCTATCTGTATACATGAGCATGTTCCTTCCAGTAATAATAGAAGTATCTAATATATTTTTGTTCGCAGATATTTTCACTTCTCTTTGTAACACCACTAGCCAAATCCGGACTCACAGAAATGAATTTCAATAAAAAATCCCAAGACAACCAAAAGCGTTCAGATTTCGATTGCGCCAAACGTACGTACGGCCCTAATATCAAAAGTAGAACGGTTATTTTTATTTAAGAAACATGTTATACCTTGACAATATCTTTATGGATTCCTAGACGTAAAGCGAGTATTCCTGTCATATATATTTTTTTTTTTTATTTTTATTACCTAACTTGTTGATAAGAAGTCTTGGGAATTATTGGTGAATCTGTTTGACAAAATAACAATAATATGTATGCAATAAAAAAGCATACCAGACAGGAAAAACATTTTTAATTAAAATTATTAAAATTTACCCTTCGATGTAAGGTGAGCTTTGTGAGATAACTGCAATTTCTATAGTTTCTTTATTTTCAACATTCTCTCCCAAACATTTTACTTCAAACGACATTTTCAAGGATTTTACGTCTTTAATGTTGTCGACCACATCAAAACTAACTGACAACTGAAATAAAAAATAAATGGTTTAATGTTTGCGACTAGCATTTCATTGAACGAAACCAGAGTTGAGTAGTATCCGGATACTTTATGTGTATCCGAAAGCTGTATCCGTGACCAAATTTGTGACTTTTTTTGGCATTCGGATACTTTTAAATTATTTACCACAATCGTAAATGATAATAATTAGAATAATAATAATAAAATAATTAAGAATACTAACAATACTTATGATATTTGTTATCAAATAGAATGAGAATAGTACATAAAAAATACACCCAGTATATTAAAAAGTATACATCAATGAAAAATGTCAAAATGAAAGAGCATTTAAAAAACGTTATGAGTATTGGCCTTTATGGGTTGCTAGGGTGAACAAAGGAAATGGGTTGTTGATTTTTTTTGTTTTTTGAAAGAAAAGATGCCAAGAAAAGTTTTGATGAACGGATTATCTAGTAAAATTTAGTAAAATATAATATAAACGACGTGTTAAATAAGCAAAGTCATTGCAAGTTATGTAAATGTATAGAGTCATAAAACCTTAGTGGTAAATATATATGGTAAGACAAGTTGGATCCAGGATTTGAAGACAAAAATGGGACAACATCGGCAGCAGCTAATATACCTGCCGAAACTGGAGAATATAACAAACTGTGAGTACTTTCTTAAGTGAAATGGTTTATTAGTGCGGGTACTGACGTTTACAAAAGTTGTTGCGAGAAAGTAATTGTCATTATAGATAGAATTTTTTTACAAGACATAAGTAAACATAGCATATATTTCACATTTAGTCTTAAAATTTTGAACTTTACTAAGTGACAGTAGTTGTCAAAGAATTTTGTAGTACCTAATTGATATAGAATATAAGTTGTAGGTAGGGCAAATTGCTATATTTACTTACGTAAATGATATATCTCAAATCGATTTACATGTTTGTATATGAATCGATTTTTTTATTAATTTAATAGATTTGGATGAGGAAGAATGAATGAATTACAGTAGTAGGTTATTTATTTTAAGTTATTATAGGTATATGAGATACCTGAATCATATGATTGATCAAATTGATGACGATTTGTTAAAAATAAATACATTTTTAAGAATTTGCTTATTTAATACAATCATACACAGATATCATTGGAAAAGCTTATGGGTGTTTCTTTAAACCAGTGGCAGAACTTATTTAAATTATTTGAGGACAAATACCATAAAAAAATTTAAAATAAAATGTAAATAAAATTAAAATTTAAATAAAATTTAAATGAAATTTAAATAAAATTTAAATAAAATTTAAATAAAATTTAAATAAAATTTAAATAAAATTTAAATAAAATTTAAATAAAATTTAAATAAAATTTAAATTAAATTTAAATAAAATTTAAATAAAATTTAAATAAAATTTAAATAAAATTTAAATAAAATTTAAATAAAATTTAAATAAAATTTAAATAAAATTTAAATAAAATTTAAATAAAATTTAAATAAAATTTAAATAAAATTTAAATAAAATTTAAATAAAATTTAAATAAAATTTAAATAAAATTTAAATAAAATTTAAATAAAAAATAAAATTTAAATAAAATTTAAATAAAATTTAAATAAAATTTAAATAAAATTTAAATAAAATTTAAATAAAATTTAAATAAAATTTAAATAAAATTTAAATAAAATTTAAATAAAATTTAAATAAAATTTAAATAAAATTTAAATAAAATTTAAATAAAATTTAAATAAAATTTAAATAAAATTTAAATAAAATTTAAATAAAATTTAAATAAAATTTAAATAAAATTTAAATAAAATTTAAATAAAATTTAAATAAAATTTAAATAAAATTTAAATAAAATTTAAATAAAATTTAAATAAAATTTAAATAAAATTTAAATAAAATTTAAATAAAATTTAAATAAAATTTAAATAAAATTTAAATAAAATTTAAATAAAATTTAAATAAAATTTAAATAAAATTTAAATAAAATTTAAATAAAATTTAATTAAAATTTAAATAAAATTTAAATAAAATTTAAATAAAATTTAAATAAAATTTAAATAAAATTTAAATAAAATTTAAATAAAATTTAAAATTTAAATAAAATTTAAAATTTAAATAAAATTTAAAATTTAAATAAAATTTAAATGAAATAAAAATAAATTACATAAAAAAATTAATAAATAGCATTTATAAATATTGATATTGTAAAATTTACCTAAACCACCCCTGAGAGAAAGAAAAGCTCCTGCTCTAATGAATAGTGATTTATGAGAAGGATATCAAAGACTAGCCGAGATAAGTATAGTGCTATAGTAAAGTAAAGTATAGTGTTTTGTATATATAAAGTAAAGTGGTGATTGTAAATAATCATTACAATACATAATCGAATTACTTTGAGCTACCCTAATTAGAAATAAAATATGTATTTTTCAATATTACAATATTTAAAACACAATTGCAATATATACCTACTTAATTAAAAAATAGTAAAATAATTATTTTATTATGATTTGTAGTTTTGTTTGGTGCACCCTGAAAAATTTAAAATAACGCAAAAAAAATTCTCATCGCCAAGGATGAATTCGATGATTCACCCAGTATACAGACGGTCGGGATTCAGCATCATGCAGCACGTTTTTACAGGAAAAATCCTGCAAACCCTTGTCCGGGGTTAGCGTCACGAACTTGTTGAAGGTCATTACCCCAGTTATGTTTTAGTTGGCATAGACAAGAGACGGTTAGTCCAGTGTTTTTATATAGTGCAATATAACCAAACTTTCTGTTTCAGTTTTAGTGCCTAACCACAGCCTAACTATACGCAAAGGTAAGTAGGTGTAGGTGTCTCGAATTTTTTGTTTTGTAAAATGTCTAATTACAATATTAGTTCTTAAAATGTAGTCCAGAAAATACATCAATAAAGTATACAGATCTGACAAGATCAAATGTACGTTCCTGCTTTGCCAATGCCATAACGAAACATTCAGCAATCTCTCATTCCTCCTCCTTTCGACGCTCTTGACTCTACCAAGTACCGCTCGTCGAAGGATCCACAAAAAATGGATTATCAAATACATCTGATACTGACGAGAGAATCGAAAGGTTGTATAAATATGGCAAGTCGCGCCAACAACGAGCTTATTTCGTTAGATTTATATGGACACGACACTGGCTTGTTTTTGGCGCGGTTTAGACGCGACTAGTTTTATTTACACGCACCTTTATGTTTTATTGTTCATTTGGTTTTAATGTTTTATATTCACAGAATGAAAATAATAAACAATTTATTAAGTAGTTTTTTTTCTCTTTCTATTATATCGCTTTCCATTTTCGATAATTTATGTATGCCTAATATTGTTTATTGTTAGTGGTAATCAATCTTATTGCATAATTATAACTATTGGTATGAAAACATTATTTTAACTCACTTTAAAATTATCCGGATACTTGTATCTGAGTACTTTTTAGGTGAAAGTATCCTTAAAAGTATCCGGATACGGATACTTTTTTGCTGTATCCGACCCAACTCTGAACGAAACTAACGAAAGCATTAAATATGTTAAACACAAATTTTTGTACAACTCTACATACATAGTGTTTAATAAAATGCACAACTACGAAAACACAATTGTATTATTTTAACTATTTATGTAAACTTCTATAAAAATTAAGACACGCTTTCTAAATTTCGATTATTCTGACGCTTAGAATCAAGAATAAACAAAATGATAGTTACCTACCCCTTTTTCATGTTCAGGAGGCATTTGGTTTGCAAACAGGCAGCTATATGTTGAATTCTCAAGAGTGTATTTTCTTTCATTTTGCAGTTTTAATTCTTTTGGTATTTGCATCAGTAACTTACATTGGTATCCAGGTTCTCCGACGTTTTCTCCAGATACTTTAACATTTATGACTTTGTTTATACCCCAAATAATATTTTCACTGAAAGACAAAAATTGGATTTATTAGTTCCTTTATTCATAGAATAAATAAAAAATACGAAAATTTGCAGAAATTGGTAGAAATTACCGAAAAACAAACCAAAATAGGTATTTATTTTTTGGGAATAAAATTTGAATACTTTCAAGTGTCTGCCTTGATACTTTGAAAATTTAAACCTAAACCTTTTTTTAATATTGCCAATATCCAACAATATCATTAAAAAAATTACTTGCTTGGCTATAGGTATTTCATAGTTAGATTGAGACAATTGCCAAAGAAAATTCTCGTCTTAAAAACATGTATACACTGTGACAATTTAAAAACTTACGTGGGCTATATCTCACAAACGAAAAATGATATATTAAAAAATGCTTAAAACCGTTTCTAGCATAGGAAGGGGGAACTAAAATGACATAAAAGAGAACCCCTACTTGAGATATATCATTGAAAAGTCTGTAAAAAATACTATCCAACGATATACATATAAATTGTACAGGTTGTATCAATAATTGTAAAACCTTGCCTTGAAAGGAAAATTTAATGAAGGTTCTGTTGATTTACAGGACCCCGCACTTTTTATTGGGAAAAATGGTTTCAGTCCCAAGGTCTAATTTTTGGTGGAAAATGTAGATCTCAACATCCTGAACAAAAAAGGTAATGGGCACAAAAAATCTACCGTCAGGATTTTGCGCTACGGGCCATAGAAGGTCGGCACATGGGTTTTCAGGTTTCGGGTAATTTTTATTAAAAAAGAGCGTGTTCAGTGGCCGATTATTTTTTTACATTTTGTCACATTTCTCGAATACGGACCATTTTAGGAAAAATTATAGATAATAATATAAGAAGTAACTTTTATTTAAAGAATTTTCTTCCTCAAACGTAAATAACAGATATATTCCATAAAATATAAAAATGACCACCCGTAAAGTACCCTCCCAGATGTTCCGACTCTGCCCAAAATCTAATCAGCACATTGGACGCTGGAACAAAGCTTAAGTTTAAAATTTGGTGTTTTTCTGTGTATCGGTTCATGAGTTATGCGACACACAGACACACACACACACACACACACACACACACACACACACACACACACACACACACACACACACACACACACACACACACACACACACACACACACACACACACACACACACACACACACACACACACTCACACACACACACCCACACACTCACACACACACACTCACACACACACACCCACACACCCACACACCCACACACCCAGACACCCACACACACACACACACACACACACACACACTCACACACACACACCCACACACTCACACACACACACACACACACACACACACACACACACACACACACACACACACACACACACACACACACACACACACACACACACACACACACACACACACACACACACACACACACACACACACACACACACACACACACACACACACACACACACACACACACACACACACACACACACACACACACACACACACACACACACACACACACACACACACACACACACACACACACACACACACACACACACACACACACACACACACACACACACACACACACACACACACACACACACACACACACACACACACACACACACACACACACACACACACACACACACACACACACACACACACACACACACACACACACACACACACACACACACACACACACACACACACACACACACACACACACACACACACACACACACACACACACACACACACACACACACACACACACACACACACACACACACACACACACACACACACACACACACACACACACACACACACACACACACACACACACACACACACACACACACACACACACACACACACACACACACACACACACACACACACACACACACACACACACACACACACACACACACACACACACACACACACACACACACACACACACACACACACACACACACACACACACACACACACACACACACACACACACACACACACACACACACACACACACACACACACACACACACACACACACACACACACACACACACACACACACACACACACACACACACACACACACACACACACACACACACACACACACACACACACACACACACACACACACACACACACACACACACACACACACACACACACACACACACACACACACACACACACACACACACACACACACACACACACACACACACACACACACACACACACACACACACACACACACACACACACACACACACACACACACACACACACACACACACACACACACACACACACACACACACACACACACACACACACACACACACACACACACACACACACACACACACACACACACACACACACACACACACACACACACACACACACACACACACACACACACACACACACACACACACACACACACACACACACACACACACACACACACACACACACACACACACACACACACACACACACACACACACACACACACACACACACACACACACACACACACACACACACACACACACACACACACACACACACACACACACACACACACACACACACACACACACACACACACACACACACACACAACGCACTCGCACAGATACACACACAGACATCATCGCGAAAATAGTCGAAACGGATTCAGGGGACCTCAAAACGTAAAAATCCGTCGAAAACTCAAGGTCGAAAAAAATCATGATTCCTATACTTTCCTTATATCTGTATACAGATAGGAAAGTAAAAATGTTTCGAGGTAGATGTATGTGGACAATGTATAATATATTTAGTTTATCCTCTAAACATTTATAGAGATGCTGCAATAGGTTGTTCAAAATAACCAGAAAAAGCTTAGGTATAATAACTAGATAGGAAAGTCATGTGTTGGACACATCAGATTTTTCATTCACAATTTAATCTACGAAGTGCGTATATACCATTTTATATTACGTGACCTTTTTTATATTGTAGAAGCTTATTTTGTACTCTTATGGAATGTGACGTTATATCCCCTCTTTTATTGCACTCCTTTTTTATTTAGACTCTAAATTAATAATTCTTTATCAAAGCACATGAACTCCCTAAATTTATTATTTGATTTCATAATATACTAGAACTAGACAATCAAAAGAAAATTCCTGTTATTGAGATACAGTGGCGTTTTCACTTTTTAATGTTTACCCACGTAGCTAATCAGTAATGGATAGGACACCGAAGTCAGATTTTAATAACTTCTTCACCGTTGGTATATTTATTTTGCTAATTTTCACTTTCTTTTTATTAAAAACTTTTTACTTTACAATACATTAACTCCATAATTATCCATTTAGGTGTGCCCGAAGATTAAAGGTACGGTCTCTTTTGGGCGAGTAGTCGAGACGTTTAGACGCAGCGCTTAATGGCTTACGCCTAGACGCACCTGATCGCACCTAGTGGTATGTTTACGTCGTCACCTCAATTAATCGACTAATCACCAATCAGTATTTTTTATTTCGTTCGACAAAAATGACTACTAGTGAACTTGTGATTGCAGCACAGTTGCTTATAGAAGAAGCAGAAGACAATGACATTTTACTATTATCATTAATGCAAAAAAAGCGTAGAAAGGTTCATAAAATGTTTGTTCAAAGAGGAAAGGAAAAGTGCTTTAGTACGCTAATAATGAGACATTTAATTTATGACGAAACTAAATATAAAGAATACTTTAGGCTTACCAAAAGTCAATTTAATGAACTGTTAAATATTGTATCAATTGATACAAAAAAATTCTACTAAATGCGTTAAAAGGCCAATTACAGCAATGAAAAAGCTTGCTTTGGTGTTAGGGTATTTCATGTTGAGAGTAATGCCTGTAGAAATATGCAAAACCGTATTTTCTTTTTAGGTAATTGGCTACAGGAGAATCCTATCGTTCGATGACATGTAATTATAGAATTTCCCATAACTACATTAGTGTATTGGTATGAGATGTTTTAAAAGTGTTGTGTAACAGGTTAGTGCCTGTTGTCTTAAAACAACCATCGAAAGAAGATTATATTAGAATAGCTGCTCAGTTTAGCGAGTACCTTACTACTTCGATACCGGTCGCTAATAAATAACACTGTGACAAATAAAGGACTTTTTATTCTGCCTCCTTAATCAATAATAAATATAATTTATTTGCTTCATTAATACTAAAAGAGAGGTATTTAAAACTTACTTATCTGGTAAGACATTAATCAATATTTGTGTTTGACAAATGTTGTCATCTCCACATCCATGAGCGTAAGGAATAGTACGATCAATCCATGGCTCACCATCTCCCATAATATTTCCAGAAACCGTGGTATGTAAAATAAATCGCAATGGTACAGTATCGATAATAGTTGGCTAAAAAAAATAAAACTTAAATAAAATTAATAAATTCAAACATTTTTGTTAATTATCTTTTCCGTTGACCGACCGTTTATGATGTATATTAACGCACCTAAAATCGTTGATTAATGACCCCTATCAATGAATGACTTTCTATTAATCAACGATTTTATTATATGCAACCCAACGTACATTGCTCTTATTATACATTGTGGTGTAGGCAACCAAACATACCTATACATTTGAAATCAAGAAGGTGTGTTAATACTATCTGTCATTATATATCATTATTTAATTTCTTAAAAATCAGACACTCTATTTATAGTTTAAAATATTGACGAAGAGTGTAATTTAACTCCACCAGAAGTGGGAGAAACTGCGAATGCAATATCGTTAAGTTTATTGTTATGAAGAAAATTGAACTATAACTGTGAATAAAGTTAATATAAATAGAAAATAGTAATTGTTGTTGTTCGTTAAATAAATAAAAATTAAAAGTATGATATCTTTAGTTATGAAAAGTTCGGTAGGCACAAAACTTCTATAACGAATTAAAATGGCGATTAACAATCTCGAACATTAACGTGCTCGCTCTGTTCGCGCGTTAAATTATCTCGATTGTTAATAACCCTTATTAATACACTTGTTCGATAAATAACCATTAACGTTTATTTGACCTTAATTAACTCAAAATTTATTTTTAAAATTAGATTTTCTTTAGTTGATCGGAGAAAAATCGAGTGGATTATCTGTATTATACGCAGACGATATGGTAATCATATCCACTCTAATTGCACAAACTACATTAAGGTCAATATTTTTATTAATCAAAAATATATGGTAGTACTTCATAAATAACAAAAAAAAATAGCTGTTAAAGAGGATGAAATGGAGTGGTAACCTGAAAAGTTTATTACGATAAATGTTGTCGGTTCAAGTGAAAGAAATCAGGAATAAATTCCTAAATCCGAGAATGGAGTGCCAAATCAAAGTAAAAATAAAAAATTGAAAAAATTATGTACTAACATTTAACATGTGATGTACCTTCGATAATACCATATTAGTGACTAGAACTTAGAAAATATCTGATAAACCGAGTTGGGGTCGGATCTTTTACTCCAGTTAACAATAAGATCGCTTAATATATAATAATGCTCCGGTGGTTTAATGGTTATTTATGGTACTGAAACAGCAATCCAGGGATTCGCGGATTCAGGCCGCGCCTGGAGCAGAATTTTTCAATTTATATCTGAATTCTTTCACTTGTTAAAGCAGAGTTGATCAAAAATAAGAATACCTCAATATTTACTTCAACGTTCATACACTTAGTATTCTGTGGAGAAGCATTAACATTATTCACGTAGAGCTTTTTTCCTTTGACCCTATCATCCAGTACTAATCTCATCGTGAAATTAACCGACTTTAAAAATTTTATACTGCTTCTAGGTGTATAGAAAACACAGTAATTAAGAGTAATTTGAGCGTCATTATATGTTATAGCAGTCACGTTTGATTCCAAAGTTGTTTGAAAATCGACAACAGATTTTGTTAGGATAACCATTACGTGGCCACTTTTATAGGCTCCAATCGCTAAATCTGTAAAAATAGAATAGGTTTAATTAAAAATTAAGCAGTAATGGAATATGTGAAGAACGCTATCTGTTATTGCGTAAACATTTGGCTGAGATGTATGAGGTTACAGGACTTACAGGAGGCGGTATTTGTAGTAACACAATCCATGCTTACGCATGCGCAGATGATAATACAAGAATGTGTTATGTGAGACTTTTCATTTCAATTTTAACTGTATCCAGGCTGTTGGAGTCTATGTCGGTCGGCGTAGCCAGGTATGGGTTGATATTTTCTGGTGGCGACAAAGCTGCTTTGTTGAGGTTACGACGAAAACGGAAAATTTAAATTGTCCAGTTTTTTAAAAAAATTATGACATTTCTTTAGTGTCTAGAACTTTTAACCGTAATTGTAATTTAAATTCCACAAGAGCCAAGTTTCTATTAATAATTACCTACGTCTAATACTAATAGTTGTTTTTATACTGTTGGTATACTAGTAATGTAAAAAATGAGCCAAATAAACTTGTTATAGACCAATTATTTAGTTTTTGAACTAAGTGATTTTAGATCCTAAAATATATAAAAGGGCAATGAAAAAGTAAAACCGTCATTGGAAGACCATCTTAAAAAAAAAACAGAAAAACTACTATCTATGGGTAGGAACCTTTGAAAACAATAACAGGACTCATGTCTAGGCATGCAAAATAGGCATGTATAACGGAGATTTTTTTTGTCGACTTTGTTTCAAGGAACTAGAAACCGTCAAACATACTGTGGCGGATCGTAACCAAAAAATTGGGAGTTCACAATGACAAAATACAGGGTGTCCCGAAATTATACGGTTATATTTTAACAGTGTAATCTACATGCTAAAATAGGAGTAAAAGTGCATATAAACATAGGTCCGAAAACGTTTCGTTTCCAAAATACAGGGTGTTAAAAGTTAAATCGTGATGACACATTTTTGTAAATATTTTCTAAACGTTTAAAGATAACTAAGTGAAATTTGGTACAGATGCTAAACTTTTTACGCTTTATTTAATGAACTAAACCCTAGTTTTTGATAATCTTCATAGGTGGGTAAATTAGGGGGGCATAGGTGGGTAAATTAGGAGGGCTTAGGGTAAAATTAGTTTAAATAAATAGTTTAAACGTCGACAGTTAAAGAAATAAATTATCATCAATCGTTTTATTGGGTCAAAGCCAACCAAACCATTTTGAAAGAAAAAACAAGTTTCTTTATACGATAAACATTTAAAAAACAATTAAGGTTAAATAAATTTCTTTATTCGCCGATTTTCCAAAGCTGAAGAAAACAATAAAATTTTTGATTCCACAGGCCTACTAATTATTGTTTGCACTTTCTTAATTTGGCAACACCGTATCCATCCAAAATTGACTGTGGTAAACTGAAATACATTTTCCTTAGACCACTTAGAAAAGTGACACATATTGCACTATTTAGTCTTGCATGAAGTGCACTATACCAGATGCATGTGGATCAGAATCTACTCTCCACCCGTGTGTAAATATCTACTTTCCGCATCAGCTGTCAAATATGTCAGACCCATAATTTGTTTTTTGATTTATGTAATGTCCGTACTCAGCGGTCGAGTGCCAACTGAGCGCGTCTCCGGGTGGTGGATAGGAGAACGGACAGGTTTTCCTTGATTAGTGGTAGACATAAGTAGAGTGAGAAGCCTAAAAATTCTTAAAATCTTTTGAGAAGGCTACCACCGCAAACCAACTCCCCCAATCTATGGTGTAAGGTAACGTGCCGACGGATAAATTGTCGCAGGGGCAGATGCGGCAGCATTGTATCTAACCTATGTAGAATATGTGAGGAGAAAGACGAAACTCCTAAATGGAAACGGGAATGATACTTCGGGGTACAATATCCGGAACCTAAAGAAATCGCGTAAGCACCCATCAGACATATTCTTGAATTCATCAAGAAAATCAATCTGTTGGGATAGAAACTGTGAGGGGTACAATAAGCCTAGAGCTTCAGTACAAGTGGGCTTTGAACCACGCCCTAATTCATATAGATAGATAGAACCCTGTAGTTTCTTGTTTCATCCCATCTTTCCTTGAAGACAGCTATGCATGCGATAGAGCTATTTTTCCCACGTATCTATTTACGTCTGACGTAAATGTACGTCTTCTGACGTAAATGTACGTCTTCTTACGTACTTCTAATACGAATTCGTATCAAGGCAAGCAAACGATTCGGAAGCATCCAATCGCACCCGATTTAATAAAACTATTGACAGATTGTAACTTATATTGTTCTGTTTTTTAAATTCCGAGCCATGATAGAAAACAAATTTCATTGGTAATTTATATAATATACACTGCACATTTTTCTTTGAAAAATATTTTAGGACAATTATTAGAAAAGTGTTAAATGAGAAAGTTCATTGAAAAAATGGATTATTAAAAATTACCGGACATTGATACTTGATCATTTGTTATAATCATATCTGGCATGCCAAGAGCTCTAGCAAGCCTAACTATATCATTTTTTTAAATCAAACAGAATATTAAAACCGAATCTCCCATATATAACATCCCCATTTTCCAAATTTTCTTTATTATGTAGAATTTGAAACACTACAACATCATCTAAATTATCATCACTGTTATCATCATCGTCATTTTAAGCCCCAAATTCAAAATTTACTCAATAACTATAAATACTTTTTTTTAAAAATACCCAAGGTTATAATGTTATAGAGACGTCTAGTCAGTGCTTTTGCTTTAACTATACGCATACATTTCTAGCGTTGATTTAACTCTCTAATGTCGGGTTCCAATTTCGTTAACATCAATCGCAGATCGCCACGTTCAGCGACGTGTAGTCTGTTCCTCTTCTTAGACAGCAAATTAGCTACTGCACTAAATTCACGCTCAACCAAATATAACGAAAAAGAAAATGCTATTAAAAACAACTACTGCCCACGATTCACGGTAGAGAACTGACATTGATTTTTAGAGCCTAAATAATTTGAATGGTAGGCCTAGATATTAAAATCAACTGAATTTTGTGCCAATGAATTTCATGCTAATTAACGAATATCTTTTTTAAATAAATATAGTGTATTTGTTTAAAAATGTGGAACCAAATAACTAGGTAAGTATATATAATATAATATAATAATAATAAATCGTTTATTGTTTACCATAAAAAAATATATAATCATTCGTTTACTTATATCTAGAAAACCACTAGTAAACAAAAGGAGTGATGATAGGTCTAGAGACCAATTCTTCCTCATCATCCTAAAATAAAAAGTAATACAAATAATAATAATACAACAATTAAATAATTATATGTATGAAGTTACAGACCTTAAGAGCAAACATGACGGGCGCTCCTCCACCAAAAATCAATTTTACATTTGAGGCAGTTAAAAAAATTGTAAAAAAAAATGGTTCAGGCCAATCGTTGTAAAAATGAACCAAGAATTTCGCTAAACCGCGAAAAACTTATATTTTTAAAGAAAAACAACAAAAATTTCAACTTTTTAATAAATTTAATTTTTTGGCTCTTTACCGGCATTCTATAACAAATATCTTAACTATTTTCTAAATAACTTTTTTTCAAAAAGATTACCAATTTTAAACAGGACCGAAGATTAACATAGTTTTCATTCCGATACTAATTCTATTAAAACAATGATACCAGTGAATATGGCAACGCTGCTAGTCTTTGAAGCCCGTGGTTAAAAGGGTAGCTGCCGTTTAGTTAAATTTGTTAATTCCTGTGTCGAAAAATAGGTAGTTGTTTTTGAAGAGGTGCGAAATTATTGTGATCGTCTTAGTTTGTTGTTGAGGCGTTGTTAGGTTTTTGTTTAATTGAGTTTTTAGTTAATTTATGAAATGAAAAATTCTGAAAGGCAAAAATGCACAGCTGACAAATTTCTATTTTATTTGTTTGCTGCCAGAGTTAGTAAATCCTAGAAAAATACGACATGTGCCAATTAGGGAAAAGAGATTGTCAAGAATTTTTCACGCTTAAAAAAATGTGTAATATACAGGGTGTTTCTAAATACATGCGACACAATTCAGGAACTGAGTGCTCGTATGAAATTAAGATGGGTCTTTTCTATAACAACATTTCCTCAGCCCACCCCTTTTCGAGATATCACCCTTAAAAAGTGGTGACTAAAATTGAGTTTTTATTTTTTTTCTAAAATTTCAGTAAAGATAGAAACTTGAAATTCTGTAATCGCAAAGGACTAACCACGGGTATTTTTTCAATATTTCTGTTACATTATAGGGGGATGAAATTAGCAACACTTACTTTATTTTATATCAAAACTTTTTTTCGAGATCAACTTTTATGAAATCCTTGATATATTTAATTTTTTTTTATTCTTGAATTTTTTTCCTAAAACCAATAGCTTCAGAGAAAAAAAATTAACACCCTAATTTATTATTATTTTTTTTTAATAACTTGAGTGGAAAATAGTGTAACGGGCTTGTAACTATCGTATCATACACTCTGTCATTATTCGTTTCTTGCAATAATTTACACCAGTTTACACCAGAAGATAGCACTTAACGAAGCGTTTTAGCCACTAATTTTGGCGAATTTTAAGAAATCATTAACAAGACATTGAGGGCTTGAATTTGGGGATTATATTAAGAATAGTGCTGTCGAGGAATGCATTTATTTTCATCATGATATTTCAAAATTAAAGCCCTTTTAGTTTTTTTGGGAAACTGGAAGGAATTAAAACATTAAAATATATGCATATTATAGATATTATTGCCTAATTTATTTTGCCAAAATTTAAATATTTTGAGATATTCTTGTCCGATAATTATAATGGGTATGAACACCTTAAGATTGAAAGAGAATTAACTTTAATTCATGAGATGCAAAGCATCATAATTGTCGCGTCACAAAAACCACCTGCTGCCAAGAGAAAATTTTGATTCAACAGTATTGTATATTTTGTGTTGTAAAAGAGAAAAAATTAACATTTCGTGTTTTAATAGTTATTTTTTTAATTTAATAATCTATGTGAAAAAAACATTTTTTAATACAGACTTTAAAAAATTGTTATATTAATATACTTATTTAATTGTACTTATATTTGTTGTTCCTTTAATACAATAAATACAATTTACCTATCTCCAATTCATCACTTTCCATATCCATATACCTAGGGTCCGATTACAATTAGAAAAACACCGCTACGTCATAACTATTATTTCGAATTTCCAATATACAAAATTAGACGGTCATATTTTAACAGCGTAATCTACATCCTACAAGTATTAGAAATTAAAAATTAAAAAAAACCGAATTCAAAAACGTGCAGATGCCGTCACCCAGAGCTGGGACGAATCCTCGAAAAAATAGATTCGAATCACGAATCCGAATCACGAGATGTGATTCGAATTACGGATCCAATGTTCGAATCCTTTTTCAAAAAAAAAAGGATTCGAATCAAGTGATTCGAATCCTTTTTTTCGGATCACGGATACGAATCACGAATCAGTGTTATACTGTGATAATAATTATATTTGCTTTCGTAACTAATACTGTTTTATACCTCGGTCCTAAAATATTTAACGCACTTCCGGTGGAATTTCAAAACCTAAATTCGATAGGTCTTTATAAATCTAAATTACAATAATGGATATTAACTAAACAAGGATAAATATTTTAAGATTTTATTAATTTAAATATAACTAAAATCTAAAATCATTTAGCTAAAAAGAACTTTACTTATTTGCAATTATCCAATTATTTATGTATATGATAATTATTTATAAAATATTCAATGCTGTAGCTAGTTTGTATCTATAATAAATAAAAAAAACAAGTATTAGAAATTAAAAATTTAAAAAAACCGACTTCAAAAATGTGCAGATGCCGTCATCACATCTTAACCAAATTTATATGGAACCATCCCTGAGGTACCCCCTTACTAACAAAAAAAAGAATCATATGAATCGGACAAGGTGGTAAAGCATTATCGCTAAACATACATAAAAAATGAAGAGTTTGAGGATTTTGTCATGGACCCAATTATTAGATTTTGACAAAATTTATATGGGACCACCCCTGAAGTACCTTCTTTCTAACAAACAAAGAATCATTAAAATCGGACATCGTGTTAAAGAATTATCGCTGAACATACATAAAAAAAAAATAAAAAAAATATTGCGACGAATTGAGAACCTCCCTCCTCCTTTTATGAAGTCGGTTAAAAATAGGAGTAAAAGTTTATATAAACATAGGTCCGAAAACGTTTCGTTTTCGAGATACAGGGTGTTACAAGTGAAGTCCAGATGAAATATTTTCTAAAATTTCTTTAGTTACCGGTTTTTCAAAGTTAAAAAAAAAATAAAATTTCTAATTCTACAGACCTACTAATTATTGTTTACACTTTCGAATAAGGTAACATGCTTTTCTCTTGAAAATGGCGCGTCCTAGCGAGATGCAACAAATGTAGCTTTATAATACAGAAAATATTGGTTTTCCAAATTTTATAGTCAAAAAATCTGATGTGTCCAACACATGACTTTCCTATCTAGTTATTATAGGCTTTTTCTGGTTATTTTGTATAACTTATTGCAGTAGATCTATAAATGTTTAGAGGATAAACTAAATATATACATTTTCCACATACATCTATCTACCTCGAAACATGTTTCTATAGTTATTCATTGAAAACGAAAATACTGAAAAATTTAAATTTAGCAATTTTCCTACAATTTTTCCATTACGGTCCATTTTAGAAGAATCATGTATAAACAAAAATTATAGAGATCGATATCGCAAACAACTTTTAGTTTAGTTTAGAATTTTGCACATTTTGTCAAATTTCTCGAATACGGACCATTTCAGAAAATTTTGACATAAAGCAAAAATTATAGATAATAATATTAGGAGTAATTTTTATTTGAATAATTTTCTTCTCCAAACATAAATAAGTACCCCCCCCCCCCAGATGTTCCGACTTTGTCCAAAATCTAATTATTTCACGTCAGGCCGAAATAAAACTTAAGTTTAAAATTTAGTGTTTTTCTGTGTATCGGTTCATGAGTTATGGTGGATATAGACACACAGACACACACGGCAATTTTACCCTAAGCTCCCCCTAATTTACCCACCTAAGAAGATGATCAATAACTGGGGTTTAGTCCAATAAATGAAGCGTAAAAAGGTAAGTATTTGTAACAAATTTTACCTAATTATCTTTAAACGTTTAGAAAATATTTACAAAAGTGTGGTATCAGGACTTCACCTTTAACACCCTGTATCTCGGAAAAGAAAAGTTTTCGGACCTGTTTATATGAACTTTTACTACTATTTTAGGATGTAGATTACGCTGTTAAAATATGACCGTCTAATTTCGGGACATCCTGTATATCATCTATAACTATCAATAAATAAAAAATATTTGAGATGTTTGGTTTAAAAATAGTATTTCTACATTCGTATATTAACAAGCCACTAACCCCCAGTAGGCGGCGATAGCCAACGAATTATACCTGAATTGTAATCGGACCCTTCAGGGTACGACACGCAACATTGCCAAATTTATGTAGCGAACAAGGTTCCAAATACTTTAAAGGGAGGTGGTGAGATTCGTGCGGTGTGACGTCAGAAGGGACTGGATTGCTCTTAACTAACATTTTTCATTTCCAAACCTAATACAAAAAAACCTTAACCAACAGATGCAATCTGATAAGAAAAAGATGATTTATATAGTTCCTTGTTGTGTGCTGGTATGGTAATAGGATTTTTTACTCTTAGATTCAGGTTGTGCACATCTGTTCTAAATCTGATTTTTCTAAATAAATAGGGGGATGTTTACTTTTAAGAATCGTATAGAAATAGCAGTAGGTATGAAGTTTACGACGATTGTACATACTTAACCATCCTATTTCTTTAAGTTTGTGTGATATCCGATTTCTTTTGCGTATACCATAAATCATGCGCAAACACGAATTTTGCACTTTTTGAATGCGGTACGAGTCTATTTTCCTAAGGAAAGGTCCATATATGGCGTCGCAGTGATTAAAGTGCGAAAGTACAAGTGAATCTGTTTTTTTTTGGAGTGAGGGTAGCCATATGTGAGTAGTAGGGATTAAGTGTAAGGGGTTAAAGAAAAGGTCCTTTGTGAGAAATAAAGGACCTTTCTTTAACCCCTTACACTTAACATTTTTTTTGTTTGTATGTTCATTTCAGACCTGTGCGGATAGATTAATTTTAAAGAGTAATAAGCTTTCTTAATTTTTTCACTCACGTGTTTATCAAAATGTAGCTTTGAGTCAACATAAATACCTAGATTTTTACAATGACTACTAAAAGCCAACTTTTCTGATCCTATAAAAACTTGCAGGTGTCTCAAAGCTAATGATTTATTGCTCTCGTTTCCGAAAATAATAGCATGGGACTTATTGGCATTAATTTTTAATAGATGTTTTTCCGATAACGAAACTAGTTTTAATAAATCATCATTAATATTTGTATTAGCAAGATGTATATCAGATATATTAAAAGAATAATAAATCTGAGTATCATCTGCGTATAAAGGTAATTACAATGGTCTAAATGTGTGTGAAAATTTTAAGTATATAACGTATACAACAGAGGCCCCAAAATACTACCCTGAGGAACACCTTGATGTACTTTCAAACTGTTCGAAGTTTTATTCTCAATTTTAACTTTTTGTTCGCGATCAGAGAGAAAGGACTCAATTAGATTTACAGCTGCTTTACTAAATTTTGAATATCGCAAAATTGACAAAAGAATTGCATGATTAAGAGTATCAAACGCACGAGAATAGTCAATTAAAATGAGAATACACATTTTATTTTTATCAAGATCATGAATAATGTCATCAGTAACAGCAGACAGGGCTGAAGTACAGCTGTAACCGCTTCTAAATCCGGACTGATTTAGGGGTAATAATTTTGTCATAGCTGCGAATTCCCTGATTTGCTTTTCCAGTATCTTTTCCAATATTTTTGAAAATGTTGGAAGAATGCTGATGCTCCTTAATTGACTAAATTCTGTGGGATTTGAAATTTTTGGTAGAGGTAGTACGTAAGCTCGTTTCCAAATCTTGGAAAAATAACTAATATTTATACATTTATTGAGAATATGTACTAAATAAGGTATAATAAATGGACAAAAAATAATAATGATTTGTATGTTTAAATTATCATTACCGTAAGCTTTGGTTTTTAATAATTTTTAAAACGGTTACGATATTAAAATAAAATTCTCCAATACATTCCCTATTTAACAGACGTTCTATCTCTTATATTACGTGAGATACCAATCTAGAAACTTCAATTTCGGACACACTATGTATTAAAAATCTCAGAATGATTGATTTTGGTTTGGCTCACTGACATCACATAAATGTAACACCTTGATTTTGCTATTCCTAAACTAACGCTGGAAAAAAATTAATGTAACTGTAACAATGTATTACCATTGTGTCCATTTCCATCTATGTCATTTCCTCTGGATATTCCCATTCCAAAACCTCTGATATTTAAATGATTGCCTGGGAATGAAGATGGAGTTAATCGTTGACTATAATAGTTTTGAAGACCGTTAGGGCCACCCAAGAAAATATAGACAGCCCCAATGCCACCATCTTCATAGGGTGCCGAAATTGCAATATCTGAAATATACATTTTTATAGGGTAAACAAATTTTCGTAATTACAATAAAACCAATCAAACACTTGCTAAAAGATAATTTATCTGCAGATATGTAGGTATGTGTTTTCTCTTATGATCTTCATTTTACAATTACATTTTGGGAAAATTCTTTATTATTTTTTTTTTTCAATTTGTTAAGTTGGGTCTTATTTCTTTTTAATGCATTAATTAATTTTTTCAGGTGTTTGTAAAAAGCGGGTCCTAGATATTAGTCTGGATTTTTATGTCGCTAAATTATTAATATTATTATTATTAATTACCTTGATCCCAAAATTCCTCCCAACAGAGGTAAAAGTGTTTTTACTTCTTTATCATTAGAAACGCTTTGTTGTCAAAAAGTTAAATTTGAACCTCATCAAATTGATAGTAATATATCAGCTGTTCTGGCGTTTAACAAAAAACATATTTATTTTATTCAGAAAATATATTTTAAACTGGTTAGCCAATATGCGCATATGGTTAAAAAATACTCTCGTCAACAATTTTGCTACAGTCTTAAATGGGATTGTAAAAAATTATGGTAGATACATTTACTATTCTTGAGTCTCGGAGTCATGTTTGACCAAAGGCTTACGTTGAGTCAACATATCGAAAAATTCGCATACAATGATAAAATAGTTCTCGCAAGCGGGAAAAACTGAGGCCTAATCGCATACAAGGAAGGCTATACCAGCAAGTAAAACAGGATAAGATTCTAGGAATGCCTCATAGATTCATAACCACATACAAATTTGAAAGAAACTATAAATCCAAATACTAGCCCCAGAATCCTGGAAACAGGAACCTTCCATACAGGGTGAACTTGTCTAGTATAAAGACGGTTTAACAAAAAAAGAAGGAGCCGGTGATGGAATCTTTGGACCCACGTCGAAAATAATGATTTTGCTTGGTCTAAGAGAATATGAAACAGTATCTCAGACCGTACAAGACCATACAACGCTGTGCAAGATAAATAATAAGTCAGCTTGTATCAGGAAAAACTATTGTCATCTACTCTGATAGCTAAGTGTGATGTATTATAGCTACTGGTTATGCATCCTGTATGGCAGAGCTAGCTGACATATGGTGTAACGACCACGTTGAATGAAACCTGCTCTGTATATATCTATATATGTCGTATAACAAACTATAATATAGCGCTCCTACTGATTATAATTGTTTATTAAGAAACCTACTTAAAATTAACATATTCATTATAATAAGCAAGGCAATTCTCCCAGTGAAAGACTAGAACACCTAATAGAGCTAAGTAGATAAAACAAAGTTCCTAACCTTAGCCTAGGTTTCAGGCAACGCAGAATATCAGCGCAATGAAAAGCCCAACGAGTTACCACAAGAAGGCTCAGATAAAGCCATGGCAGGCTCCGAACCTTTCTTGGAAGCTGCTAAGGTATTGTGCAATGCATCCATCAAACAATGGATGCAAAAATAATTTTTTACTAGTAAAACAACCATCTAAGATCTAGACATGCCAAAAAGTTTATTAAGGGACCATTGACTAGGTTCACGAAATATCCACTGGATTAAAAACAACAAATCGATAGGATAACAATAGGTCTGCTTAACAGACACTGTCGCCTAAAAGAGCACATAAGCTAGACGACATGCTTCTGAATAACAGAGTTCCACAATAGATCTGAAAAGCTCACGGTGGGCAAGGACAATTAATATATAATAATTATAGTAATTAAGCATCTTTAAACTTTTTTTATTTGAATATATTGCTATTATAAATGATAACTCACCATTAAATAAATCTAAGTCAATGTCTCCAAGAGAAACAATATTAGTTCCAAATCTAGCTCCACGAGTTCTGCTTCCTACCAGTTTGTAGCTAAACGATTGTGCCTAAAATAAATAAAATAATTATTTCTTGATAGATCTCTACTAACCGAACACCATATGTCATTACATTTGTGCGAAAGGAGCTACAACGAATTAATCAATGTAACTGAATGTTCAAAAAGAGTAAACTGTCCATAAAAGAAACACAAAGGCAAGAAAATTTAATTGAAGAATCATTATTGTTGGAATACATATTTTAATAATACATCAGGCTAGTAGGGACCAGACTATCAAACCACTTAATAAAAATTTAATTAATAATCAAAATATAGAAAATAAAGCATTGCTTCTATCCGTTGAATTAATAAGAAGCTTCAAGAACATTAAGTTCAATATAACCATGTCAAATACGATAGATGTATCTAGTCGTTCTTCTCACTATTACATAATATATGAAACTTTTCCTAAAACTCACCCAAATATGCAACTTCTGATTTTGTTATCTCATAAAATGGAATTACCAAGGGGATAATTTTCTGAGGAGGTTGACTTATTTCAACTTTTGAAACTTGTTATTAATAATCAGCGTTGTAATGTTAAAGTAATATGTGAACTTTGAATTGAAGCATCAAATCATAAGTTTCACTTTCAGTGACTCAAGACAAACAGAGAAGGTGATATTGGAATCACTCTTCAACAGGTAATCTTAATCAATACTAATATAGTTCCGCTACGTTTTAGTCCATTAAAGCCGTATTTTGAAGATCTACAAACATTTTTTTATGTACTGTTTCATCTCCCCTCGTATATTTTAAACGGTTATCCTTAGACTAATGAGATGAGCAGTTGTAAGCTTCTCTATCAGTAATTACAGGTTACGTAATAGATACACATGACGTCACAGAGCCAGTGTGACCAATAATTTTAAATGGGAACTTATTGCAAGTGCTACCACGTTTGAAAGGTATTTAAAATATTGAATCATACTAATTTTGTTTGGATTTAGGGTAATTTTGATGAATAAACTAAATAAACACTAAAAATTATAATTTTGCATTTAATTTGTTTATATAAAGTGGGAAAAACATATATGATTAAATTAAAAATGATTTATTTACACAGATTGTTCAAAAGGTAATTTAATCAATAAACTATAAGATCAGTGGCTATTTTGTTTATACAAAATAGTTTTTGGTCTAATTTTAGCTGTGTTTATTCAAAGCTAAACAATAATTATACAATTATGTAGGAATCAGTGACGGCTGGTGCATAAGTGCAGGAGAGCTGCAGAACTGCCAAAAAATAAAAGCATCTCTTCTACATTTCACAGATATTATCTTAGGTATTCTAAAAGTACGTAAAATAAATTTAATGGATAATCTCATTAATTTAAATTATATAATAGTATCCATAGCGCGCGAACTTACTATCATTTCATAGCTGTCTAAAAAGTTGATATACGTAGAGTGTTTAGGCTGCATATTTGCCAGAATGATAAACTTTGTTTATAATATGTCGCATATATGATGCGATTTGATTTCGGTTTTGTACATTCTTAATTTGTATTAATTCGCCAACGCGCTTTTCTATTGTACCTGCGTGAAAGACATGTATGTAGATTATAAGTTATTAAACGAATATAGATTTTTGAATTACGAGTCTGAGTATGTTTGCTGCTAAAAGAGACCGCAGAATAAAATTAACGTATAAAAAGTAGGGGAATTAAAGCTGTAAAATAATTGCTTTTCGAGGCGGGGGGGGGGGGAGACAGAATCTTGCAGAATACCCACGAGTCGCCACTGGTATTATTATTTGTGTTATTTGTAACAAATTATAATACAATATAATAAAAATTAATTACAATACAGATTTTAGTTAGTTTAGTTTTTGTTAAAACAATTGTTATATTTAATATCCAGATTTGGTAAATTTCATAGTAAAATGATGTCAAAACTTTTTTCTTTCTATATTATGACCGAGCGGTAGGTTGAGCGGAAGGTTGACCATTCACAGCTACACTGCTAGGACCTAATTAACAGTAATATTCCTAAAGTGTCGCTGAGTCATCACAAAACACGAGGCTAACGATCTGAGTGGTGTTGACACCAATAAAACAATATGGTGGGTAGGCATACTATGGTAATAACGAACTCTATTTATTCTATATACATATACTTGATAACAATCTGCGGTGTCTTACTTACATTTAAGTAATAATATACGCATCCTTCATCAAAACTAGATCCAGCCGTTGTGGGAGCCCCAATGAATAAATCATCTTTAAAATCATCATTGACATCTTCTAATAAAATAGCTGATCCAAAGAAAGAACCCATCTCATCTCCCATGAAACTTCTATACAGTTTAAAGTAGTCGTCCCTGTACAAATTAACCTAAAACATTAAAACGTAATAAAGATTTTTTTATTCATATTAATCAGCAGTCTGAAATAATTATTTTGCGATTGTGTTGTATGTTGTTAGACTTTTTAGACGTTAAATGTATTTTAAATTTTTTGAAATGTTTGATATTTGTATATCCAGTTTGTTTGTTTTTTTTATGTATATATACTTATAATTTAATTGTTTTAGTTTTAAGACTGTGCCATTTGGAATTAATAATTCTGTAGTGCACGAAGACAATAAATAAATAAATTTTTGACACATACGGCACTGAAACCAGTCTTCCTTACTAAAAACGATATTTTCTTGAACAAATTATACAAACAGCATCATTTTCGTCACATACAGAAGCGTCTTCTGCTTGATATATGTATCTATTAAGATTTTGTGGAGATGGAGATTCATCATGCAGGGAAATTTGAGTGTCCTCAAGGATTTTCAATACTTCTTTATCTATCTTTTTTTATTTGTCAATCTTCAATACGTTTTCTTACGTTTCCTTTGTTCGGAGTCCTTGTTAACTTCCTTCCTCTTCTCATTCTTCTCTTCTTCAACTTTCAGAAGTTCTTTTTCGAAAGTATCATTAATGATGGAACATTTTCCCTTTTTACGGCCACATTGTTTCTTTTATTTTGTGACTGTTTCTGAAAAATGGTCTTGCAAATTCTAGAGAAATTATTTCCAATTCTGCGCGACCTTTATTTGTAAGATTACCACTAGAAGAAAGCATCTTAAGGACTTCTTTTATGGAAGGACTATTTTGAACCACGTAGGTTAACCTAGAAGCTAGAAACTCTTACTGTAGACTATAAGCAAATGCAGAGTTATTTTCTTGGTTTGTTATGGAGCTTGAATTAGGTCTGTCAGTAACAGAAATAGATAGAAAATCATCTTCGGTGAAGATGTTGGAGTTAAAGGGATATATTCCAGTTTTTCAAACCCCTTAAAAATGTTGCTAATTTTAAATGTTTCGCTAACCGCTGGATTGACAATCTCTGCAACTTCATGTAATGTTACGGTTTTTCCTGGATTGCACGTTAACCAATTATTCATGGCCTGCTTATACCTTGATTTAAATGGACCATAAACGGCTATATCAGCTATATCAAGAGGCTGCAATCTATAGCCTCAGTGAGCAGATAGCGTTAAAATAATTGTGGTTTTTTCAGTCAAAATATACTACTTGAAAATGCACATGAGTCGTATGATTGTCCATTATAATAATTAACGCATTATTATCGGTAGTTGGATAAACGCGATTCACAAAATGTTTCGGGGATTCAACAAATATTTCTTCGATCATCCAACCAGATGAATTAACTACTCCCTTAGATCCGAAGGATGGGGTGGGTGGCTCAGTGGTAGAGTCTCTGCCTGTGGATCCAAGGGTCCCAGGTTCGAATCCCACCGTTGGCCGGGATTTTTTTATTTAATTTAATTATTTAAAATTAATTCTGATGCCTTGGTAGGATTCCCCACTCGACCATTCACTGTTGGGTTCTTATTAATAGTGCTGTTCCTGAAGTGGCGCTGGGAAACAGTAACAAAGCCTACACAGAACACACATGATTGAGAATTTAAACACAAATTTGAGACTGACATATTAAGTATTAATACCTAGGCCATAAACCGAAAAAAAATAGATCCAAAGGGTGCACCTTCTCACATATTGTCTTTGAAGTAAACTCTCGGAAAGATAAATATAACAGAGACTGTTCCTCCCGATGCACTAATGAAGAAAATAAACAGTTATAGGACTTCTTCTTTCCACAGAGGCTATTTGACCCACTTGCTTTGAACCTCGTACAGCTATTATTTTGGGCGGCTTTGTTAGAGTCATGCAACCGGTTTCATCCAAATTACATATCATATTAGAAATAAAACTGTGTTTCTGGTAGAGTTTTTCCAGATTTGAAGAAACCGTTGGGTGTGTGTTTTATTAAAGCTAGAGGTTCGACTTTATGACGTGCTTTCGGGTTGACAGAGCGATAGTTTCTTGTTTTGATTCATAAATCAGTAAAGCCAGTAAATACCTCCTTAACTATTTTTGTTTAACTCTGGTAGCATAATATTTTTTTTTTGTTCTCTGGTTTGGATTGTTGTCAAACGATGATTCATTTTAGACATAATTTTAAAACAACAAACTAATAGCTTCTCCTGATCGTTGGTGAATGTCTTTTTGTTATCAATGTTCCTAACGTATGTAATCGTTCTTAATTTTTTTTTACCAAATTCGCTAATGAAAATTTTAAAATATTTTCGCAACACTTCTAATGGAGAGATTCTCTGCGTCTCTTTTCTTCATCTAGCATAGAAACATATCTACCATGAAACGAACACCTTTAATTTCCATGAATTGGATGTCCATTTCATGGAATACGAAGATTTGTAAAATAACATTTAACAACATTCTTAAATATTTTTATATTTATATACCTGTCTATTGAGTAGAGTGTACTCTGAATATATTCGTGTAAACAAACTTTAAATATTGGCCACATTTACTTATACATGATTTCGATAAAAACGCGGTTTCACATATTATTTTGTTTGACTGCAAAGCTACATACGGGGAAATAATTTTCTATGATAAATTTAGGAAAACTAAGGAAATACGGTTTTTTAGTAAAATGGTAGTTTATACTGCCAAAAACATGCATATGGCAATATTTTTCAATTTTTGGAGATGTGTTGGGTACACGTGACTAAGAATAAATGATGTATAAGTTGCATAAATGCGGCAATATCTCAGTTGGGCATTTAGATTAAGGTGCCCAATTTAACGGCTGTCCATTTCAAGGAAAGTCTCCCCGATTTAAAATTTGATATAAATAGTAATTGATCTTATTCGTCAGACGTGCTTTTAAATGCTTGTTAAGCTTTTAAGTATGTCATTTATAGCGACCAGAAATACAGGACTAATTATTGACCCTTTTGGGGTTCCATTGTCTTTGTTTTCAGTTTCCGAAAATGAATTATTTATTCTTACACAAAATGATCGATCCTTCAGAAAATTTTTAATAATAGCAAGACAGTTTTCACGGTTATTCCACGAATAGAGTTTTCTTAGAATATTAAATGTCCAGCAGGTGTTGAAAGCCCTTTTTAAGTCTAAAAATATTGCTATACAAGTTTGTTTTTTTGCCAAAGATTTATGGATTTCGCTTTCTTGATTCAAAATATTGTCTAAAACCGTTTTGCTCAGAGATTAAATGGTTAGAATTCCACAGGAGATTAGAGTTATTTGTTCTAATAGCTTACTCATTGAGCACGTTACACTTATAGGTCTGTAGGCTTCAGATCCCAGACGCGGTTTCTGATGTTAAAGAAGATATGTTTTTGCTGATTTGGGAAGATGTTTTAAAAATATTACTGGAATATCGTCTGGTCCGGGGCTGGTATTTTTGAGATCTAGGAGATAATTACTTAATTCAGGTATAATGAGAGGAAGGTTTAAAGAAGTATCATTATTTTGGTCGATATTTTCGGTAACTGATTTATTATTGAGAAAAGTTGAGTTGTAATTATCATTCGATGACATTTTTTTATAATTTTTAGCTAAGACGTTTGCTATCTTGTGTTATTATCTTATCATTAATATTTAAATTATATATTTTTGGACTATATTTTAAGCCTAAGATTTTTCTGATTCTGTTCCAAACTTCAGCATCACGGGTGAAGCTATTTAATTCTGAGGCATATTAAGTCTAGGATGTTCTTTTTGCTTAGTTGATTTACGTCTTATTTTCCAGTGTTACTTTCTTGCAGTTTGTATTCCACCATGGTACAGGAATATAGGTGTTTATTATTTTTGTTTTTCCAATAAATAAATCAGCAGTGTCCAAAATAATTTTGTTAGAATTCAACAGGGATTCGTCGACATTGTTGCTCAGTTTGCATTGGTATTTTATTTTCTATATCATTCTCAAAGCTAAAACAATTAGCAGAATTTTGTTTCCATTTTGGCAAGAACGTATCAATCAAAATAGCATGATGGTCGCTATCATAAATGTATTGGAGAACTTCCCAGAACAACCGTGGTATTAAGGCAGGATCACATAAGCTTAAATCAATTCCTGATGGTTCTCAATTGTTTATGTTGAACCTAGTTGATGATCCATCATTAAGAAAATTTAATTGGCAATGTGATATGAGTTTTTCTAGTGTTTTAACTCTGACATCAGTAGACGACGAGACCCAGATTATATTGTTTCCATTAAAATCTTCTATAATTAAGAGGGAAAATGGTATTTGGTAAATAAGGTCTTTTAAGTCAGTATGCGTTGCTGAAGAACTTGAGGGAAGGTAAATGTGCAGATGTAGTATGAGGTAGATGAACAGATTTCTACAACAATGGCTTCCAGACTGCTGGTAACAGGAAATACATTTGCTTCGATAGAATTTTTGATTAATGTTGCTACGCCCCGAGGAAAAGTTGGCATTAGTTGTTCTGTCTCTTTGGAAACATTTAAGGTCTTTTAACTTATATTTTTTTGTTGGTTTAGATTGGTTTCTTGGATGCAGATTATGTCAGGGTAGTATTCGCAAAATAATCATCATGATCAAAATTATATACGTGCAGTGATTTGTGATTTGTTTCTGATCGTTGTTGTAACAGACCTGGTATATTCAGTTATCAATTTGCTGAAATTATTTTATACAGTGGGGTGCTCTAGTTTTTATTGAACATTCAACACTTTTCATAAAACGTATAAAAGTATCCAGTGTCACTCAACATTCGACAAATCAGTAAATGGTAAGTAATGGAAATATGAAGGAAAAGAACATAATATAAAAACATAATTCTGACTCTCAAAAATAAGGAAAATTAAAGTTGTATCAATCTACTATACCTTGCCAAATAAATTATGTGCCCTTGGTGCACCAGCATACATGTATTGGTTCCCATAGCCTACTTTGTAACCTATAAAATTAAAATATTAAAATATTTTTAATTCCAAATTTAAAATGTTTCTGTTTTAAATTTGTAGACTTAATTACAGTTCTAAAATTTTTATATTTAACAGTGAATAAATTTTGGAAACATCTTTAACAGATTTAAAATTGAGAAATTCGGTATATTACCACCCTTTATCAAAGGTTTGTACAATTCTTTTTACTTCGTTAGTATTAACATTTTAATTTTATATCAATCAATAAATGCGGTTAAATAAAAAAAACTTTCTCTTTTTGTGTTTGAGTACTATATTGTTTCGTGGGCGTAAAATAATTAACATGGTGAGTACAGCACCCCCTTATAATTTTCGGACAAGCATATCTCAAAAAGTAATTTTTTTTTTAAGTTATAATTTTGGCATAATAAATTAGGCAATAATATCTAGAATATGCTTATATTTTAAAATTTTAATTATTTTCAGTTTCCAAGAAAAAAAATTAAAGGGCTTTAAATTTTGAAATATCATAATGAAAATAAATGCATTCCTCAACAGCACTATTTTTAATATAATCCCCAAATTTAAGCTCTTAATCTCTTGTTAATGATTTTTTAAAATTCGCCGAAATTAGTGGCTGAAACGCTTCGTTAAGTGCTATTTTCTGGTTTAAACTGGTGTAAACTGGTGTAAATCATTGCAAGAAACGAATGATGACTCAGAGTGTACGATACGATAGTTACAGTCGCGTTAGACCAGAAAGCAGCACTTAACGAGGCGTTTTAGTCACTAATTTTGGCGAATTTTAAAAAATCATTAACAAGAGATTCAGAGCTTAAATTTGGGGATTATATTAATAATACTGCTGTTGAGGAATGCATTTATTTTCATTATGATATTTTAAAATTTAAAGCCCTTTTATTTTTTTTCTTGGAAACTGAAAATAATTAAAATTTTAAAACATATGCATATTTTAGATATTATTACCTAATTTATTATGCCAAAATTTTAACTTTAAAAAAAAATTACTTTTTGAAATATGCTTGTCCGAAAATCATAAGGGGGTGCTGTACTCACCTTAAGGATGGATCGAAGTGTAGCGCTTAATTGAAAATGTTGATTGTTGCTTTTGACTCGTTTATATGATACAAATGTTGACGATGACGTTGACGTTGAAGATGACAAGCGGGTCAACAACTGATTACAACGTCTATGAAGACTAGATATGAGGAGGCGAATCGGACTTGGTCAAATTTTAAATTTCCGTCCCTATTTTTATGAAGTTCCAAAAAACTACTGTAGTTGGCGGGTGGCAAAATAACGACGTCTATTTTCTATGCAAGTCAATGGGAATTAAAGTGATTTTTGTAAAATTTAGTGAAAAGAATAAAAATAAGCTGAAATAAAGAACCTAACTACAATAAGTAACAATGAATAACAAAAAACGGCAAAGCAGGATTTGCTTCGTTGCGGGTTGAAAAACGGGATATAAATCCGATATAAAATTAAAGAAAACACAAGGAGATAAAAATCCAATTCTTTTTAAAGCTCCTAGTGTAAGTAAAATAATGTATTTATTTCTAAATAATATATATTTATTGTAAAATAGTAACAACCCGTATCTTACGGAGTGTAGTTTATTTAATTACAAAATTCTATAATAAAAAATAATAAAGTAATAAATCCCGACTTACAAGCAACAATAATTACACATTAAATTTAACTTACTAGAAAAGAAAATTTGCTTTTTTTATGTTTTTTGATGTTAGATGTTATTTTTCTTTATTGAACTCCAATTTAGTCATTGCAAATTATTTTTTATAGGATACTAAACGTTTAGAACAATGGAAGTATGTGATTCCTAGGGCTGATAAAGTACTGTCTAGTTATGATTCTGTTTGCGAGCTACACTTTTTAGAAGATGATATTTTAAAATTTGATGAGACTTTTTTATCTAATGGTACTGTTAACAAAATAAAAATGGAAAGCCGAGATTAAAGAATGAAGCAATACCATGTATATTCCCGAATCTCCCTTTATACTTGTCCAGTATTAGTAAAAGACGAAACCACCATTGAACCGAACTGAATTTGTTAGAATAAAAAAAAAGAAAGAAAATACTAGAACCTATTGCTGAAGAAACTATTTACCAGGATGATGAAATTATAGTTGTCGAATACAAAATTACCTTAAAACTGTTCTTACCAAATTTCACCATTTAACAAACCTTTTCAAATTTGGTCATACCTAATTTAGATAAAATTAAATAATGAATGAATAGTAAATAATGTTTAACATCGAGACTCATTTATAATTAATACCAACAGTATTTTCTGTACTTTAGTTAGCAAATAAAACAAAGTCTTATTTACAATAATTAAAATCAACAGTATTTTCTGTGCTTTAGTTAGCAATAAACAATTTGATTTATATTATTTTCATAAAATTTTGTAAAATCCCTGACTAAATATTTTCATTTAAACCGTGTCTTAGTATGCTCTCAGCCTTATTTAGCTTTAATTAAAAAATTATTAGCCCTACCCATCAAATTTCAACACTTATCATCAATAATTTGCATTTTACTTAAATAGGAATAAATTGTAAATAATGTATCAATTAAAATATGTAAGACTTATTTAGATATAAATACAACAGTATGTTCTGTGCTTTATTTAGCTATAAACAAGTTTATTTTTATTATTTTGACAAAATTATGTATAATTCCCATAAGAATCCATGTATTTTGAACTACGTAAACCGTACCAGCGCCCATGCGGTTAATTATAAAAGCTCATTTGACGTGTGATTTTTGGGACCATATTTTGAGCATGCCGATTCGCCTCCTTATCTCTAGTCTTCATAACAACGTCTAACCATTAGAGAGGTTGCTGACCACATTCTTCAATATTCCAAAATATCTAGTAGTGCCATTATTCACAGTACAAGAAGTTTCGAATAAAATTTATAAGAACAAAAGTTTTGATTAAACCATATATTATATTTCTTTATTAATGTACGTATTTGGTGCAGGTTTTTTTACTGTTCCTCAGTGCCACTTTATACTGTTAATTATAACCCAACAGAATTTACACGATCGGCCATCATGGGCGATCACAGGCTAATACCGTCGTGTAAAGGGCCTATTTAATAGTGATCGGCCATGATTGGCAGTAATCATCGGTAATTTATCGGTTTTTCAAACACGGATCAAAGGTAATAGCCTGTAGTTGCTTTTGTGTGACCACACGATCGCCGATCTCTCAGTTTGTATCTAAATGAGGTAGGTACTAAGAAGCAATTATTGAAAATTTTAAAATGGCAGCAAATATTAAGATTATGGATGCTGACATCCATAATCTTCTTTTTCTCGTTTTTCATATTTTTTGTTAAAATTGTTTATGTAAGTAAAGTAGGTAACATTAGAGGTCGTGTAAATGACAGCACAATGATGGGATCGATGTTGGCCCATTACACAATGGCCCATCAATGTCAATCGTGTATAGGAGCTTTTAAATAAGGAAACAGCGTTACTACAATGAACGAAGAGTATTTATTAACGAAGATATAGATTTAGAGCCTTTTGGCAATACTACACATGATTTTTCTCTTCAACGATAAACTACGTGTAAGTTTCCCTACTTTCTCATTTTTTCTGTTTTTCCCGTTTCAATCGGACCAATAGCAACGAAGATATAGACTTAGGTCCTTTTGGTTTTGGTGCTTATTTTACCTTGTTTATTTTTATCTTTATTTACGTCAACAATGGTCATCATCTTGGATTTTCGACGTTGTCTAAACGTTATCATGTTTACTAATAAGTTAGACTTCGATCATCGTCGCTTGACCTTAAAAGAGACAAAATTGGCAGAACGGACCTTGGCGATTTCTTATGTTAATTTAGATAAGGTTTGGCTTCGAACTGTTGCTGCTCCTTTATTTATGAGGCACTAAATATTTCATATGATCGCGTCCATCATATAGTTCATGTCCATTTGCACATGAGAAAAATGTCTAAAAAATGGATCCCCAAATATCAGAAGCGTATAAGAGTAGAAGCATCGCATTTGATTTGTGGGCTGTTTAAAAAATATGCAGACTTCATATGCCTTGTTGTTACTATGAAGCTTTGGTACATTTCTACGACCCAGAAAGAAAGTAGCAATTGATAAAATAGAGATATTCTAATTCTACAAGGCCAAAGATGTTTCGTGTTAAAAAATTTGTTGGAAAAGTTCATGCTCCAGTTTCTTGGAATTACCGTAGAATAATTAATCATGATCTGAATGAGGGTAGATCGGTAACTGGAAATTACTATTCGACGATACTGACCACTCTACGGGAAAAAAATTAATGAGAAAAGATGTGAAAAGTTGTCTAAGGTGTTTTGTTTTTACAGGACAATGTCTGCACACAAATCGCATGTTGACATGCAAACAATTGGGGGTTCGCATTACTCGAACACTCGCCTTATTTACCAGATCTGACTACATCGGACTATCATCTCTTTTCTCAACTGAAAAATAGTTTAAAAGGTCATAAATTGTCTTCTAACGAATAGGTTATAGAAGCGAGGGCTGATATGCAGAGATAAACTTTTTTTAAAGATCTACAGGCGTTGCAGGTTCGTTATAATATATTAAATTAATAGGAGAGTTTGTTAAAAAATTAAATATTTTAACTTTCAAATTTGTTTGCTTCTATAATAGGCTAAGAACTTTTCAATATATATTTGCATCTATACGAATTCACATGTGGGTACATTTAAAGAAGCTTCGTGAATTATAGGCTATAGCAGAAGAAAGTACCTAAATAAGTAAGAAAGTAATAAACTGGCAAAATTACCTGTGCAAAGCAAATTGGAAATTTGAATATACTGAATTGTATAAAGAATCTAATAATTAACTTTTAAACATTTAAAAGATAATGACAGCCGAAATAAAAAAATTATAAGTTGATTACTAGCTCCACACTAAGCAGAAGTTCAGTTTCCGAAAATGAGCTGCAAATCTTTGCATAGTAAATTCAAATATCAGATGTTTCAACCGATCTTCTACTTAATGTAGCGATTTAACGAATAGCTCGTAAGACAAATAAAATTCTGTCTGCAGCAGATATTCTGCTACTGTAGATGGGCGGCGGAATTTCTTTCTAATGTAGCGCTAGCTTTACACTTTTGTTATAATTATTATAATTCTCTTAAAAAAATTTGTTAATGTTTTATACTACAGTAACGTATGATCATACCTAAATAGTCGTCACCTTCGGTAATTATCGGTTCGTTTCTTTCTGGTACAATTTGATGGCTTGTTAATGTCTTCAATGACTGAATTACTACTCCACCTTAAATAGAAACATATTATTAACTACTTATTTATAGTTGAATTCGAAAATAGTAGACAGTAAAGAAATGTGTGAAGAATGATGTCATCTATTATTGCACCAAAATTCGAGATAACTTCCGGATGTTACTAAACAGGACGAAATTATTCAGTGGCTGGTAAGGTTCGTCAAATAAACTATAGGTAGCGGGTCGTTCGTAAATAATGTTTGTGTATTTTGCCACAAAAATTGAATTGTTAGTCCAAGAAACACAATTATAGAAATCTAAAAAAACTATTTTGTTTAATTACTTCTTTTAGCGTGTTAATGTATTTTTTACCAATTAGACTAGTATAAAAAATACATTAAAATACTAACAAAAATGTTTCTACAATTTTAGCTACAATTTTAATCTATAGTGCAATTATAAACCTAGACCATATAGATTATAGTAAAATATAGAAATGGTTAGAGTTATTGCGAATTCCTATTTATTCAAAAGACACAGTACTCACCATTCCAACTTTTAATTCCAGGTCCTCCTAGGATTACTGACGCTGAGACCTAAAAAATATTCTTATCAGTAATAAAAAAAAAATTAAACAAAGCTTGATCACTATTTTTATGAGAGCGTTGTGACCTGCTGTGAAGTAGGAAGTCGGGTTTGGCGCTGAGGTGGTGAAACTAGAACAACTGTTGCTCAAGCGTCAGTTTTGCTAACGCAGTTTGCTCTGCGACCCTGTAGTACACCAGAGTGTACTCAAGGTCAACTCAGTGGAGTTAAAAATACCTCCAGGCGGTCACCTCTAATGGGGTAGCCACTTAATTATAACAAAAGAAACTATCCTACCTCACACCTTGTACCCTGCGGTACCCTGAAATAAAACGGTTGAGAACCGATAATAAAAGAAAGAAAAAAACACAGGAATTATTAAAGTATTAAAAGTGATTTTAAAAAACCGACTTCAAAATAGTGCAGATGCCGTCATACCTTAAACAAATTTATATGGGACTACCCCTGAGGTACTTCCTTACTAACAAGAAAAGAATCGTAGAAATCGGACAAGGTGGTAAAGAATTATCGTTAAACATACGTAAAAAAAATTAAGATTTTGAGGATTTTTCTCATGGAACCAATCATTAGATATTGACCAAATTTAATTTATATGGGACCACCCCTGAGGTACCCCCTTACTAACAAAAAAAGAATCATAGAAATTGGAGAAGGTGGCAAAGAATTACCGCTAAACATACATTAAAAATCTGATGTGTCCAACACATGGCTTTCCTATCTAGTTTGTTACAGGCTTTTTGGTTATTTTGTACAACCTATTGTAGCACCTCTGTAAATATTTAGAGGTTAATTTAATATATACATTTTCCACATACATCTAACTCGAAACATTTTTCTATATACACTCATTGCCAACGAAAATGCTGAAAAATTTAAATGTTATACTTTTCCTCCAATTTTTCCATTAGGGTCCATGAAATCATGTGAAAAACAAAAATTATAGAGATTGATATCGCAAATATCTATTAGTTTAACAAGGAAAATTTTGTATGGACCAAAAATTATAGAAAATAATATTAGAAGTAACTTTTATTCAAAGAATTTTCTTCTCCAAACCTAAATAACAGATATATTTTATAAAATATAAAAATGACCCCTTATAAAGTACCCCCCAGATGTTCCGACTCTGCCCTAACCAGTTTACCTCAAGTCGGAATAAAGCATAAGTTTAAAATTTAAGGTTTTTTCTTTATCCGTTTTTGAATTTTCTCAAAATTCAAAATTTATACCTTTTCACAAATATCTCAAATACGGTCAATTTTGGAAATATTATGTATAAGACAAGAATTATAGAGAATTATATCACAAACAAGTTTTATTTAAATCATTTTCATAAAAATTTGATTTTGGCAAATTTCTCGAATACGGACCATTTTAGGAAAATTTTGGATGGATTAAAAATTATAGTGAATAAAATAAGTACCTTTTATTTAAAAAATTTTCTTTTCCAAAAGTAAATAACAGATATATTTCATAAAATATAAAAATGACACCCTATAAAATACCTCCCCCAGATGATCTGTTCAAAATCTAATCAGTTCACCGCAGGCCGGAATAAAACTTAAATTTAAAATTTTTGACACACACACGCACACACACACACACACACGCACGCACACACAGACTCACACACACGTGCGCACGCACACACAGACACAACAGACACACACACACACAGACAAGTGCGCGCGCGCGCGCGCGCGCGCACACACACACACACAATTAGTTTGACAGAATTGTCACTTTTTAAAATTAATATGGGACCACACCTGAAGTACTCCCTTTCTAACAAAAAAAGAATCATTGAAATCGGACACCGTGTTAAAAACATCGCTGAACATACATAAAAAAAATATTACGACGAATTGAGAACCTTCTTCTTTTTTTTTAAAATAAAATAAAAACACTCTAAAAAACTACTAGTACTATAATCGGTATAATTGTTTTATTAAATCAAATAAATTGTAAAAATACTAAAGTTAAACAATAGAAAGAAAATAAGAAATAAAACGGCAATGACACCACTCCCTGTTTATTAAAGAATAACTGTCCTGTCAAATAAATGGTTTAAATACAATAATTAAACAATAAAAAGCAAATAATGTGTACAAAATAATTAAGACAGCATTAACGGCACTCCCTGTATAACAGAAAATAACTTTCCTTCCAAATAAATTGTTTAAATACAATAGTTAAACAATAAAAGAAGAAAATTATGTATACGAAATATTCAAAACGGCAATGACGGCACTTCCTGTATAATAGAAAAGAAAATTTTCCTGAAAGATATTTTAATAAATCAAAAGAATGAAATCAAACGGTTTTTACAGCATTCCCTGTTTGATAGAAAATTAATTTACAATTAACTAATGATTTTAAACACAACGGTGGATCGATAACAATTTTAAAATCGAAAGTAACAAATCAAACGGTTATTACGGTACTCCTGTATAATATATTATAAATGTTCCCTTAAGACTTATTTTAATAAATCAAACGGTTTTTACAGTATAGTGGAAAACGAGCTTCTAATTAATTGGAGAAAATAATATAAAAACTGTCTTAGTGTGTAATTCAGGAAACACGACGCCGGATTTGAATTTATCGGTTTAATATTGAGTCGTAAATCAATGTTTCTAAATTTCGGACAGCTAGGCACAAATAATTACCCGACTGCTGCTTCCGACGACGGTCTTTGCCCGCGATAAATATAAAAATTTTGATATTGAACGCCAGTTGAATTACGGCTTGACGAAGTTTTTTTGTCGAATTCTACTTGAGAGATCCTCAGTTAGTTCGATTTTGGAAATCCGCAAAATTATTTTACGATAATTTTTAATAACCTTAATAAGTACTAGTTGAATTACAGCTCAGCGGAAAAAAAAAAGAAAAAAAAATTATTCAGGAATAAAAAGCTACCTCGGAATTGAGTATTTTTATGGATACAAAAGAAAAATACAGTTCACCTTTAGCACAACTTTTCACTCGATCATTTTGATCTAGTTCAACGGGAGCAGCACAAGAGGCGGCGGTAGACAGGAGCCAAGAGAGAAGGAACTTCTTTCGGCTCGTATTTATGTCTCACGAGCAGACGAGTTCGGTTTCCGAGCAGTTCCGAAGTGGGAGAAACTACTTCCAGTTATACTGTTTAATTGTGGAAAAATAAAAACGCCCTTTTGACACTTGCTGAATATACCTAAATAATTTACATGAAATTTAATGTTCTACCAAATTCTAATTTCGGTAAATACGGATATATTTTAAACCACAAGGGCTCTCGCAAATATTTAAAAATGGGAAATTCTAGGAAACAAAAATACGTTCAGAACGTTCCCAAGCGAAAATCAATTAAAATATATATTTTTATAATTAATTAAAAATATTTAGTACTTCGTCACAGCGTATAGATCAAGTATACAGGCCCAATGTTATCATATTCTCTTGATTACTTTCTTCGCGATACGCTCTTCATAATAAGAAATAATAATTAAAAACTGAAAAGTAATAACAATGATATTTTAGTTTGGCAGTAAAATCTGTATTTGTACGATGGGAAAGTTGGGCTTTCCAATAGATAATAATAATAATAAGAGCGTCAGGCGATCGTAGAGGATATTCTTGATGGTCTCATCTTCTTGTTCGCACCCTCTGAAGAGTGTGGATTCTGACAGCCCTATGATATGGAGATGCTTCCGTACTTAACAATGACCAGTAAGACTATCTATGATCAGGCGCAAATTCTTTCTAGTCATAGTCAAGTATTTGTTGGCTGTAGATAACTTAAAAGATCCCTGGCAAGTGTGCAGTTTCTTGTATCATCTCATCTTTCCATAAAGTTCACAAGAAATTGTTCTTTAATTAGGTTTTTCACTACTGATGTTGTCAGTCCAATAGAAGGGCCAGGTCCAAAAAGTATTTAGTTGGCTGTCTTCTTGGCTAGTAAATCGGCGTAACCTTTGATCCATCTTAAGTTGAGCACATTATTGATTTATACTTCGGACAAAGCTTCATGACATTCTAGTACTAACCCTGAGTAAATTCGTGGTCGGTCCAGGATGAGTAGTGCTTGTCTGTTATCCGTATAGATGAGCATGTGTCTTCCAGTTATATTATTTCTGGTGATTTCTTTTTCTGCTATGAGAATCCCCGTGAGCTCGGTTTAAACCAGTGGCACTACTGTTCACAGCCCATTTTATATTTAGGTTTAAGGATCTGGAGTATATTCCACATCCTAAGCCTTGTTTTGTTGTAGAACCGTCGGTGTAGATATGAATCGTAGGTATCTGCCAATTTCCACTCTTCTATTTGTTCTGTTATAACTTTATAGGGCTGCCAAAAGCAATGTCTTGCCTCACCAGATCCTAAATCAAGTTCTATTCCAACCGTGCAAAGGCGCGTCATTGTATAGAGGAATAAAATTTCATTTCTTTTTTTAAGTTAGATTTAAGTAATTTATATGCAAAAATAGTTTCTTAACTTAGAATAAATTCGAGAAAAATTTTTCAATGCAAACACAAACCCGAAATATTATCAATTCATACCAACTTTGAAAATATCTTTTAATAGTTTAATAATTGCTCAAAACTACAGCACCAGTTATAAGGCAAATAGTAGTTGTTGTTTGCTAGATAATTTAGCAACCACTACTTTTTGATCAAGAAAATAAATGAGGAATAACAAGAGAAGCATAACCATTAGGTGTTACTACTGAGGCGTGAGGTCCCCATTAAATTTCACTTTCATTTAATTTCAATTATATATTTGAGAAAATAATAATTAGAGTAAATTGGTAAATGGATAAACACGAATCAATGGAAGTAGAGAACCTGAAAGAAGAACTAAGAAGAAGGGTTGTTAAAGTGACTTGGACCAACGAAAAACTCAATGAAAGGTAAACAGTATTTTAATAAATGATTCACTTTTACTAATTTCTGTAACATTTTCTGAATTTCAGATACATATCTGTAATAAGTACTCACTGTCCAACAAAATGAGTAGATTTAAGCACATTATAATGGGCACTTGAAAGAGCTATATTATTTAAATATAAGCGTTGTTACGGACTAAAATTACTATTAAAATGATAATAAATATTTTCTACATTCTTAAATTTATGAAAAGACGCAAAATATTAATTTTTACTTTTCTGTCCATGTACATATAAGAAAAGTATAGGAATTATGATTTTTTTCGAACTCGCGTTATCGAAGGATTTTTACTTTTTGAGGTCCCCTGAATCCGTTTTGACTATTTTCGCGGAGGGTACTTTATAGAGGGTCATTTTTATGTTTTATTGAATATATCTGTTATTTTTATTTGCAGAAGAAAATTCTTTAAATAAAAGTTACCTCTAGTACAGAAAGTTTTTCTAAAATGGCCCGTATTCGAAAAATTTGACAAAATGTAAAAAAAATCAAATTTTTATAAAATGTGTTTAAATAAAAGTTGTTTGTGATATAATTCTCTATAATTCTTGTCCCAATCATAATTTCTCAAAAATGGATCGTATTCGAGATATTTGAGAAAAAGTGTAAATTTCGAATTTTGAAGAAAACTCAAAAACGGGTACTTAAAAGAACACAAAATTTTAAATTCATGGTTCAATCTATCTTGTGGTGGAATGATTAAATTTTTGGGCACAGTCGGAAAATCTGCAAGGTACTTTAAAAAAGGTCGTTTTTCTACTTTATGAAATATATCTGTTATTTACGCTTAAAGAAGAAAATTCTTAAAATAAAAGTTGCTTGTAATGTTATTCCCTATAATTTTTGATATATACATACTTTTCTTAAAATGGTCTGTATTCGAGAAATCTGACAAAAAGTGCAAAATTCAAATTTTTATGAAAATTGTTAAACTAAAAGTTGTTTGCGATATCGATCTCTATAATCGTAATGAAAAAATTTGAGAAAAAGTGTAAAATTTTAATTTTTCAGTGTTTTCGTTGGCAATGAATTTATATAAAAAAATGTTTCGAGTAAAATGTATATACAGGGTGTTCCATCTCAGACGAGCCAACCCGTATATTTCTTATCCCATAGTAACTGGAAAAATTTCCCGAAACACGTCCAATGATTTTCTTTGGGGGACATCTTTTGACGTATATTTGAGGCTTGAACGAGCAACCCTTTATGAGGGGGCGCTTCAACCCCTCAAAGTAGAGAAGAGGGGTTAAGTGACACTTCATTTGTAAGGTCTTGGAAGCCTCTTTACAACGGTGTATGAAAAAAATCACATTTTAAAAAAAAATTAATTGTTATATCATGCTTACAATCAAAAAAATCAAAACTGCGTTTTTAAATCAGATGTTTAAATTGTCCTTCATTGACTTCCAAACAATAATAAATTTTCTCGAACTAATAAATAAAAAAAAATCAAAACATTTTCTTATCTTGCCTTCATTTTTTGTTCTTAGAAGGTATTTATCACGTTTCTTCGATCATTTCATGTGATAAAACAATTAATTTTTTTTAAGAATGTAATTTTTTTCATACACCGTTGTAAAAAGGCTTCCTAGACCTTACAAATGAAGTATCACTCAACCCCTCTTCCCTATTCAATTTTGAGGGGTTGAAGCGTCCCCTCATAGGGAGTTGCTCATTCAAGCCTCAAATATACGCCAAAAGATGTCCCCCAAAGAAAATCATCCGACGTGTTTCGGGAAATTTTTCCAATTACTATGGGATAAGAAATATAGGGGTGGCTCGTCTGAGATGGAACACCCTGTATTTCTTTCATCCTCTAAACATTTACAGTGATACGGTAGATTGTACAAAATAACCGCAGAGAGCCTGTAATAATAACTAGACAGGAAAGTCATGTGTTGGAAACATCAGATTTTTTTATTAATTTCTGTTGTAAAATGTAATTTAAGATACTAACTTTACTATTTTATCCAAGAAAATTTTTATTAAACATATTTACGAACATTTCAATTGTTTTATTCAAGAACCCTTTCAAATGATTTTGCATAATTACTTATACAGTATCGGCCACTGAATTTTTTCCAATACGTTTTGCACAAGTGCATGTGAAAGCTACAAAGAGTTAGCATAAGACGAGCAGGAAACGAATATTATCAACGTGGCCAGTTTATGCAGCCCGACCGCGTTGGAACGTTGGCCGAGTAGAGAAATCGTCTACAATAGTTTCAGGATTATCTTAAATGTATGTACATCTAGATATAATTGTTTTCTACAGTTCATTTGACGCTTTCTTACCTTGTCATACTTAACATCAATTCCAGCTTGTCCAAATGCATAATCATAATAATATTGAGCTTGTGAAAGGCTAATGGAAGCTGAAATAATATATCCGTTTAGAAAATGTCAATATTTTAATTTTGTAACAGTAGAAAACATAAATAAAAAATGTAATTTGAAGTGTTTAGAAAAAAGGTTTATACCTTCATTTTTTAACGGCACCAATTCAAATCCTTTTCCTGCGAAGTTGGTAGAATTTAGTTGATAAAAACAAATTCCTTTCATATAATAATTCATATTATCTCCAGTTCCATGTTCAGTAACTTTTCTTGGAGCACATGCCTAAAAATAAAACTTATTCTTTACTATATATAAAGATTCATCTGTTTGTAATTAGAATCATAAAAGTTGTTTAAGATGTGCAATAGTGTTTTCTAAATTTTGCATGCTTCTAAAAGTTTGATCGTCACATCAGTTTCTTCAAGTTGCCCAAATATTTTACCTTCGACAGTTTGAAAATTAGACCTGTTTCTCAGTTTCTGTGTTTAAAATTTTAATCATAATTGGAAGAAGTTTCTTCTCTGAAGTTGTGAAAGTCCAGGTACATTATCAAGTTTTAGTTGCTTGATAGTAGCAGTTATTTCAATGCCAGTTACTTACTGAGATTATCATATCTAAGTATTCCTTAAATTGTTTACTGTGCGCACCAAAGCTTTTACCAGTGTTCTTTTTACTATTCCAGCTAGATTTCACCTTTGCTTTGATACGAGGGCTGTCTTTTAAGTTTTGCATATAAACCTAGAATAAAACAGCAGATAGTGTTAAAACATTTTATTGTTTTTCAAAGTATTCTCCACGAAGATTACTCCACTTTTGCATGCGCTTGAACCAGTTCTGAAAGCAGATATTCCACTCATGGGGTGTCACAGCTCCAATGGCTGTTTTGAATGCCTCAACTGCATCTTCTGGTGACTGGAACCGTTGTTCACGCAGTGCGTTTTTGATTTTCGGAAAGGTAAAATCGTTGGGACTTAGGTCGGAACTGTAAGGAGGGTGGTCTAATAACTCGACGTTTTGTTGCTCTAAAAAGGCAATTGTTTTGCGAGCTGTGTGAGCACTTGCATTGTCTTGATGGAGGATGATTCATCATTTGGGGTTGGTTTCCCGAAGCTTAGAGATGACTGCTGGCAAACAAATCGTTACATACCAATCGGTAGTAACAGTTCTTTGCTCTTGCAGAGGAATTGTTGCAACATGACCTGCTTTGGAGACAAATGTTGCGGCCATCTTTTTAGACACACTTCTAGAACGGATCACTTTTGTCGGCTTGTCATTACCTTGGAAAACCCAAACAGACGATTGGCGTTTATTTTCAGGTTCATATGAGTAAATCCATGATTCATCACCACTTGCGATGCAGTACACGTTTTTAAAGTTTCCAGCGTTGAAGCGCTTCAGAGTTTTTGTGACACCAATTTACCCTAGCTTCTTTTTGTTCTTCGGTCAACAGATGCGGTATCCAACGGGACACAAATTTTTTTACTCCCAATTCTTTATGCAAAATCTTTTGGATTGAGGTCTTTGAAATCCCTAACGATGCTTTAATCTAGCGATATGTCACATGCCGATCTTTCCCGATGAGCCTGCGCACAGCATCAATGGTTTCCTGGGTGACTACCGATTTAGGTGCACTTGTTCTTGGCTCGTCACTAAGATTAACCCGTCCTCGTGTAAATTCTCCATACCAACGATTGATGTGGTGCATCACTACCGAAAACAGAAACCAACTCGGCGAGGCATTCTTGTTGAGATAATTGTCTTCGAAAGTTGTAAAAAATTATGGCACGAAAATGTTCTCGGTTTAAATCCATTTCTTGAGTAACTTGTCAACTTTGAAAATTCGGTATAACTACAACACTCTATGAATCGGACTGAAACTTGGAAGTTAGGTTAACTAAAGGCCACATTTATTTTTATTGGATCCGTTTGATTCGTAACGCCGTCTAATGCACGGTATGCAAAACTTAAAAGACAGCCCTCGTATAGTTATTTGGATGTAACTGTCTCTAAAACTTAACTTAAGGTATCCATTATCAGCCATTTTTATCTCTGAGTATTTGTATCTCTAATCGATTATAGCTTTTACTTAATTCTGTTTTATTTTTCTTCTTACGGCAGTTTATTAATATTTATTATTTTAGTCTGTTTATGCACTTCAAATTGTGTATGAACCTGTTTCTTCAGTTTTCGATGCATGTTTAAGTTCTTTCTGTGGCTTCTGTTTGGTACATTTCTAGGGATTATTTTGAGTGCTAGTTGACCTACTAGGACATAATGTTTCATATTTTACAATTTTGGTAATTCTGCTTAACAAAGGAATACAAGATAAATACTTACAACAAAAGGGCTACCAATATTGTCAGAACCATCAATCGCAGCTCCTAGAAAGTTCCCATTGAAAGAACCATGATTAGCTAGAAAAAAAGATGTAGGTAGTAAAATTTAGTTTTTAATTTAAATGTAGCTTCTGAAGACTTACAGGTTGTTATATCATATTTGGTGCATCCAAAATCATTAAAAATATCACAAGCAAAAACGGCTCCTCCAGTTATGTTCTGCTTTGGGGCACCTACTATAACCCTAGAAGATAAAAGGTTATATATTAATTCGAGAGCGTATATAAACTGGGCTACAAAATTATATTTGTTGTAAAAAATATTTTTAATAGAATGATCAATGATAAATAATTGATAAATTGGTTTTTCCTACATAAATTTAAGGAGGTTTTATCCATACACCCATAGTTTGTTTACTCAATAAGACACTTGCTAAAATAAATAAAGCAGCTTACATAACTGATAAAAAAATATATTACGTATTAAAACATTATGGAAACTTTGTGTCTTATCAGTTTCCTATTATGTACATAGTGCTATCATTGAACAATCAATCAACTTTCCTATTTAAAATACATGAACAATAACAGAATTAAATTTTGATTCTGGTGATATATTTTCTTTAAATGTTCTAAATATGTTTTACTCATGAAAACTATTTAAAATGATTAAAGTTTAGAAATTTAAAATTAAAACACATTTCTTTTGCCTTACCAATAACCTTATATACAGTTAATAGAATGGGACACAGAACAAATGAAGATTATCTGTTTAAGAAGGATGATTAAACGAAACATACTTAGATAAAATATTACTGGTTTTCGGAATAAAGTTGAAAATTCAAAAACTGATAATGGCTATTTTTTTTAATTTCCCAATATAATTTTACTTAATATTAAGATACAACAATCAGCAAAACAATTAGTTAAATAAACTTTGCCAGTAGTGTAAGGAACCGATAAGTAACACCTTCATGCCCTCTAAATTTTACGCCACTGTTCAAAAACTTATTCGGACTATATTTTTACATTTCTTGATGTTTTTTAAATAAATAATGTACTCTTGTTGGAAACTCATAAAGTATTCCTGAAACCCGTAATACTTTATCTAAACATGTTTCGTTTAATCGTTTTATTATTACTGAGACATCCTGTATACCTATTGCAAAAATAAAATCAAACTGTTTGGTCAAACGACAAACGTCAAACCACCTTTATTTTATAATAACAACATTAACATTATGTCGACTTAAGCCGACCCTGGCATGTTAACTTTTAAAAGATTTACAACAATAATTATATAATATCTAAAAAGAAATCACATTTGATTTATAAACACTCGGTCAGTGTTGCCAGGTCCTAAAAAGATATTGCAAAAGAAATATTGAGAAAAAGCATGAGATGGCGCAATAGTCTTCAAGTCTCTACCAAAAGTGTTTATTTGATTAAAAATATCAAAAAAAAATTAACAGATGTTTATTTAACAGGTTAAGCGCCATGGCACACACCGGTGTCCGCTTCAAGCTTTTCCACATGGACCATGGATGTCACCGGTGTCCGCCCGATTGTCGAATTTTTATTCATGCGCCTCGGCCAAGCGGACGCACTTTTATAGAATTTTTTAATGCTGTGAGACCGCCGTGGCCCTGCTTTACACATCCCCGGTTCTGGGTTTCTTCTATCACGTTTCGTGTGTGTTCGCTATGGCCCAGGACTGAAAGTTCTCCGTTTCCCCCAGCTACTAACAACCCATCAAAAATACATTTGGAAAAAAAAATTTATTTGTCGAATATAAAAGTAACATAAAATCAAATATTAATTATTTCTCGTGGAAATCGTTGTAACAAAAAAGACAAAATCTTGGATTGCCTACACATTGCACACAGTAAGTTGTCACTTTTTTTACTTTATTTTTGTTAAGAATACCATCCTGCTTTTTTTGTAGCAACCTTTGCAATACCGTCTATTTGCACGAGCTTTGCAATTTCTGAAGTACATGAACTTTCAAGCTTACAGTAGATGTAGGGTTCTGCAAATCTTCTGAATTATCTTCGAATAGCAATAAATCTTCAACAACCGAATATCGAAATTCTGTTATGGATATATTTGCTCTCTTCTGCCTGTTTGTAAATAAAATGCGCATTGACCATGGATGTTCCTAAAAGTACCTCTATAGCTACCTTTTTGTACCACCGAACACTTCTTCTCAACGCCGTGCTATAGCTGGACATCTGATCCGACACGTCTATTGAACTTTTACCATTGTTGTAATCTACGATTGCTTTAGGTTTGTGTACTACACCACCACGGCGTTGAACTGCTACTGTTTCATCAGTGTGACAAGTGATCAAAACTAACACATCCCTTTTGTCGCGCCATTTCACAATACATATTCCTCGTTCATTTTCTTGAGCGATAATTTCGCCCTTTTTAAGTTTTTTGGAAATTACTTCTGGAGGGTTTCCCTTGCGATTACCTCGTAATGTTCCGAGTGAGTGGGTTTTGTGATCCAAGAGGGTATATGCTAGCTGCATGCTTGTGTACCAATTGTCTGTTACACAAATCCTACCGCTCTCTAACAGTCTATCTACTAGGTTCATTACAACTTTGGTGGAAATTGGTATTTTATCAGGATTTTCATCTCGTTCTTTCCCAGAATATATCTTACAATTCCAAGTGTATCCATTTTCACAACAAAGTTTGAAAATCTTAATTCCATATTTATGCCCTTTTTGGGGGTTATATTGTTTGAACAGCAACCTACCTTGAAAGGGCACTACTGTTTCATCTACACAGAATGTCTTTCCAGGTGTGTAGATATATTGCCAGTTTTTCACTAGTTTGTCAAGAAGCGGTTGCACTTTATATAATCTATCTCCTTCTGGGCATGCCTTGTTGTCAGAAAAATGAAACATTTTCAATAATAGTTCGAATCTATTTCTACTCATAATTTTATGAGCAACTTCGTTTTTGAAAAGCCATTTAGTGGACCAATAATCACGAATGGTAATCATTCGCACAATGTCCATATATCCCAGTATACCTATAAAATGCAAAATTTCTTTTCGGTTGGTTGGCTCCCAAGAATGAATTCGGGCACTATTTGTAATATTTTCTGTATCCATCACACATTGGGTCGCATACAGGTTAGTTTGGTCCACTATTAGATCTATTATAGAAAAATCAACAAAAGCTAGATAGTATTCTAGTGGTTTGCAACTCTTCAAAGATGCTAGATACCCCGGCTTTATTCCATCATCAAAGGTTTCCTCAAATTTTAAATGATTTCCAACAGGTGGTCCCCAATTGGAGTTAGCTAAATTACAGAGTCCTAAGCCGATGTTATTCTCTTGATTATCAACTTCTATTTCCTGGATTTCATCTTGAACCTCATCGTCCCTATTTTCTGATTCAGCCTTTCTTTGCCCTTTTTGTTTCGACAACTTAACACGTTTATGAGAAATTTCACCTGAGCAACCAGGGGCGTTATCGTCTTTTATAAAAGTGACATAGTCACTGATTTTTCCACCATCTGAAGATTTAGCAGTCTCGGCCGATGTTTTCAACATCTCTCTTGTAGATTTACTTGAATCACTTCTTGTGTCACTCTTTTCAGTTCTTGAACTACTACCCGATGGTATATGCGCCGGGTCATCGTAAGAATCGTCTAAAAAATGGTTCTTCGTCAGAACTACTATCTGTAAAAAAATTGGTAATAAGTCAGATATTTTTATATTTACTAAGCAAAAGTATAATTACCTACCTTCATAATGTTTTTCCAAAGCTAATTTTACAATTTGTTTTGAACGTTTACTCATTTTTAGTCACTGGCATTAGACTGCGAACCTCAATAACAAATCATTATTTGCTGATCGCTGCTTTTGCAAGCTCTGGCAGGTTCAGTAAAAGTGGAAGGGCTATGTCGTGGGAGGGAGTGTTACACCTATCTAAAATTGCACCTTTTTCAGGCCATGGCGGACCCGGTGTCCTCCGCCTATCTGTCAGGGCCACGTCGGACACCAGTGTCCTCTTGTCTTTTTTTGAGAAAAAAAAAGTATTAGGCTTCAGCATGAACACAACATATTCAAATCTATCCAAAGAACAAGATTCAGGCTAAAAAGTGTGTTGGCCCAGGTGGTAGTTTTGTTTAAAACAGCTTGGCGCTTAACCTGTTAATAAACAAAAGTAACAAAACTGTAAGATACATGAAAACGTATTCTAATAAAATAAAATATTTGTCATAAAACAATATTATTCATATATATGCTGGTTTAAGTTTCGAATCATTTCTTTTGATATAGGAAAATTTGAACATATAGATTTTTATTTACTAAACCTTTTGTATGAAGTATTGCCCTAATGGTAGAAGTTTTTAACCTATTTCTTTATTTAGTTCTGTTCAAATTTATAGCGGAAAATACTCTTTACACATTGGCACTTGAAACAGGCAAAGTAAGTAAATTAAAGACAAATTTTGAAAAATTTGGAAAACGTGATGCACTAGTATCTGGATTTTTAATTACTGCAATATATTTCCAAAATTCACATATGTCATGATAATTTGTCTTAAAATGGATTTTAAAGTTTCTTGGGGTCAACCACTCATTGTCAATGGTTAGTATATCGACAGCGAGTAAATTTGGAAATAATTTAGAAATATGACTGATTTTTCGAGATTTAACGCTTTCTGGATCCATACATTTTATCTTTTCGAATACTGAATCTTTAAGAAGAAATCTCATAAGAATACTTTCAATATAAAAATTCAAACAGTTTATTTTAACCCTTTCCAAGTAATTTTTTTCTAAATTGCTTCTCATCCACCAAAATTTCTGGGATTTTTAAATTCTAATTTATCAATGTTTGTAGAACTAATTATCTCGTCTTTTATATAAAAGTCTTTAAATTGTTTTTAATGCTGTTGTTATTTATTTATTTATAGAGAATGTGAATTTTGGGGATGCGCCTTTTCTTCAACGTTTATTTTATTCGTGCTCTCTGCAAACATATTAGCTATATTTTGCTACATTCTGGACTGATTTTTGATGTTTAGTAGATTCTAAATATTTAGAAAGTTGTACTTTTCCTGAGCTTATTTTTAACCGACTTCAAAAAAGAAGGAGGTTCTCAATTCGTCGTATTTTTATTTTTTTTATGCATGTACAGCGATAACTCTTTAACACGGTGTCCGATTTCAATGTATGTAGAAAGGGGATACTTCAGGAGTGGTCCCATAATTTCGTCAAAATCTAATAATTGAATCTATGAGAAAATCCTCAATTTTTTATGTATGTTTATCGATAATTCTTTACTACCTTGTCCGATTTATATGATTTTTTTTTTGTTAGTAAACGGATACCTCAAGGATGGTCCCATATAAATTTGGTTAAGATGTGATGATGGCATCTGCACGATTTTGAAGTCGATTTTTAAAATTACTTTTAATACTTGTAATGTCGCATTTAGATATTTTACACTTGAAACAAAATTTCGTTTTGAACATAAATATTTTTTGTAAATATAAAACATCATATATAAATATTATATTAGTAACAACTTCTTACCACGTATACAATGTTCCCTTTGTACTACATTCTACCCAGTGAAACACAGGTAATTTCGACAATCTCTTTTAAAATGATGTTTGTAAAATTTTTTTTTCTTATTAGAGCTAGGTCCGGGCCTGTGTCATTACCACTGCTAGTGATACTATCACTATCATGCAGTTATATTATATAACTTATTTATTTACTTATTAGTATCAATATTAAATGAAAATTAATTTATACGGTACGCGGACCGCGTACGATGAACTCAATGTGTTTGTTGATTATCGTTTTCGAAATTCGGGAAATCACCGAATCATAGCGCATTCGCCTGCAACATTCAACCAATCGCGAGGCCGTGAGGTTGCAATTGACGATTTTTAAACATGATTCGATTCAACGTTGCCACATGATGAAATTTTTGAAGTCATATTTTTTGTTATTTGTAATTTATGGTTTCTAATTTATTTTTAATTATTTGTTTCTCGCTTTAATCCTAAAAAGCATGAGATGTTGACACTATAGCATGAGATTTTGCATGAGATCTGGCAACACTGCACTCAGTTAGTGTTCACGGTAAATGTGCGTAATGTACAACAGAAAAGGAATTTACAATTTGTGCACTACATAGGTATATCTCATCTCGGCTCTTCATATGAAATCATTGCGACGATTGCATGTTTTTGCAGAAAGACGTTCATTGGTCATCAGCCATCTTGATATGAATATATGAACCAATAATACGGCTTCACTTCAAAGAAGCTTTTTTATCGGCTACAGTAGAGTTGGGTAGTATCCGGATACACCTACTTTATATGTATCGAAAAGCTGTACCGGGGTATGTTTCAAATTTTGTATCCGGTATCAGTATCCGTAGCCAAATTTGTAAGTATCCGGATACCGGATACTTTTTTGGTGGTCGGATGCTTTTAAATTATTACACAAACATATCTCAAATCATATACAAGGTGTTTCATTAAGAATGGGACACAGAACAACTAAAGATTTTCTGATAAAAAATAAGACGCTTAGATAAAATATTACTGGTCTCCGAAATACAGAGCGTTAAAGTTGAAAATTCAAAAATTACTATAATTTTTTTATTTCTAAGTATAATTTTACTAAATTCGGTAAACATTGTTGCTATCATAAGATACGCCTATCAGCAAAAAATCTATTAAAAAAACTTTACCAGCGGCGTACAACACGGATAAGTAACACTTTCATCCCCCCTAAATTTTATTCCGCTGTCCAAAAACTTATTTCGACTATACATTTACATTTTTTAATGTTTTTTTAAATAAATCATGTACTCCTATTGGGAACTCATAAAGTGATTGGTTTTCGAGATATTCACACTGGATTTCTTTATAAATTTCCAGTAGAAAACATGATTTATTTAAAATGATAGTCCAAATAAATGTTTGGAGGGTGGCGTAAAATTTAGAAGGAATGAAGGTGTTACTTACCCATGCCGTACGCCACTGGCAAAGTTTATTTAACTGATTTTTTGCTGATTGGTGTATCTTATACTACCAGTGCTCAGTGCAATTTTATAATAAAATCAAAATTAAAAAATAAATTAAAATGAAGAATATTCACTTTTGAGAGTCAATATCTCGAAAACCAATAACTTTTTGAGTTTCCAACAAAAGTACATGATTTACTTAAAAAACAACAAAAAATGTATAGTCCAAATAAGTTTTTGGACAGTGGCGTAAAATTTAGAGGGAATGAAAGTATTACTTATCCGTGTTGTACATCACTGGTAAAGTTTATTTAAACTGTTTGTTTTACTAATAAGTGTATCTTACGAAACCAACAATGTTTACCGGATTTTACTAAAATTATACTGAGAAATAAAAAAATTATGGCCATTAATAATTTTTGAATTTTCAACTTTAACACCTTGAATTTCGGAAACCAGTAATATTTTATCTAAGTATGAATTACGTCAGCTATCCTTGGAATTTGCAATCAACTTATTCCTTAGAGGCTCTTATCTCATTTCATATGTCATTATTCTGGTTTACAACCTTTTTATGTTAATTGTTCACTTGATATTTTGCTTTCTTTGTAGGTAGTTAGATGCATTATAGTAAAATTTTGTATATACCATACTCGTCACTGATCATATACCTTTATTAAAAACTTTGATAAAATAAAACTAATATATTTTATTGATTATAGTTAAAATCGAGGTTAAAATTTAAATATGTGTTGTATTTACCTTTTGAATAACCCTGTATTATTGGAAATTAAATAAGAGTTTTCACCAATATTCCAATACTTAAATGAAAAATAGTAAAAGAGAATGTTTATTATGATTTATAGTTTTGGTTTAGTACACTCTAAAAAATTTCAAATGTCGCGAAAACAATATACATTTTTTTAACGAAAACATTGCTATAACCTACATCGGCAATGACAAATTCGATGAATCACCCAGTACACAGACATTTGGGATTCAGCATCAAAGGCTCACTGGAAAGTTTTTAAAGGAAAAATCTACTGATGAGACCCCAAACGTGTGTGAAAGTTTTTAACTCATGTATATATCTAAGATGAGTTTTGGTGAAATAAGTTTGAAAAAAAGTTCAATTAGAATTTTTTTTTAAAGTACAAAAGTTCGAATGATAAATCCGAAACTACAAAAGTTCCAAAATTAGAAAGAAGCATGGCTAATGTATATCGGTAACGGCAGGAGCAAAAAAATTTAAAAAATTCTAAAAAAATAGAAAAATATTATTTAAAAAATATAGCATAAGTCGCTCTGCGGACTTATGAATTGTCCATGCTAGCTTTATAGACATTATATTTTCATACAAAGAGAATTGAAAACCTTAGTGCAAGAAGGGGATAAATGATATTTTTCAATTTGAGATATTCGATTCACAAGCTTCTACAAAACTATCGTTTGATGTGAGAACGGGACGAATATGTTACTACATATCAAAGTTATAAGACTTTTTACTTGTGCAAAAACGGTCATTGTTCTGAATATTTTTTGGGCAATGACAATAAAATGAACTTTGTACCAAATAAATCTTTTTGCGTTTTATTTTTTAAAATAAATTAAACTGATTCTAATTTTGCGCAAAAACAATAAATATTTTGTTTTTGTTTTGACTTTCCTGAATAAGTTTTTTTTTTTAATTTTAATTCTTCCTTTTTGTTCTGAAATATTTAAGTCTAGACATACATTTGAGCTAAATATTTTAAAATAAAAAAAGGCAGCAAAAGAGTAAAATGAACAATTTTTCTATAAAGATTTTCAGATAAAAATGAGGTATTTTATCAATTTTTTTACAAATTTACTATACAGTATGTTAAGTTTCGCTCAATGAATAAGAACTGTATAGAATTAGACAAGTAGAACAGTGAACGCCAGTATACTCTTTATTTTTCTCATAGGAAAATATAACGTCTTATCTTTATTTCGAAGGATCCACGAGTTACCATATTGTATGATTATTACTTTTATAACTAAATAGTTCTGTTAAACTTACTTTTGTTAATTCTAAATAAATTTTTTGATACTAGATTCCCTTAGTTTTCATTATACAGAAAAATTTAAAATATTTGATGATGATAATGATCAATTTAAATAATAATTAATATTTTAGCTAACTACGGACTTCTAAACTATTATGTTAAAATACTGAATTAGCGCAAAATTGTACAATTTGAAGAATATTTGTAAAAAACACTAGTTCCGTACTTTACTACTTTGTTCTTAAATTCTAAATTTCCCAAATTTCAACAAATTATGGCTCCTAAAATGTAATGCACAAATCTTAATCAGCTTTTTCTGCTCTTTTGAAATAACCCACCGGAAATGCAAAATTTTGTTATGAAGGGTGTTTTTTTTTTTTGAGGGAGAAAGAAATAGTCAAATTATACTCTTGGTTTATATGCCATTATTTTTGCTATATCGAAGAAAATCTTTCTGCCAATTTTTATACATGGTTGTTAAGTTTTGGTCAAATAAAAAATTAATATGAAATCCGTAAAACACCATGTATCTAGGTAATAGGATATAGACACTTTAATAATGAGTGATTTCAATTCATCCAAATGTCCCACACCTGCAGTAAACGTGCGTACATTTCACTCTGAAACGCCCTATATAAAAGGAAAGAAAAAGTCATTTACAATATAATTGTATTTTTTTACTAGTGGCGACTAGTTTCGGCCTCTACGGGCCATTATCAGGCCAAATTTTTTTAATACTTAAGTGTGAGTCAATTATCTCAAAATTATTAATATTCCAGAAATTGTCTGATACGATGTGGTAATTGGAAAATGTTTTGTTTGTTTTGAAAAGCACAAACAATTTAGAATATTAGCAGAATTATTATTAATTACATTATTCTTCCCGGTGGTTTAACTGTGTGAATACCATATATTTCATTAATATTTATTGATAAAAAGAAATAATGCATTGAAAGCACTGACCAGGATTTTAGAAATTCTGGAAATCATAAAATAATAATTTATACAAGTGCCTTGCAAAAAATTTATTTGTTTACGGATTTACCAAATTTTGATAAAGGAATGTTATGGTATCTATTGTGGTAAAAAAGACATAAAGTTGGTTAATTTATTAAAAATGTTTTTTTAGTTTATACGTTGAAACTTTGTATTTCACTTACATAGGATTTTTTCCGTTCTGAAGAAGTAAAGAATATCCAAAATAAGAACCATCAACTCTATCACTACCGGCCAAACTTATTTCAATCACTTTATTCACATCAAAATAATCATTATCACCCCCAACGAGAGCTGTGGTAAAAAATACTAACAAATATAATTGAAAATACATAATTTAAGTTAAATTTTAACAAATATATATGTTTGTTTCCACTGACGCCGCTATGTCTATTTCGTTGACAAGTCGCGGGCGAGTAATTGATGATATTGCTGCATAGAGAGGAAACTGATAAGACTGATTTTATTTAAAGATCAAACAAATCCAGAATGCAGAGGCGGATATAAAAATAAATAAGGGGTTTTTATAACAAAAAATTATTATAATTTTTATGAGTTTTTTCAATTTTCAGTGATTAGATGTCTTGGCCTTTGGAGATTTTGGAAGATTAAGTTTCAATATTTTTTGTTTAATGTATAAAAACTTCATTTGAAAAATGCTGCTAACATATTCTCGCATTGTTAATATTAAAATTATGTTTTTGATAGCATAAATTTCGAGCCTCCTTAGCAGTTGGAAAAGTAAAGTATCGGCAGGAAAGCGAATAGTTTTTTGCTGATTAATTATTATTGTTGTTACTGGTATAACCAGTTACTGCACAGCAAAGCATTATTTATTAATTAACGTAATAAAAAACCAAAACACAATCACAAATGAACAAAACAACTAAAAATAACGTATACTTACCAAATTAACATACATTAAACTGAAAAAACCGAACTAAAATGCATACATTAGCCATTAACTTCAAATAAAATAACAAAAATTTGTCACGCGTTGACGTCAGTTGAGGAAGAAAGAGAAGATATTCGCGTGAGCTTATCTGTTCGTCCTAGTATGATGGGTTTATTGTACCACCATTTGAAGGTCCTACTACTTTCTTATTCACCAATTATTTACTTACTCATTTACCGTTATTTATTTCACGTCGTCGATTGTTAAACACTAATCGGCTAAGTCTTAGCGTGTTATCTTATATTCATAGTTGCGTGGACGCCTATTATACACCTACGCCATGTTTAAAGTGTATTTTTCTTCGAAAACATGATCGGCCATTAAAATTTGAGAACAAACATAAAGGTTTAAAAAACTTAATTTTAGTACTCTAAAAACAATTCATATATATGTATCCCCTTTAGTTTTTATTTGAATCAATATCAACATTAAATATTGTACATCTAAATTATAGTTTTTGTTTTTTTTTTCTGAGTTTTGAGAAATTCGCAACGGATTGAAGGTGCGCGTATTTTTTGGCATAAAGCAATAGTATACTTGACAGTAAAATGAAATGTTTTGCTAATAGAAAGTTATTGGACGTGGTATAAAGTCTAAGCAGTATTAAGGGCGTCTTCAATTTGACATCTACGCATGAGTACCTGAAGTTTTTAATAAGTAAACCCATAATTAAATGGTACTTCCCCTTGTTTTTGATAAAATACTGTATGTGGGTTACCTTATTACCGTATTTGCTTTATTTTGACAACATAACTCATTTTATATTAATACGAGAACACAAAACAGTGCCACTTTATTTCTATTTAGATGATTTTAGTTTTCTAGCAGGCTCTTGTTTAGTTTTTGATATTCTCTCTTGATTTCTGGCAACCATAAATGTATTATAAGAAAAGTGAAGTGAGAAAAATCGGTTGAGATCCAAAAACTAAATGCAATTTAGTGCATCTGCCGGGAGTCGAACCCGGGACATAGGACTTGAGTCGTCCATATCTGCCAATTGTGATACCAAGGCACATTCGCTTTAATATCCGAATTCGCAAATATGGAGTCAATCTGATTCCGATTCTTGTCGGTACACACAAATTCTCATTCCATCTCACCTCTTTCAATTATCCTTAAAGCGTGTAGAAGGACGATAATTTATAATTATTTTACTAGAACACATTTCCAAGATCATTTATTCGTTTAACATTGTTAAGTTTTCGAGTACGTTGCGTCGTAAACGTGAAAATATACAGTGCTTTTCAGATAAAAGTATCCACCTTAAGTAACTTTTGAAGGACTGATTATTACAAAAAACAAAAAAATACGTCAATTAATATTCGAAGGAGGAGATATCGTGCCAAATTTAAGTTTGCTAAAAAAGTCACCCTTTCACCCCTACTATCATCCCTTCAATTTTTTTAAATGGCTTGCCCCATTTTTTTATCCATTTTTGGATTGCTCTCGTTTAACTGATTTAAAAAATGTATAAAACATGGGGATTAAAGTAATTAGTTTACGATCTATAGAATTTTAAATTAAAATAAAATTGAATTGTGCAAAACTTTTATTTTAATGATTTTGTCACAAGCGTTTCCAATGACAAAACGAATAGTTCATTTTCAAAATTTATTATAAAAATTGTTCAAAATGTCCACCATTTACTTCCATACAATGGTATAACCTAGATTGAAAAGCCTCCCTGACATTACCGAACACGTGTGCATTTAAATGTAGGCATTCATACTCTATTCTTTGTCGTAAATCTTCTAAAGATTCTGGTTGGGTAGCATACATTTTTGTTTTTAAATAACCCCATTAAAAGAAGTCTAGAGGTGATAAATCCGGTGATCTAGGTGGCCACTCCATCATCGAGCCTCTTCTACCTATCCAACGATTGGGGAAAGTTTCATTTAAAAATTGTCGTACTGGCAAAGCAAAATGTGGAGGCGCTCCATCCTGTTGAAAGACAAGCAAATCTTCAGAAAGATTATGATCATTTTCTATTATTGTTGTAATACGTGGATCAATTACTTCTTTCAATAACTCAAGATATGACTCTCCATTTAAGTTTCCGTCTAAAAAGAAAGGTCCGACTATATAGTCACCTAGGATACCACACCATACATTTAACTTTTGAGGATTCTGTGTGTGGTTTTTACACACAACATGTGGATCACTCTCAGCCCAATATCTGCAATTATGTCTATTAACAATTAATTGAGGTATTTTTTTGTTTTTTGTAATAATCAGTCCTTCATAAGTTACTTAAGGTGGATACTTTTATCTGAAAAGCACTGTATATGAAAGAAAAGTAGAGTCAGAAAAATGGAAAATCAAGGATGCGACTATAAGAAGATTTAAAGGAGCTGAGATGGGATGAGAATTTGTGTGTACCGACGAAAGTTGGAATCTGATTGACTTTAAATTTGGGAATTCGAATATCAAAGCGTATGTGCCTTGGTAGCTCTTTTGGCAGAGTATGGACGGCTACTTTAATTCTCAGCTTTTATCACATGAACCTCTTTTATCACCAAATAAATACATAAAAACAATACCATTATATTTTTGTTTTGGGGTATGCAGTTGTCACTCCATATCGTTAACGTTTTTTTATACAAGTATTAAAAGTAATTTTAAAAAACCGACTTGAAAATCATGCAGATGCCATCACCACAACTTGATTAAATTTATATGGGACCCAAAAAAAAAACATAGACATCGGACAAGGTAGGAAAGAATTATCGATAAACATACATAAAAAATGAAGAATTTGAGGATTTTCTCATGGACCCAATTATTCGAGTTCGACCAAATTCATATGGGACTACCCCTGAAGTACCCCCTTTGTAACAAGAAAAAGAATAATTGAAATCGGACACCGCGTTAAAGAATTATCCCTGAACATAGGGTAAAGTCGGGTGAGATGGCCACCGTTTTGCATAGGAGGAGCCTGTAAATTTTTGGTGAGGGTTAGGCTCCATACAATATTTTTTTGTCATTGCTTACCTATCATCCGAGCATACTAGTGAATAAATACATTGAAAACACTTTTATTTTTTATTTATTATTATTTATAAAAATCAGTTGTATATGGCCATCTATCCCGGTTCGGTGGGGTAAGTTAGCCAATGCAATAAGGGATAGATGGCCACAATATAAAAACGCGAATTAAACATAAAAATATGAAAATAACACACTACTTATTAAAACAAAATATAAAAAATATCCTTAACAACTATCTTGCTTCTTTTTAAACGCACTTTTACCACAATTTGGCAAGTTTTTAAATAGGAAGAGCAATTTTCATGAAACCACTTCTGGCAAATTATGCACTGCAACCAATCTTATTTTTTTTTGTGTTGTTATAACTTTCTCCGCATGCTACACATTCAGTTTCATCCACCTCAGAAATGGCATCACTTTCCTCTTCATATTGAACTTCTATATTCTCCTCCTCATCAGAACTTGGCGAAGGCGAACGTTTCTTTTTTTGGCCAATTGTTAGTTTTCGAATTTTAGTTTTCGGGATGTCCTTCTTAGTCTGTTTAGATTGTTTTGTGGACTTGTTTTTTACAGTCGCTATATAGTCAGGAGAAGTTAATAGGGTAGCAACTATCTTTGCTCGTTTTTTTGCAGAAACAACTAACTTAAGTGTGGGATTAATCTGATCTAAAAGCTTTCCAGGCGTCAAATCTGGAACAGATGTCCCTTCCGCTGAAGTTGAACATCGAGGTTCTGTACCAGCATGGCTACCGGATGGCATCTAATCATCCATTATGATGACTGGGTGTCTAAGTTCTTGTGTTGCTTCAGCGTTCGATTGTTGAGTGTTCGTTACTTGTGTCTATGTGAGGGTTCTATGGTCTTCCCTAGTTTCGCTGTTTACTATTCGATCAGCAACTGTGTAAGCATGATCGGGTATGGAATCGGGATTTCAGGGAAATATGCCAGTGGCTCTGAAGCCGGATATAGCATTTCCAGCGGTCGCGGACTTGCTCCAGCTTTTCTTTAAAAGTTCACCAAACTGGAGTCTCCCCAGTTTCCTTCCGGGGTGACTCTACATCCACTCTCTGCATGATTGATAGTAGAAGGACTTGAGCGACTTAAAAAAAGCTCGAGCGGCTGCAAATAATGGGTAGTGTGCGGAGGAAGGCACAATAAAACTACATTGTTTGCTTCAGCGGTTTCTAAAAGTTCAACACAAGAACAGTGAGAAGCATGCTCGTCAAGAATTAATAATGCCTTCCCTTCTCCTTTACGTAGCAAGAAGTGGTTTTTAAACCAATTCAAAAAAATCGTTGCAGTAACGTAGGATGATTTTTGTGACATTACAATATGTGAACCAGGCGGCATTGAATCAGTCCACTTAGTTTTTAAATTCTTGCCTTTAAATACACAGACCAGCGGCAGAAAAAACCTTCAGCGTTACAACAAGCTATGCACGAGATTGTCTCACCCTTTTCCCCTAATGTCACTGTGACAACAT